CTGTACGACGACATAGTAACGAATATATTGGTAGCAACAAGATAGTGCTCCAAGACTATAGGGCAAAATGGCAATTGCGTGGTGAGGCTCTCGTCGCGATACTATTTTGACGAGGCTGTCAACAGCCTCGTTGCCAAGGCCAAAATCTACGCACAGGCCACCCCTCTCGAAAAACCGCGTGGGCACGGACCACGCGCCTCCTAATCTCGTTTCCTCCGACGTACCGATACCCCCGGCGCCTGGAGCGTTACCCCCCATCTCTAAGCTAGCACCTCGGACCCCCGAGGAGACGTTAAACGCGGTCATCCACAGTAGAACAGGGGTGTCTTGCTGTTGCAGCTTCTGACACTGCGAGGACATGGCTGAAGTACACTATTGCCTAGCTCAGAGTTTACCAGAGGGGGAGGCTGAGGTTGGAGGTGCTTGAACGATGTTTGTGGTTCTGCGCGGTGGGATGTTCTAGCCTCAGGGAGGGGGAATTGGCCAAAAGGGTGAGGACCCAGCACTCCACATTTGAGTAGCTCTCGCAAGCTCTCCTCTGTCTTCTTCCAACCCGACCGTCCTCTTGCGAGCGTACACCAATTAGCATTGACTTATCGAGGACCCTTGGATAAGCTGCACACCGTGCAGACCATCGGTACGTTCTCGCGTCGCTGCGCGGATGATTGGAACTACGAAAGAGCATAATAGTTCGTCAGCGATAGTAGCGGCCCGCAGCGAGAGGTTGCTGACCTGGTCAAATCGCTGACGGCCAATGCGGGTAAGGCTTCTGTGTGCTGACGCCCCATTTTTTATCATCAGCCTAACGCGTTATCATCAAATCACTTGCGGCACGGCCGATCAACTCCACGCCACATAATTGTTAACCTAGGTGCATTGCGTGACGCTAGAGGCCGATATAATGCAAGAGCGTACAGAACAAAGATCAAAGACAGCATGCTGCAAATGCTGTGATCCTTCGTCAGCGATGTGTGCGCAAAGGGGCAGATCCCTGCTCCAGTCTGACCGCCATGCCAGCACCTTGCTGCGCGTGCTACACAACTTGCATGTTAACTTGGTATTTGGTCTAGCCTTGATCGGCGCCTTTTCGTTCTTCATATGCATGTTTCGCTGATAAGCGGCTACAGGTAACGTTTAACATCAAGATCCCGTTACATCTGAGCCTTGAGGGCACGTGCGCGGCATCGCCTTACAATGTACACACACAAGGCTGACAAAATACGTCAGTTAGAGGACGAAGGTCTTTCTTTGTCATTGCGGTTGCTTTCAATGCCATCACAGATCAAGTCCTTGCTGCCTGACGATGAGCAACAGTCTAGCCTGCGGGACGACCTTGGTGTGTGCAAGGCCCACAACATGAGGTTCTGTGAGTGGGCCTAGGTTCTCGGGCCGATCCGTTCTGACACCAGCACGTGCGAGCGTTTCCAGTTTTGCATTGGACTCCATCCACTATATGACCAACACTAACCGCAATTGGAAGCACTTCGGTCGACATGCCAACGTTCCAGCAGTTGCCTCATTGGAACCAAGCTCAAGCTCGAGGTTGCTACAGATCCAGCGTCGGATAACTGCATGCAGGTCAAACTTGTTGCTGCTCTACGTGTTCTTTGTTGATTTCCATGGGCAGAGAATGAGTTTGCATCAGCTTCGAATGCCAACATCAAAGCACGTAGGCTACTGTGCACCTGCCGCTTTGAAATTCACTTGGCGGGGATATGCTCGGGTTGCAGGCAAACTCCCCGCATGTTTGCCTGTTTAGCTAAGGTTCAGAACATCTGGACAAGCCTCAACTCACAATATGCCAAATATAGCCTAGAGCATTTGAGGTTGGCTCGCCAGAAGTTTTCGGGCGCATCAAGAGCAGATAAGGATCTGCCGTGCAGAAGATGCCCACTTGTAGCACAAAAAGCTTCTATGCCCTCCTTTCAGATCGCCACCGCCTCCCTCAACACTCGATTGTCATCGACCCCTGCCCTCGATAAGATTACCCCCACCATCACCAGTACGCAAATCCAGGCCATTGGCACTCATTGAAAATGGCCACGCTCGAAGAGTTAAAAGAAACACTTCGTTCGAACATCAGACTAGATACAACCTCTTCAAAGAAGACGCTATCGGATAGCCAATACAGGGCCGGCTTCAACGTATTGGTGCAGGGCTCAACGAACTATCAGAGCTTCATTGTCCCGCAACTATCTCAGCTACTGGCTCCACTACTCGATTCAAGAGTCGAGATCTCTGCACTCGAGATTGGGCCCGGCCCAAAGAGTGTGTTAGGACGTCTTCCCTATCACCAAAGGAGGAAGATTCGAAAATACACAGCTTTCGAGCCTAATAGTCTGTTCGCGACTGAACTGGAAGCATGGCTCTTGCCCGATGACCAGGCAAAGTCAGTGCTTCCTTGTTTAGAAACTCCAGTCTGCATCCACCGGGTACCCTTTGCGATGCATGACAACACAGGGAGCGTCAACGACAATCACATGCATGATGGAGGAAAACCTTACGACCTAATTCTCCTTTGCCATAGCATGTATGCCATGCGATCAAAACGCAGCGTCGTCGAGCAGGCGCTGGAGATGCTCAGGAAGCAAGGAGGTGAAATGGTGGTCGTTTTCCATCGTGACGGAGCTCTGCACCTTGACGGTCTAGTATGTCACCAAAGTGCCTCTTTCCCTACCGGAGTCGTCAGGGTGGCAGATGATGATAAGGTGTTGGACGACTTTGCTTCCTTCATCGCAGGGTTCACGATGCGGGATGAAGAGGTGCGAAAGTCTCTTCACACGGAGTGGCGTAAAGCATGTCGTACCTTGGGCCGTCACGAGGAAGCTCATCCTAAACATCTGTCGTTCAGCTCGCCCGATATACTGGTGGCCTTCAATCGACATGCAACCGAATTGTCACAGCTGACAGCGCAAGTACCAGCAATCCAGAGCGACAGATCAATCAAGAATCGAGAGGCCCGCTTGCAGCGCCCCGCATCAATCTATAGGCCAGTGGATATCCAGCACATACAGCTGTGCGTTCAGTGGGCCATAAAGCATAAAGTTGGCTTGACGGTGATCGCGGGGGGTCACAGTGGCCACTGTGTCCGGAATAACGTTGTCTCGATCGACATGAGTGCTTTCGACCAAGCATACGTGCTTACAACAGAAGAGAAGCCCAAAACCACCGAACTGGACTGCCGTGCTTTGGTCGTCGTCGAAGCTGGCTGCACGACAGGAGATGTCATCGGAAAGGCCATGGCAGCGGGCGTAACGGTACCCTTAGGATCTCGTCCGAGTGTAGGTGCGGGACTGTGGCTACAAGGCGGCATCGGACACCTCGCTAGATTGCACGGCCTCGCCTGCGATGCCATCATTGGTGCCGTGGTGGTCAGTGTCGAGTCTGGTGAAGTTCTTTGCGTCGGGTATGTGCCAAGTCAACATCGACCTGCTGTGTCTGTGTGCCCGGAAAACGAAGACGACATGCTGTGGGCCATGAAAGGCGCAGGGACAAACTTTGGCATCGTAGTCAGCGTGACCTTCAAGGCTTATGCAGCACCGACCTATGTGGTTCGAAATTGGGTCGTATCTTTGAGTGGCGATCTCGAGGCGCAGGCAAAGCTTAGCAGATTTTGTTGCGGTATCAGACTGCTGCAATATACGTTGCACATGAGCCTCAATACACACGGTTGTAACGGGTCATGTTTAGCACGTTTCAAGTCATGTATATACCGTCACCTCCTAGCTAGATATCAACACAGCGCAGTTTTCCATCGACCCGATAGTCCTATGTTATTGTTTACCATAGCTATCAGTATTATACAGTGGCAGTTGCCGCTACAGTTATGAGCCCGGAAGCCTTCAGTTAATTGCTGCGTTCACCCGTTTACCTACAGCCTATACAACAGGCTATTGACCATACCGTCAGAAGCAGCCGACTGCTGCATGACACAAATCCGAACCAATTATCAGAAACATCAGACAGAGCGCGTTCTGCAGAGGGAAAAATGAGTGCTTATGGACAGGACCAGCTAGTGACGAAGACGTCAGTTATACTGAGCAAGCCTGACGACTGGGAGCTATGGCTACTTGTGAAAAGAGATATAGCAGAAAGACACGATATATGGCCATATGTCGACCCAAGTCTGTCAGCAGATGAGCTACCACAGCTCAAGCACGAGAAGCCAAAAGAGAAGCCTATTTGGAAGTTCATAAGGAGGCAGTTATCTCAAGAGGAGCAAGAGGATATCGACATTGAAGACCTGTCTGATCAAGAGCTATCAGCCTACAACACGTGGACCAAGAAGTATGAGCGTGAAGCAGCAATATGGCAACGAAAACAGAATGCTGTGAAGGATCTCAACATTGAGATTATCAGGACAGTTGATGCTAAGCATCTGAACTTGATTATCAACTGCCGAGACCCGTACAGTCGATTGACGACACTCAAGAAGCACCTCTGCCTATCAGTAGGAGAGAGGAATCGACAGCTACGCATCCGCTATCAAGCGGTGTGCACAAGGCCAAAGAAGGCCAGCTTGGACACATGGCTTGATGAGTGGGTAACAGTTGCTAGACTACTTCAGGAAGCTGGGATGCCAAAAGTAAACGGCAACCGAGCGCAGGAAGACTTTATACTGTCAATCAGGGGTCTAGACAACAGCTGGGCCGCTGTGAAGCTAGACGAAATGATAACAAAGGACCAAGAAGGAGAGCAGTACATGTCGACTGCGAATCTAGTCGCTAAATTCCGGTCATACTACCAACAAACAAGTCCAGTTGCATCATCCCTTGGTACCTTTGCAACATTAGGAGTGGCAGCCAAGCCAGACGGCCCCACTGCTTCAAGAGGATCTACACAACGCATGGTATGCCTCTGTGGAGATGAGCACAGGTTCAAGGACTGCCCATACATCAATCACAGTCTACGACCACGGAATTGGAGACCCAACCACTCAGTACAGAGGAAGTTTGACGAACTGCGTCAACAGTCCAGGAATCTGGCAGCAAAAGCCCTGAGGAGAGTAGAGTCTCAACTCAAGAAGGATGGCAAGTTGACAGAAGATGTCATAAGACAGTCTACGATCAGCATGGATGATGGCCAGCCAGTCAGGAGTACAACACACTGCAACGCTATGCTACAGACTACAGCCATAGCCGATCAGACCCAGCCACCATTACTCACCAGGTGGATATTGGACCCAGGTTCGAACTGTCACGTCACCAACACGAAGGGATCCAACTGGACTACAACAAAGAAAGGAGAGCCCACAGACTACGTCTACGCAGGCGGAGTGTTAGCTCAGATAGAGGAGTGGGGTGAGGTTGTACTCAACGTCAGCACTCCAACAGGACAAAGTCAGATGAAGTTGACGTATGTGGCCTACATACCTGGATTCTTCACGAGTGTAGTAGGACTGTCACGCAGCAGACCTCTTGGAGTACACTTTGACTCAGGACGAGACTGCCTGTATCAAGAGAAGGCATCAAACGTGATTTGTCTACTACAGTACCAGGACGGACACTGGTTGATCAACAATGAGAGAGAGCAGGTACCACAGCCAGCTCTATTGTCAGTATACGCAACACGCTACGCAGTACCAAAGCCATCACGAGACGATCGAAAGCCTCTCGTAGTCAGCCAGAAGGACGCTCACAATCTGTTTGGCCACATCAGCCAGAAAGCAGTGGACCAACTGGACAGCCACGTTGACGGCGTACAGATGGACCAACAGCCTAAGGCACCACAGTGGAAGGAGTGTGAGATCTGTGTACAGGCAAAATTACACAAGTTCGTCAGTCGACGGCCACAGAGAGAACCCGCTGGACGTCCGTTTTATCGACTGGGTATTGACCTTGTCCAACTACGTGAGAGAACAGAGCGCTGCTACAACGGTGATCTGTGGATGTTCCACGCGGTTGACCAGTACAGCAGATGGCACGAGGCCTGCTGCCTACCAGATAAGAGCTCAACGACCCTCAAACGTACAGCTAGTCGACTACTAGCAAAGATCAAACGTCAGTATCATGCTGAGGTGTCAGTTGTGAGACTGGACAGCGACCGTGGATACAGTGAGATGCTCCAGATGTTCAGAGAGCTTGGAATCATTGTTGAACCACGAGCCGAGTACACTGAGGAGCAGAACGGTCTAACAGAACGAGCTGGAAGCACCATTGTCACCAGAGGGCGAGCAATACGTATAGGCGGAGACCTGCCTATGGAACTGTCAAACGAGTGTTGTATGACAGCAGTATATCTACTCAACCGTACTCCAACGGAAGCCCTAGGTTGGAAAACACCGTACGAGATTATACAAGGACAGAAGCCAACAGTGGCTCACCTAGCCCTTATTGGATCTCGAGCGTACGTACTGAACACTAAGCTGAAGCGTGGGGAGAAGCTACAATCACGCGCTTTAGTGGGACAACTAGTTGGCTACGACTCTACAAACATTTACCGTGTGTGGATGCCTACACTGCAGCGGGTATTACGGACACGAGATGTAGTATTCATGCCATCTGAGAGTGGGACAGAGGAGACATACCCCAACCGACAGAGGCTACATGAGATAGCAACGATCCTTGACATCCCAGAACCACAAGAAGATGATCAGGAGACTGAGCAAGTACTGAGCCAGTCATATGTTGACGACATAGTCTACAGACAGTCAGACTCAGAACAAGCCGAAGACCAGCTTCTTGCTGAGGCTGTTAGACAACAGCGGTCAACTAAGAAGACTACGACACAATGGCTACCAACCCCTGAGAATACCCCTGAGCCAACTCAACCATTGGGGAACAGTCCGAACACTGTTAGCGATGGCCAGGAGACAGCTGAGAGCAGTCAGGAGACTGTAGAGATGCCACGAGGCTGGCATACTATCCCTGCAGAAGCAGAGGCTCCAGATCGACATTCGAACAACGCTCCAAGGAGAGAAGAGATTAGCAGCCACATTGACGAGGCAAACGTGTTGACGTCAAGAAGACAGCGACGTACGCTGGGATCATATTATGCAGCATTTGCCCTGGCTGTCAATCCGTCACAATCTGTGAAGCTACTGGGTGAGGCACCTCGTACGCGACTACACAGAGACCAGCTCCCAGCACCTCCACGTAGGTGGAAAGACCTAGAACAACACCTACATGGACAGGAGTTCCAAGAAGCAGCACGTACAGAGTTCACTAGCTGTGAGAAAAAAGGCTGCTTTGCAACAACAGCAACAGCAGCAGCAGCAGCTGAGACACAGATACTGCCTCTGAAGTGGGTATTCACGTACAAGTTCGACAAAGACGGATATCTATACAAATACAAGGCAAGGCTAGTTGTCAGAGGAGACCTACAGGATGAATGGGGAGACACATACGCAGCTACACTAGCAGCACGTGTGTTCCGGCTGTTGATGGCAATAGCAGCTGCATTTGGCCTACAGGCATATCAGTACGATGTGCTCAACGCATTCCTCAACACACCACTAGAACAACTCGTCTACGTACGTACACCAGAGCCATTTGTCCAACAGATGGGTGAACTACTGGAGTTGAAGAGAGCCCTATATGGCTTGAAAGACGCGCCACTGTTGTGGTACAAGCATCTGAAAGAGACATTGATAAGAATGGGATTAAGGCCAATCAAGGACGTACCGTGCCTGTTCACGAGTGATCAACTGATTGTATTCTTCTACGTGGACGATATAGTTGTTCTGGTACACCCACAGCAACTTGAGTATCACAGTCAGTTTGAGAAGCAACTTAAGGCAGCGTATGACATACGGAGTCTAGGAGACCTGAAGTGGTTCCTGGGCGTACGCGTAGTAAGAGATTGGACCACAGGAACTATACGACTGGTACAAGACTCGTTCATTGACAAGGTGTCAGTGAAGTTTGACCTGGCTCAAACATCAGGAAGATACCCAGCCGTACCGTTGACCGAGAGCTACCTGCAGCCAAGCGAAGAGGAGCCAAACATCAACCGTACACAGACATACCAGCAGTTAGTAGGATCACTGGCCTATATATCGACATTCACAAGGCCTGATGTGTCACGAGCACACTCAGTCTTAGCACGTCACCTACAGAACCCTGGACAGAAGCACCTAGCAGCTGCAAGACATGTGTGGAGATATCTACTTGGTACCAAGTACCTTGCTATTGGAGCGTGTAAACAATCAAGGAACAACACAACGTACATCAACCAATTCAACGATCTGTCCACGTTCTACGGAGCATCTGACGCAGCGTTTGCTGACGATGTAGAGTCCCGACAGAGCTCGTATGGATACCTGTTCAAGCTGTACGGCATGTGTATAGACTGGAAGGCAACACGACAACGATCTGTCACAAAGTCGACTACAGAAGCAGAGCTGATGGCGTTGTCAGTAGCTGGAGGAGAAATGGAGTGGTGGAACAGAGTATTCAAGCACATTAACTTCAGCCCAGATGCGAGGCCCATCATCTACTGTGACAACGAGCAGACGGTAGGTATAGTCACAAAGCAGGATGATAGACTACACACGAAGCTACGCCACGTGGATACGCATCAGATGTGGCTAAGACAGGAAGTACAGAACAAGCGTCTACACATCGTTTGGTGTCCAACTGCAGACATGCCAGCTGATGGACTCACCAAGTCACTAGTGAGGCAGAAGCATGACAAATTTGTCAAACAACTTGGCCTTGACAGCGTAGAGCGCTACGTTGTAGGACCTACGCACAACGCTGAGATACCAGATCCAGCGGGACTCACAGGATGGTACCGATAAGTACAAGTTCAGCTTTGTTGTTCACGGCAGCTGGGGGGGTGTGTTGCGGTATCAGACTGCTGCAATATACGTTACACATGAGCCTCAATACACATGGTTGTAACGGGTCATGTTTAGCACGTTTCAAGTCATGTATATACCGTCACCTCCTAGCTAGATATCAACACAGCGCAGTTTTCCATCAACCCAATAGCCCTATGTTATCGTTTACCATAGCTATCAGTATTATACAGTGGCAGTTGCCGCTACATAGATGAACAAAAAACATCTCCCACTTTGAGTTTATGGAAACTGTGCTTAAACCAAGAAAGCAAAATCATTGGACGAGGATTGATTTTGTCCGGAGCCTTGAGGCGAGAGCGTGGCTCTGAAACATTGAGCCGAGATCGATGTCTGAGTTGATGTAGCATCCTCAGCCGTTCAATCGTGGTAGCGTAGTCCGAAAACGAGGCTGCTGGGCGTGTCAGTGACACTGCATGATTGAAAAGTGAGTCCAATGAAGGGAAGAGAGGTGTAAGGTGATGCCACGAGACTGGAGGTATCCGACTCACCATGTGTACTCGACTGCGCGATGGCAAAGATTCGAGTCTTTGGTGGCCAGCGCAAGTGCGTATAGGTACGGTGAGAGATGGATTGCATGGCAGTGCGTCAACTGCAGAAGGTATGCTGCAGCCGTGAATGTGCACAGGTGCTCACTCAAGACCGGTTGCAATGAGACGCGGTGGGATGGTGTGGAGGAAGAATGTAGGTTACGAGAGGGGCGAAAGCCTTGACCTGGTGAGATCCGCCACTGTGGTCAGGAAAGGCGCGACGGAAGGAAGGCACCTACACACGAGACAGCACCCACCACATGCACTCAACAACACCACACGATGGTGAGCACACTTTGATGTTCATTCTTCATTATCTACCTCTCTCTCATCCCTCTCCGTCGACGTGCAACAATCCTCCATGTACCACCATTACTCTTCTTCTCCCACGTTTCCCGCCATCCACGCACCTTTTATAAGTACATCTGAAACAAAAGCACTCGAAATGTTATGTGCACTAAGTCCACCAAAAACGCTCCCATATATGCTGCTAAACGAAAACCATAGATGATAAAGCCGCTTCGAAAATCCATGGCGGAAGGAAGGTATTCGTAGATTGCTGCCTCTCGAATATAACTCAAGGAAATGTAGTTGCGTAGATATGGTACTGGTATCGCGGAAGCCAAGATGCATCTGTAAACGCCGCGCTCGCTGAAATCAAAACTGAACATGTCGGTCTGGTGTGGGTGCCGTGTATATGACTGTCGCCTCATATCGCCCTTTCGCCCTGTAGTCATCCTCCTCTTAGTACCTCATCTTGCCCAGTAATGAGAAGCAGTACGCAGCTTCTCTCTCACTCTTCATCTGGATCATGAAGACCCTTGCTCTTGCGCCGTTGACGCCACCTGTCTTCGCAACTTGTCCCACTTGCCCACTCTCATCAACATTGTCTTCCCATACAGACACTGCGATACCGCTACGTGCGACTCTTTCGAAGCACGTCTCCGACAGCGTCACATCGAGCAATGTCTGCCCTTCTTTCTTGCTAGTCACCAGAATGCGGCGCTCTTGTGTGTGGTCTCGTATGCCGGGAGAGCGCTGCAGAGGATTGGGGCTGCCTGGCGCACTTGGGTGTGGGCTCGGTAGCATGATCGTAAGTCTCGCACCGCCCATGTCACGCCACTTCTTCAGACTCTCTCGCTCGTATAGCCTGCACTTTGTGTTTGTGAGGCCTGCCGGTGCGCCAACTGCTCCACCAGGTCCGTTGGGCGATGATGCGCCTGAACCAGGTAGGGATCCGCTAGACCCGGTGTCGAAGCTGTTGAGTGATCGTGACCCGAGCGTCGAATTGCGCACGCTGAACATGCCGCCCTTGCCGAAGGAGAAACGACTAAGTGCGGATCGCATTGCGGTACCCATGGTACCTACCGAGGATTCCGTAGCGGCAGAGATGGAGGCAGCGCGTGTGCTTGACTTTCTGTAGCTGCTCCTCCTGCCTAATGTGCCTCCAAACAATCCGGACCCCGAGGAAGCATTAGTTCTTGCTTCGTTACGGCGATCCATTGCCTCTGCCCAGCTTGTCTGCCCATACGGACCTCGAGCGTTCTGCAGAGCAAGGTAGGTTGGATTGTTGATGCGGGACTGATTGATCATGGCATATAGCTGCGCGCACTCAGTAGCATTACGGCTCCTCAGCATGATGTTGTTGCCAGTGGTAATGCGTGAGTCGGGTGTTGGTGGCGAACGAATGGAGATGTCGATGGCTGTTGACTTGCGCAGGGGAACCAGAGGGGTAAGCTCAACCGCAATAAGGGGAGCGCGTCCTCCTGGCTGTAGAATCTCATCGCCATCGGACACGAGTGGCTTAGCGTGTGTCGCCGTGATTTCAAACACCTCAATCTTGCCGGGTGTAACGACGATGCTGCACTCATCTGGGTGCAGACTGTCCCACCTTCCAGCATCTGACCAAGAGAAGATGGATGCAATTGCCTTGGTAGCCTTGCCAGAGTTTGTTGGAACGGCGCGGTAGGGCTGGTTCGATGCAGACTGAGATGGGGTGATCGTACCGTTTGGCAGGGTATAGATTGAAGCGGGCGGCGACACCTTCGGAAACTCTCTCGTTTCTTCGGGTAATGGTTCGAGCGGAGTAGTATCCCTACCAGCAGAAGAGGGGCGTGTGGCGTAGCTTCGGGGTGCGGTATAGTTGAGTGGCATCAACGGTGTTGGGACATCATCATCGCGTTCACCCTCTGAGGAGTCGGATGTCAGACTGGCGTCATCTGAGTAACTTGCATCATCCTCGGATACAACATCTTCTTCGCTCTCACTAGACGATTCGGTGCAGGTCGATGGTTCGTACTCGTGCTTGAGAGGCGAAGATGACCGCCGCTTTGTCTTCCACCCGGGCAGTACCGGCGTGAAATTGGGTGTCTTGGTGCCCTTTAGAGTAACGGGTGTAGCTGGACTGGGCGATCGGTGCGGAGGAGGAGCTGGTGGTGCATCATCATCGTCTTCTTCCGCGCGAGTCTTGGGAGGAGGCTTGCCCATTTTTGGCGGCGCCGAGGCGGGTGGCTCAGGCAGTTCGTCGGCGTTTGCAGCCTCTCGCAATGGTGTTGAGGGCTGGCTCGACTTCCTTAGCCTTGGGATGGATGGTAGCTCCATTGATGGTGTCGACGATACCCGCCTGTGTGCTTGCGGTCGCGGTGGGGAGCCTGGGGGCGAGATAGACTCTTCTTCGACAGATTGTTCGCTTTCGTCGGACTTGTCCGAGTAGTCCACCTCGGATGTTGGCATCCATACACTGAAGTTCTTACCACGACGCTTCGTTGATTTGCGGCGCGGCTGCTTCTCCTCTTCGACGATCTTAGCCTCACGGCTTTGAATTGGCTTGGGCTCCTCTACAAACTCGATGGGATCGTCAAGAGTGATCTGACGTGAGGGTCGCTGTGAGACAGGCGATGATGTCACAGTCCTTGACAGTCTCTTCGCTTTTGTGCGCTTCAGCCCTGTGGGCGATGCAGTGTTGTCCGAGCGCGCTGCGTCGTCGAAGCTGCTTCGTGGTGTTCTGTCTGGGTCTTCTTCAGGACGTCTAGTGCGTCGCACCATGCCCAAAGGCGTTTGTGGCTCTGGTGGGGAGATGTCGCTTGCATCATGGTTTCTGCTTGCAAGGGAGCCGTCACCACTTGGTGGCGTAATCGGTGACACGGTGCGTGACTCTCGGCGTCTGTCAGGCGTGTCGTAGTTCCAGACCTTTGAAACTTCTGTGTGCTGTTCGCCGATAGGAATCTCGACTTCATGAGGGCTTGGTGTCCTGCTCTTGAAGGGTACAGTCGAAGCTGTTGCTGCGGACACCAAGGAGGAACCATGGCTGCTTGTGGGTCTTGCTATTTGGCCTGGTACCATCTGGTCTCGCTTGATCTCGGAAATTGGCGGTGGGATAGGGGTCAGGCCAAGCATTTGCACCCACTCAAAGCCAGCTTGCTCATCATCGATTGTAAGTGACATCACTTCGCTCCATTCAGACCCATCAGCTTGGTTGCCACGGATCATAACAACGATCTCACCCTTCATATCGCCGTTGCGAGCAGACACACGACCCTGCTGGATAGGTGGAAGCAGTAGCCATCGTCCCGTAGGATCGACTTCGCACAGCAGGATATCTCCTCCCTGACCTGTGCCGGGTGCATTATCGCGGAGTAGTAGCTCAACGCGACAACTAAGCTCTTGACCACTGGAGTGGTACAGATACATATCGAAGTAATCTCTAGCTCGTACACACCGAGCAGTATCAATTCGCACGCCAGCAAGCGGTGCCAGACTTCGAGGATCGCGAGCGCGTGTGGCGTCAATGCTGGCGGCAGCCTCGTCTTCGAGTCGAGCTTGTTCATCGTTGGACCTCCTTCTTGCGGCTGCAACAAGATCTTGGAAAGTGGCTGATATCTTGTCTGCGCGTTCGGAGGGTCTGACGTGATTGAGGCCCTGAACCATAGTTAGCGATGATCACAAGAACGTGCGAAAATGGTAGAGACCCACCTTCAAGGTCTTCGCCAGGTACTTCAACCGCACCAACGGCCGCTTCAGCATGTATGCAACATCGACTCGTTCGCCATCGCCATTCACAACGTATCCTTCAGCATTGCGCGGCATACCCTCGTCCCAAGGGGCGCCATCGTCCGGACCATTCACGATCTTTGCTGGTTTGAACGGGTCGTCATCGGCAGGAGCAAGGCTGATAACAACATCTTGGAAACCAAGACGCCATACGTTGATGTAATCGCCGTACACCCGTTGTGCGCTCTGAGCCCATGAGAAAAAGTTGTCTGGTTCTTCCATAGGCACACGTTTGTGCAGTGTCTTTAGTCGCTCGAGGCAGACACCCATATCCATGATGGGCTTCGTGACCTCGCTAGGGTCAGACTTGGCAGAGCGAGAGAAGAGACCGGCGGCGACGGCGGAGTCGGTCTTTGAGAGAACGCAGCTGAGCAGAACAGGAATGACACCGTCGACGATGGTGCGCAGCTCCCGCATATATTTGGCTTCGTCGGAAGCGAGTTCTCTCATTATGTCAGGGATTGTGGCAGTAGCCAGGCGGCTCCTGTTGGTTCGTATGCTGCGCGCAGACACTATGCTCTTCGCCCCTGCCTTGGGCATCGACAACACCGATATCAAGTCCGCGTGACTGGCGAGCCTGTTCTTCCTTGTACTTCTGCGACTGACGATTGTAGATGTTTCGTTCAGTTGCGAACCAACTTCGGAGGCAGTCGCACCAGAAACTGTTCTGTCGTCGCTGAACACCGACTCGCTCAGCTCTGAGCCCGCAACTTCTGGTGCAGGAGCTGGCTGCACTTTGCTCGGTAACGAATCGACCGATGCAATAGTAGACAGACGCTTGCCTCTTATTGGAAAATGGCGCTGTACTACGAGAGGATGTGGTTTCAGCGAGATTTGCTCAAAGTCCATGGTCGATGCATCCACCGATGACGAAGGTGCAGAAGAGGCAACAGAAGCGGCTCTCCATTCATCTTCCTTCGCCAGATCATCTGTCGACATGCTCTCGCGCAGTGGGGAAGACATCGAACGGCTCTTGGAGCGTGCGTGTTGGCTGCGCTTTGCGCCGCGACGCTTCAATGTCGGCGTGGGAGAAAGCGGCACCTCAGGCTCGGTCTCGGTCTCGGTCTTCCCGGGCACAGGTGTTGCAGCAGTATCGTCGGATACTACAGAAGAGGCCGCATCTCCCACAGCGACAGCGCTTGTATCAATCTTCAGTTCGCGAGATGCTTTCCGCTGCTCGTGGCTGCGACGCCTTCGCCTGCGCCTGCTGCCATTTCCACTGCCACTGCCACTGCCACTACCGCTGCTGCGCGGCCTTGCCTCTTCGACCGGTGCGGGCTCGACCGGTGCTGGCTCAGCCGGTGCTGGCTCAGCCGGTGCTGGCTCAGCCGGTGCTGGCTCATCCTTGCTTTCCGTGGAGGCAGTGATGACTGATGATTCGGTCCTCACTGTCGCTGAGAGATCGAGTGCAGACACAGATTCTTGGGCCGACTCCTTCGATCTCCGCCTGCGGCGCGGTGGGCGCCGCCCTGGCTGTTCTGCTTCGTCCTGCATCTGCTGGGTGCGGTCCAGCCAGGCCTCCAGTCGGCTTGCGAAAACTTTGTTGGGTGGTGACAACGGTCTTGGCTGCTGCGCGCGCAACTCTCGCATGACTTCTTCCTTCTCCGTGTCGACTGTGTCGGTCTTGGTCCTGCGATGTCGCCGTGTGGACTCTCTGAAGCCTTCATCGTCAGTTCCAGGCTGGCTCTTCGGCCGTCGCCTTCTCCGCCTTTCCCGTAACTCGTCTGCTCGTGGTGATGTGACTCTGTGGTTTGGCCCATCGACCACACTTGACTCTGCGTACTCGACTGTGACGAGGTTGGCGAGATCCTCGGGGGCTGGAGCGAGCTCCGACTTGCGGGCAGGTCTGTGCTTGACAGGCTCAGCGTCCTCAGCTGAGAGGGAGCCTCGAGGGGACGTCTTCGTCTTCCTACGCCGCACCTTCACGATCTCTGTCCCCTCCCTCTCGCGCCTGGGAGACTCGGGCTCCACTATTACTTCTACGCCAGTGAGGTCCTTTGCACTGCCAGACCCACTGCTGACGGGGCGCTCCTCGTTCCCAGAGCTCTTTCCAGCGCTCGAGGGCTTCGATGGCCGTCTTTGCCTCTGGCTGCCTTTCTTCTGCCCTGTGCTCTTGCTGATGTAGGTGGCGAGTGTTTGCGGTAGGGGTGGTGACTGTGGTATCTGCGGTGTTGGCGGTGCGGCTGTGACCTCTTCCGGTATGACTGGCTTGTCTTTCTTGACAATGCGCGAGGGGCGCACCCAGGCGTTGGGTATGACTTTGGGTGCAGGACGGGAGGGGTCTTTTGGCGGCGACTGCTTCGCGCGCCAGTGTGAGTCGCTCACAACGCGCTTCTTAGGCGCGACGGCGCTCTGCACGTCTTCGTCGAGCTCGTTGTGTGCAAGCGGTGTCTTCTTTGCGCTGTCCGGCCGCTCCGGGCTTCGGTCGGCCGACTTGGTCGGTGTGTGCGCCGGCTTCCAGTCCGGTTTGTCGGCCATTGGCTTCATCTTAGGCGTTGTTGGCTGCGACTTGGGCTTCGCCGTCTTGGGCTCGACTTCTGCGGATGGCGCTGCATTCTCTGCTCCGGCGACAACAGGGTCGGCGCCCCCGTCCTGCTGCCACCTCTTGATCTTGTCGCGCACGTTGGCGGGCTTGTTGATGCCAATGGCCTTTGCGAACTCGTTGCCGTTCATGTTGTTCGTCGCCTGCTTCTTGCCTGGTGAACCATTTTTTTTTGGGCTCGCTGCGTCCTCGGCGTCAGCGGGCAGCGGCGAGGCGGGCATGAGGCCCTGGGCGCATTGGCGGTGCCAGGCGGTGTTGTTGTTGAGTGCAGCGGTGCAGCGGTGCAGCGGCGCAGCGATTGTTTGGGCGGCGGCGTCTCCGGGGGAATGTTTACAGCGACCCGGACCTCGACAGCTTGGCTACCTCGTAGTAGTCTTCTCCCCGCTTCGGGGCTCAGTCAGCGTCAGCGAGGGGATGCGGGTGGCGGCAGATGTGTGTCAACGAGTGTCTTGGGGGGGGGGGGGGGGGGTTCTGCAGTGAGGTCCCGCTCGCACGGAGCGTCAGGCAGGGCGGTGGTGCAATTCAAGGTTGTTGTGCTAGATCCATGTGTGATGCTGGCGATCCAATGGTTTCCAGCGCATGGCCCACCCAGCAACAAAACAAGGCTAACCGCACCGCTCACGATAAGAGCCGGATAGTGCTTGGTTACGCCAAGCATGTGCCCGTAAGATGGATGGTGCTTGCTGTTTGCTTTCGTCAGCGACGGTCTCGTCTCGTTCCCAGCCTCCTCTTTTGCAGCGTGGGCGTCGCTGACACTCGGTGGGGATGCGTGCGGCTCGGGATGATCCGTGACGCACTCGCTGGTCACTGCACGTTCATCCATGCTTCGATCATTCGATCAGATTGGCCCGGAGGTGGCAGCCACCGTGTTTGCTGCTGCTTGTTTGCCCTGAACAAGAAGGCTCAGAGGTGACGAGTGCAGCAAGAGGAAACACCAGCGAAGATGCAAACAAAGAGGGACAGAGCTTCTACTTGGAGGTGCGGCTCAACGGCTGCTACAGCTACTCGGAGCCGGGGACGAGTTTACATGCAGGATACAAACAATTGATCGGTTATCATCCAGATACATCTGCTGTCGCCTGCCAGCTGTATGGAGTTTCCGGTACTTGATTTGACGTGAATTTGCTAAATGCATCTTGTAGACCTTTGGTGCAAGTGTTAAACCATTGCGTGCCAATGCTATCTACAGTGTAGAGCCCGGACTTCTCACCGCATCTTGAGGTATGGCAATGGTGAGGTGACGATGAATGCGGGTGACGGTGAATGCGGGTGACGCTTGGAAAGCGGTCCCAAGGAGTCTCTAGATATATACAAGGTCTGCAGGTAATTACCCCACACGAAGGCCCGAAGTTCAGCTGCCGGCCTGCCGACGATCGACAAAACAAGGCTGTTCCGGAAAAGGTCAGCGATACACTTCATCTGACGTGCACTCCCGTCGAAGTAGCTCCATGTACGAAATGTTCATCCACATGTTTTTTCTTTGTATTGCCACCATGTGTACTCGTCTAGCATGCAAGCAATCAAGCCATGATAGCTGCGAATCTAGGGTACATGTACATCTACACAACATCTATCATCCTACTTTTCGAGTACATTCGCGCCAGAACGCCGTTCCTCCCACAACACATCCTAATCGAGTCGTCTGCCGTCGAATTGCTTCTAAGCCTTCTTCTTGTAGTAGCCCATCTGCTGGGCCTTCTGCAACAGCTTGGAGGCGTCGTTGACAGCACGGAAAGCGCGAACGCTAGCATCGACGCTCTGGTACATGAGGTAACCAGGGACGGCGATCCAAAAGAAGTTCATGAGCACGAAGTAGCCCCAGTAGTAGGCAGCCTCAGGGCGGGTGTAGGCTACATCGAGGATGTAGTGGTCGAACAGCGAAGTCGCGTAGTACAGGACATCGCCATAGAACTGGCCGAGCGAGACGATGAGCTGCAGAGAGTAGCGAAGCGGGTGGTCGACAGCGATCAAGTAGGCGGTGACGAAGGAGAGGGGTCCCCAGAAGGCCTGCCCGTAGCGTTAGTACGGAGATAGGATTGTGTGCGTAAAGGTGACCTACGGCAGTGACTGTCTCCATGCACAAGACAAACGCGTCCTGGGTCAAATAACGCGAATCACTGAGCGCGTACTCTTTCCACAGCTGGCCAAACAGATCCTGCATGCCGCCCATGCGCCTGAAGTTGTAGGCAAAGTAGCCCTCAAAGAACAAGTGAATGCAGCCACACAGCACGAACCACATCATGATGAGCACGTCCGAGTTGCTGGCGTTCGGACGGGACTTCATCAGAACCGCATAGGTTATGCTGAAAATGACAGCGCACCCCGCGGCAAACATGCTAACCAGCTCGAATGTGTTCCATTCGTTAGCCATGTACCCCACGATCTCAACGCCGAGAGGATAGTACGGGTGCAGCGGCGCTGCAGAGGATGAGTTGAAGGCCATGGCGCTGCGGTTGAAGTCAGCGCGACTCGACGATGCGTGGAGGTGAAGAGTGAGAGAACACCTGGCGGGCGAAAGGGGGACTTGGTGTGGGCCGGATCCAACATAGATTCGATAGTCCAGTTTTTCTCTGGGGTAGCGTGCTATGAAGGGTTTAGCTCAGGTTCTCAGGGCAGGGATCCGCGGATCAACGCTGTCAGACAGCGATAGCATCTCGAGATGTCAGCAGCAGACATGAAAGCACGTGACAGTGGGTATCCATGAATAGGATGTTTGAGGATAAGGTCTTCGTCTCTGATAGTTTATCCGGGCTGAGTCAAGCATCCACGGGTAAGTATCCGTCCCGCATCCGAGACCTGTTTGTCAGGCCTCGTACATAGAGAGCGCAACTGCTGAGTGATCCTTCGCTGCGAGCCCCGGGGGAGACTAGTGAGGTAGGGAAACCCAGCTTCATCATGCATCTTCAACTCCCAAGGAATCGCGATGAAGGTGCTACGAGGTACCGCGTGGAGGCAGGCACGATCGCTGCTCCTCCCCCTCAAGCCGCTCTCGTCCCGTGTCCCGCGGCAAACCTCGGCTCTTGCCCCAGGTTTGATATCATTCAACCATCTCTACACTGATCAGTTGCATCATCACAATCTCAACAACACTATGTCGAAATCGAAGACTCAGTCAGACCCTACGCCCACACCAAAGTGGCAGTCGGTCTCATGGCAGAAGAAGGATCAACAGTTCGCTCGCATACCTAGTCAATGGCGCTTGCCCCAATTACCATCCCCAAGTGTCACGAACTACCTTGGAGTCCCACGCGAGTGTGGGCTGTTGACAGACAAAGAATTGGACATTACAGAGAACTACGACGCTACTTCGCTGGCAAAAGCAATTAGAGAAAGAAAGTTAACAAGCGTGGCAGTCACAACAGCTTTCTGCAAGGTAGCTTTGCCATAGACATGACATGGACACAACTGACTCCAGGCAGAGGGCCGCCATTGCACATCAACTTACCAACTGTCTGACCGAGATCTTTTTCGATGATGCACTGAAGCGAGCAGCAGAATTAGACGCGCATCTCGAAGCTGGCAAACCACCTCTAGGCTTGTTACATGGCGTTCCTATATCCTTGAAGGATATGTTCAAGGTCCGTGGATATGACTCTTCCCTTGGTCTGGCCGCACTGTCCTTCAAGCCAGCTACAGAGAACTCAGTACTCGTGGATCTGCTACTTAGCTCCGGCGCAGTGCTCTACTGCAAGACGAACGTTCCACAGGCTCTTATGGCGCTTGACTCGCACAACAATGTCTTCGGCCGCACCCTCAACCCCATCAACACCGCACTCACTGCAGGTGGCAGCACTGGCGGCGAAGGTGCTCTACTGGCAATGCGCGGCTCCGTACTTGGCATTGGTACAGATGTCGGAGGTTCGATTCGAATCCCTGCCATGTGCGACAACCTGTATGGTATCAAGCCTAGTGATGGTCGCATACCATACGCGCTTATCGAAGGGGGTTCACTTCCTGGTGCAGCTAAGCTTGGTCTACCAGCAAGCGCAGGCCCTTTGGCGCACTCCATGCGGGACATGGACCTATTTTTCCAGGCAGTGTCTGATCAAAAACCGTGGTCATTCGACCCGGATGTCGTGCCATCTCCGTGGACGTCGCTTAGCATCCCATCAGCGAAGAAGCTAAGAATCGGTGTTGTAAGGAGCGACGGCGTGATCAAACCCCTGCCACCCATCGCGCGACTACTGGACGAGGCGAAAACCAAGATGCAAAAGGCTGGTATCGAAGTCATCGAGATGGACATTGCCTCGCTCTTCTCGCAATGTCATTCTCTCGCCAATGGCTTGTTCAACGTAGAAGGTGCGAATGCAATGTTTGATCTGCTGGAGTCTGGAGAAGAACCACTGTCGCCATGGCTGTCAACCCGACTAAAGAGAAGGAACATGGCGCCATTCGAAAAGCTACAGGAACTTCATGGCAAGCGAGAGAAGCTGCGAAAAGAGTGTCTGCAGATGTGGAGAGACAAGACAGGCGAGATCGATGCCTTCATCTGCCCTGTTGCACCACATCCTGTCCCACCGATCGATCGCTACAATGGCGCCGGCTACACGAGCTCCTTTGTGTTGCTTGACTATCCTGCAGGTACCATACCTGTCCGCACATTCACCAAAGCAGATGTCAAGGGTGAGATGAAAGGCAAGCCGATAGGAAGCTGGGACAAAGTCAATCGGGCTCTCTGTGAGTTTACCGCTTTTATTGGTGATGCAAAGCGCAATACTGACGACAGAAGGGACCGAAGTCGATCGCGACTTGTACGTAGGGTCGCCACTGTGCATCCAGGTTGTAGCGCCGAAGCTGCAAGAGGAGAAACTGGTGCACGCCATGTCCGCCATAGATGCAGCGTTGAAGGCGGAGCAACCACTCTCTGCAAAGCTCTAGAAAAGAAATAGGACGATTTTACGTCAGTACGGTTTTCGTAGGAGCATCCCGTATTGATCATTGGGGTTCTACCTCTTACCGGCCGAAGATAAGTATTCGCAGGTGTTTCTAGCGCAAACGACAAGCGTTCGCCGAAACGTTCCGAACTTTCCACGCAAACAGCCGAAATCTTCCGCGCCCAAAGTGTAGCGACACACAACACCACGATCCCAATTCGAGCAAGCGTGCGCACCAAGCGATACGTATTCTACTTCCCTGGCGACGGACGGACTACCGTGGCTTGGCGGCGACAATGACAGCGCAGTTTCAGCTCGTCTGAACCCCATGGGGATATCCAGTCTTTGATGTCATCAACTTGAACTTCTACCACAAGACAACTCAAGTCGTATTTCTTGCGATTGAGGCAGATCTCTTGGTTTTCCCAACCGTTCCGGTCCTCCCAGGTGCAGGCCTTCCCCAAGTGCAGCGAGAAGCAGTACCAATGCGTCGCAGTCCTTAAACAAACAGCTCCCGCTCATGTAGAGATTAGCTTTCGGCCGCTTCTGTCTAGTAGCTGACAACAACCAGACGAGCATCGACACATACCGAAAGGAAACTCAGCGTCCACCATCATGGACAAAGAGAGAGCGGCCTATCTGAATAGCATCGTCGACCGACTTGTCGACCTCAGCACAGCGGAAAGAACGACTGCTCTTACACATCTGTACAACCTGCGCACTGCGGCCGTGGAAGACCTCAGTGACCTCAGCGACAATCGACAACACTGGGACATCGTGCTAGGCTCATCCGAACAGCCAGACAATGTGAGGGCTCTTGTCTGTGACCTCACCCAGCTTGCCGATGATGAGCTTGCTGTCATCGGTATGCAGGTGTCGGATCGGTCGAACGTAGCGCACAAGCAAGTTTTGCAGACCGTTGACGATGAGGAGAGGGCAAAGCTTCAGGCTCAGCTTGCAGCAAGCGCAAAGCAGTCAGTAGCCCACATCTGCTAGTCATGTTCCATATTTGATAAGATTCAGGGCACGTGAGAGCTATATGGCCGCTCGACAAGGCCTTGACATGAAGCACAAAGCGAAGCTCGCGGAGAAGATGAAGGACGTTCGAGACGCAATCGAGCAAGGCATCAATACCGGCCAAGACGTAACGACACTCGAAGAGATCTTCGACAGGATCGAACAAGAGTTTTGGGATCAGTATCCCAGATCATCTGGCGGCCCAGATATCAAGACCGAGGAGCAATGAGCTAGTGCTACCAGGCCTAAAGCTTAGACGACCCCGCACACGTAGGATGACGAAAACGATTGCTATGGCAGCAAGCACGGTGCCCATAACAATGACATGTTAAATCGGCAGCCATTCTGCACAGCCACGTTCGAACGCGCGCTTACCCTACGTATATGGACACACATACCACTCCGTTGATCCGTTTCACAAAAACGCGCCTGCTCGAGATGTCGATACAACAGATTCGAAGCTCGAGCACAACCACGACTGACGCCCATGATGCGGGGTCCGGCTTGGACAACACAATTGGTGTTGATACGAAGAATCAGAGGTACAGAGAGCTCTTTGGTTCAATATGCGTCCACTTACAGTTACTATAGTGACGATGCTGGTCAGGCAAGTGAGGATGACGATGAGACCATAGCGGAGAGAGAGCGTAAGATTCAAGAGTTGAGGCAGGCGCTGACAGTCGCTTTGAAGCACTTGGAAGATGAGAAGGAACGGAAGAGGGCAAGGCTCAATGCGATGGGAAACAGGCGTTGAGCAAGTGGCAGGCATACATCATGCTCATATAGCAGGTACTTGCCGAGCGTGCTTCACTTACTCCGAAACGCATAAAGTCTAGTTTTACAAAGTTCTCACATGTGGCTGCACTCGCAATCGCAATCAAGCCCACTTCTAAATTCTAACCGTATCCAACTCCCATTCCTTCTGCGCACTCCACCAATAACGACTCTTTATGAATTCGCCACGAAACATGGAAGGAAAAACTCTCCAGGACGACGCACCTGCTGAAGGAACCGCGCGCGACTTCAACGTCACTCATCGCAACGCTCCAATCAATGTCGCGAATACCCCTACAGACAGCAAAGATACCGGAGCCAAGTTTGTGAATAGTAGCATTCTGCTCACACTACACTAACTTGTACACAGCAACGCCACATTCAGCGACAACAAATCCAACTCCGCGTACGGCGCACTCCAACACCAACGCACAAAGGCAGAGCAGAATGGGATCACGGAACATCAGGTTGAGGTTGCGCTGCTGGGAGCGATAGTTGCAGCGCGTGAGAAGGTGGCCAGGGAGCTCGATGAAGAGAGAAGGCAGCTGCTAGAGAGATGTGAGATGCTGGAGAGGGAGGTGAAGTTGAGGAAGAACATGCGCTAGGCCGGGATGGAGTTGGTCTGAGGGATGACACAAGAGGACGACGGCTTGGATGAAGTTGAATTAAGAGCTCGTGCTCCGAGCAGTATTTGCGGTGAACGAGTAACAGTCCTTAACCATCGTCCCTTGCAGATCGAATGACTTGATTGTAAGGAGTGAAGCGCCTGCTGATTCCGATGAAAGCTACGTACACGCTTAGTTTTCAGAGCAAAAAGGTGCGCTAACATACAGTCAGCGACGACTTCCCAGCCTGGCTCGCCGAACGCAACGCAAAGCGCCTCGAACTCTCGCGCCTCGCAGAGCTCGATCGTCCTACCAAAGAGGAGTTTGCACAGCCTGAGGAGTTCCGCAGGAAGCCCGCTATGGCTAATCTTCGTGATGAGGCATGCAGGGATCCGCACATGTATGCTAGGGCGATGGAGGGTATGCTGCCGTATCTGAGAAAGTATGCGGGCCTGGGACCTTCTAGGGAAGAGGAGATTAAGACTGAGGTGAATGAGCTGAAGAAGGAGCTTGGAACGCGTGACGACCAGGTTGAGGCGTTGAAGCGGAAGTGTAGGGAGTTGGAGGAGGAGAAGACGGATCTGGGCAAGCAACTGCGGGGCTGAGTGTCATACCGGGCGAGCGTTGCCGATATCCTAGAACCGTTAGGGTACAGATATACACAGGTATTCTGTAGCTTCGCTCTGCCTCTGGGGCGGTGATTGTGGTTGTAGATGCTGTCATCAACACCAGATCTACCCCTTCCCATATTACACTAGCCTCGTTCGTAATCAGCGGCCATGAGTTCAGCCTCAAGCTGCGCACGTTCGTCCACCTCGGTTATGAAGCGGCCTTCGTCCGCGGCATCCCGCTTTTTGAGCGACCGTTCTTCAGTTCCTACCATGACGCCGAGTCGCCTCGCCTCCTTGGGATGGAGTTTGATCCATCTTTCGCGCCACTGCTCACGTAGTACGTCGTATATATCACTATCTAACACTTTTTGTGCAGGCGACAATGGTTTAGGACTGTCAAATACGAGGGCTGAGTGGTCTGAGAGATCGGACCGAGTCTTTGGATTTGTGTCGATAGCGGCCGATGAGTCGGTATTCTTATCAGCTGAGCTGATAGGAACAGCAAACAATGCCAACTGTTCAAGGTGAGAAGCGAGGTAGCGTTTAAAAAAAGGTGGTGCAACGTAAGTGATGTTTTCGAATCTATTAGACTGCGTACCCACGGTTACTGAACGCTCTTAGAGACGATCGACCCACTCTGAGCAACACGGGCAATCTTGGGCTTTGATCTGGTCGAGTGGCTTTCGAGCGACATCAGAAACCACTTGTTCTTCATTGTTTCCAATACTGTAGGGTGGGTACTGCAAATATGAGCGAGATACTGCTCTCCAGCTTGAAACGATGCCCTCTTGCAGAATCAGCAGGTGTAACTAGTGCAATGACTGTCCATCTCGTGGCAAAACCAGTCATTGTCATTGCTGAAGTATGAAACCCTGCAGTCGGCGAACGTGCAAACGTAAACCCGAAGGTCGGAGAAGACATGATTCAGCCATACCCGTTCGTTTTTCAACCGTTTGATCTTGAAACAGAATGGGCGCTTTACTTCGTTTCTCGTTCCTCTCCGCAGCTGATGTAATCTCGGGATTTTTAAGATGGCCGAGGACTTTAGGCCGCCTAGAATTGAACGGGAGATAGTTGTGTTGGACTTTGCTTCATTGTCCAGATCCGATTCTGCTTCGATAGTGAGCATCTGAGGTGCGGCCCGATCTACCGCCAAAGTTGGGGCCTTCGTGAGAAAGATCGACTGCCCGCTCGAGATGTTAGGTTGCGAGTAGATGACTGCAGACGGACGAGGAGCTTACGCTTCTGCTTCGACATGTGCGGGTGTTTCTTCATGGTGAAGCACCCTTTTGACTTTTTCACGATGATCTCGGATACTCTCAGTTATGGCTCGACCAAGTCGCTCTTAGAGCCATCTCCAGTCCGCAGTGTCGAGCTTAGGATACCTCTTACCTACGTGAGCGATATCATATCGGTCCGCGAACTGATATCGATCACGGCTGAGAGATTTAGCGAAAGTCTCGGTAGGTGCTACTTGACGAATGAGGAAAGTGGCCGATGTACGCGCCAATAATTGCGGGATCCTGTTATAATGATTGAGTTGTCTTGCCAGCACAGTTCCAGACACGAGGCTGGGGGCCGAAAGTGAGAGGGACCACAACAGTCGCACTTTCTATCTACCCGCCTGAGCCAACTCACATCTCATTCTGCAGCATCACATATCGTGCGTTGCCCATTGTTTTTATCTCAAGCATTCTGCTCTCCCCACTCTCCCTCATGAGCGGTCTTGAGATCGCGGGTGTACTTTTGAGTGCGTTTCCACTCTTGATCACCAGCCTTAAGCACTGGCGCGATGTGGCTAAGGTGGGTAGTTTCTGGTGGAGAGTCCGCAAAGATCATACCGCCTGCCTCCGATGGATACGATTTCATGAGATCTTGTACAAACGAAATCTAAAAGAGCTGTTAATTCCGGTTCTGACTGATGCGAGCGAGGTAAAAAGCCTGATCATCGACCTAGGGGGAAGAGACTGGAGCAGCAAGGCTCTGCAAGAGCGTCTGGAAGAGCGGCTTCACGAATCATACAGCCTGGATATGTAGCAAGATCTAAGCTAGATTACAAGGCGTTTCGTCTCAAACTCAGCTTCAACGAGTCGATAAGAATAGATCTGTTCAGGCGTTTAAAGAAATACAACGAACATTTGGAGAAGCTACTTAGCAAGAGCGACAAGCTATCTGCTCTTGAGAATGTCAGTCATACCAAGCAAGCTCACGCCTTGGAAGCGACCTTCAGGAAGGCATGCAAGAGGCCAGACCACCTGTTCAAGGCTATTCAAAAGGCGCAAGGATTCTTGCCTCGACAATCCATAACTGCAGATGCTAAAGACAGCGAATGTAACTTCGCCTCATTTGGCATCCTGCTCGTAGAGCTTTGCTTCGGTAGACGACTGGAGAACCACCCTCTCCGCAAGAAACACCCAACGGCAGACGGAGATACTAAGCAAGCTTTTTGCAATAAAGTGGTCCCTAGGCGTCTGCGATGAAGGAGGCGAGGACTACGCATCCGCCGTGAAATGGTACTTCGTCACTAGCGCAAGAGAAGCGAACGACTTATGGCGAAGCGAGATCATTCAGGACGTGATCAAGCCACTGGAGAAGTGTCAGGCGCATTGCAAGACGGTGCCCATAGGTTCATCGTGGCTTGATGAGACCAGCTTCGCGTCACGCGGAGAACGTCGCGTTTGTTGCCGAACTCGCCCGTTGCATGTAAGCGACAAATAGTATAAGAAAGCAGCACGTAAGACCTTGCCCGCCCTAATGTACATTATTATGGCGGATGAAGAGTGCCCTTCCAAATGTGGTATGATGCATGCGATGACAGAGTGCAAGTGGTCAATGACAACCCTAGCTTCGGCATCCTCGGCCGCATCCCATCTCGACCGAGGCTCACGTGAAAGACGCGAAACACAAGCGTGGAAAGGAGCGCGGGGAAGCAACTAATACTACGGAGGCGTTCCGGGATGATGTGGGGATAAAGACTCCACTAGGCCGTCCCTGCGTGGCGTCACACAAAGTGCCTGCATTCTGCCGCTTTCTGATGCTGCACGTCGATTAATCAGCAAAACCAAGTCACAGACAATTACCATGTCTCTTCCCACCGAACCGGTCCCGCCCAAGGCAACACCTCTACCTCCTTTACCCAAGGAAGACCCATTGACGCCGGCACAATGGAAGACACTACTTGCCATCACCGACGCGTGCATCCCGGCAGTCAAGCCGATCTCTGTTGCAAACACCAGAACGGAAATCGCAGCCACCGACACAGATTACTCGACGGCCCTATCTACATTACGAGAACTCACACCCGAATCTGACCCCGATGCCACAGTCGCAGCAAAAGAATACCTCGAGGACTATGCGTCATCGAACCCAGCTTTCAAGCAAGAGCTTCAGCGCATCTTCGCTTTATACATGCCGTCATCAACTCGAAAAGAGCTAATCATGGTCCTCAACGTACTGAACACACGTGCCGGCTCCTTCGCTTTGACAGGATACTTCACACCCATCAGCGAGCAACCGGTGCACATCCGCGAAGCCATCCTACGAAGTTGGGGCAGTGCACGACTAGGAACAATCCGTGGCCTCCACCGTTCCCTGACTGTGCTTTCGAAGCAGACGTGGATCAAGATCACGCCTACCCTGCGCCGTGTCCTAGGAGTTCCGCGCGTACCAACAGGCATGATACCCGGCAAAGGTTATGACTACGAATTCATCCAGTTTCCACCAGGAGATAAGCCTGAAGTCATCGAAACGGACGTGGTCGTTATCGGCAGCGGCTGTGGCGGTGCTGTCTGCGCAAAGAACCTTGCTGAGGCTGGCAACCGCGTTCTTGTCGTGGAGAAAGCGTACCACTGGACGCCCGACCACTTCCCCATGAGCGAAGCAGATGGGTGGAATCATCTCTTCATGAATGGCGCGTTTATCAGTTCTGATGATACGAGTACGTCCATTGTTGCTGGGCAAGCGTGGGGCGGTGGCGGGACGGTAAATTGGAGCGCGAGTCTGCAGACGCAAGGGTATGTGAGGAGGGAGTGGATGGAGAGGGGACTGCCGTTCTTCACGAGTGCGGAGTTTCAGGAGAGTCTGGATCGGGTGTGTGGGAGGATGGGTGTTAGTGCCGAATACCTCGAGCAGAATCGCACCAATGCGATGTTATTAGAGGGCGCGAGGAAGCTAGGGTACAATCACAAGGCGGTACCGCAGAATACTGGGGGCGCACAACATCGCTGTGGGCACTGCACTTTTGGCTGTGGATCCTGCGAGAAGCAAGGTCCCGTCAATTCGTACCTCCCAGACGCAGCACGAGCAGGCGCAAAGTTCATCGAAGGTTTCCACGCCGAGAGAGTCGTCTTCAAAACCATCGGCGGGAAGAAGGTCGCAACAGGGGTAATTGGCTCCTGGGTCTCGCGCGACATCAACGGCGGCGTTGCCGGCGAACCCACCACGCGCCGCAAGGTCATCATCAAAGCCAAGCGCGTCATCGCCTCAGCTGGCACAATGCAAAGCCCACTGCTGCTGCTCCGCTCTGGTCTGAAGAACCCCCAAATTGGACGCAACCTCTACGTGCACCCCGTGACCCTGCTCGGTGCCATCCATCAAGAAGAGATCAAGCCCTGGGAAGGCGCAATCCTGACCTCCGTCGTTGGCGAATACGAAAACCTGGACGGCCGAGGCCACGGCGCAAAACTCGAGGCCACCAACATGATCCCCTCAAGCTGGCTAATTTGGCTCGACTGGAAAGGCGGGTTACAATACAAGCTCGATGCGGCCCGCATGAAGCACATGGCGGGCTATATTTCGATCTGCAAAGACCGCGATACTGGGAGAGTGTATCCGGATCCGGTTGATGGGAGGGTCAGGTTTAGTTATACGCCGAGCAAGTTCGACAAGAAGCATATCATGCAAGGACTGCTGGCGTTGGCGAAGATACAGTATGTTAACGGTGCCAGCGAAATCTTTACTGCAATCCCTGGCGTGTCGGTTTTCAAACGGGATTCTGGGTTGCCGGCGACTGGGGATGGGATCAACGATGAAAGATTCCAGGCGTGGCTTGATGAGGTCCAGACTACGGGGTTCCCGAGACCGGAGAGTTTGTTTATATCGGCGCATCAGATGGGGACGTGTCGAATGAGTAAGGTGGAGAAGGAGGGTGTTGTTGATCCAACGGGTAAGGTGTGGGGGACAGAGGGGCTGTATGTTGCTGATGCTAGTGTGTTCCCGAGTGCGAGCGGTGTGAACCCCATGGTGACGAACATGGCGATTTCAGATTGGATCTCAAGGGGCGTTGCAGATGGGCTGGTGTCAAGAGCTCTGCTCTGAAGGGAGCACGTTGGTGTCATGTCCCAGTATGTAGTGATGTTGTACGTCTACTTCGGCTATCAAAGGCATTATTGCATCTCTATTGTCCTCTCATTCCGTTATCTTCTTTTGCTCCGACCGTGGTACGCCGTCGTCATGATCGACTGTGACGATAACAAGACAGATCACTTACGATGACTACTGGTTAGCGCCTTTCCACGCTTCTGCAGCCTGCGAGTTTTCTGGTGTGGTCTCTCACTGTCTTCTCGGTGCCAGGATGCCAATAAAAAGTGTGCGATTACAGAATTAGAATTCCTGGAATGGACAGCGGTTATACGGTTCTAGCTAGCGCTGCAGGACGTTGCAGGTGAAGGAATGTCGAGTGCATAGCGCAAAGGCCGTGCATGTGTTGGTGCCGCTTACTGATTGGCTCTGGTGCACGTGTCCGGGTTGTGCCGAGTAAGGGTTCAGCAGGCGACGTCATGTCTTGCGAAACCTGTGGACCACACCACGAAGAAACAGCCGCGCTCCTCACTCGCCCGGGCGCGCGCACCCAGCTTATGCCCAAACAGATCGGCATGCGTGTTGCAAGGAGCAGGATAGGCGAGCCGAAACCCCCGCCTTCAACTGGCGATGCACGCTAAGCGGGCCCTAATTGCTGCGGGCACGGGAGGCGCATCGTTACCGGCAACTGCTATTTAAGGGCACACGGCACCGCACTTGCGCGCCGTTGAGCAGGTTTGCGAAATTGCGACAGCAGATGACGGCACGACACTTTCCTTCTGCGCAGGACGCGCGACAACAATAAGAGTACCGCACTGGCTGCCCCGATAGCTCGACCACCACCACTACCACTCCACCACGCCACCACTACGCCACCACTACGCCACCACACCATCACTATCTCCACCATACCATCACTATCTCCACCACCACCACCACCACCACCACAGCACTCACGGCCATGATGCCTATAGACGGGCCATACACTCAGAGCAGGATCCTCCCGCGGTGGGGCAGCATCTCTCATGGCTTCGGCTTAAGCAGCGCTGCTGCTAATGGCGGCACCGAGTTCATGTCAACGCTGCCCCCACCCAAGGGCGATGTAGACGGCTGGGACAAGACTCGGCCATGGAACCAGCAGACGGCTACCAACATTCCGCTCGTCTTCAAGGACGCCATGTCGGTGCGCGAAGAAGTCTTCGGCGAGCAGGGCGTGCCGCTGGAAGGCGAGTTCGACGGGGATGATGCGCGCAGCTGGCACTGGGTTGTCTACGCCTCTGTTGGCACTTCGTCATCCTCGCCGCCCAAGAACATCCTCACTCGCAGCGACTCGGGCAACACGCCCGCAGATGAGGCTAGGCGCGCTTCTGCAACTGCCCAGCGTCTCCCTGTTGGCACTATCCGCCTCATTCCACCGCCCCACGGCCCGAACAAGTACGTCGAGGACAAGCACCCTGACGCGGATCCACCAAAGGACAAGGAGGTCGAACACACCCCGGAGCCATACGTCAAGCTGGGTCGCCTTTCCGTTCTAGCGCCGTACCGCAAGCTCAATCTTTCCAAGCTGCTCATCAACTCTGTCCTCGACTTTGCCGCCCAGCAACCCGACGCAATCTACATTCCGCCTTCTCCGACTACTCGAGAACTAGCAGCTTTGCAGGGACCAAATGCGGTTCGACCGCTCTCATGGCAGGGCCTTGTCATGGTTCATGCTCAAGTTCAGCTGAAGCACATGTGGGAGAAGCACGGCTTCCGGGAGGAGCTGCGGAACGACAACGGCGAGATTGAGGTCGCTGCCGAGCCGCACTGGATGGAGGAGGGCATTGAACATGTGGGCATGTGGAAGAGGCTCAAGATTGCGCCGGGAAGGTTGTAACCGTCACCTTCCTCGCGCACACTCACTTGGAGACTCTTGCTTACCTTCATCTTTTAGTACGCGTCTGCAGCGGGAAGTATACGCGGCACTGGAGAAGGGACCAGCAAAGTTTCCCATTGGTGCAGTACGGGCTGACGACCCTGTTGCCTGAGGCTGGCAGTTCTTTCATTGTTACTGGCGTACGGATTCTCTTTCGGCTGACATTCAACATCATGGCTTATACCCCTTGCACAAGGTCACGACGACACGGCTAGACTCTCATCTCTTTTTTCGAACGCTAGATGCTTTACTGCAGTGCTGCGGCACGCCCCAAGCTCAGAGGCATGCCCATTTGCACCTGCAGCATAACAACCAAAAATCAAAAGTCACTACACACGCCTTCTCTCTCGTCACGCACGGTGTCCTTGTGTTCCGCGTTCATCTTGTTTACTTCATTCCGTCTTCTGACATGTCAACTGCTGTGCACCACTCAGCTGAACCTTGCAGCAAACAACCCTCAAACAAGGGTACATGAGAATGCCGAGCCCTAACGGTAAGCTGGCAACCAGGTACCTTACATTCACCTTCACCTCGAAGCCGTGAGCCACACCCAAGTAATATGGCGTGTGCCAAATTTCGACTTCGAGTCTCCATTCTACCTTGACTTGCTTCCCGCCTCTGCATTGCGCCACCATCCTCCTGATTATATACCTTGAAGCACTTCACGCTATCCTCTCGAGCGCCATGACAACACGATACGATCCCGCTTAGCGACGACAACATTTTCGAAACCAGCAGTATATGCACCACTTGCAATACATTGGTGGCTACATAGCCTCACGCGAGTTCTTACGGCAGGAACACCACGCTCGTATTCGTCGCATCTTCAATCACATCACGGCTAATGGCACGCGTCGCTTAGCTGGAACTGTATTGCCCTACGCGCTCGGAAAAGGCTCGGACGACATTCCATTGTGCAGATTGAAAGCCTACTTGCACCCAACCGAGCCAGCAGCGGTATATTACAGTGATGGTGCAATAGTCAATAATGACATTGAAACACAAGACGGAAGTTTCACCGCTGCCGTGGCATACCCCGACAGTTTGGTATAGCAGTCGCTTCCTCTTCGCTCGAACGTTACACTGGCAAATCGCCCCATGCTGATATGACAGGTCTTCGATTGGCTTTTCGTCTTTCCCACCAACGAACACGCTTCTCTTCGCATGCCATGCGTGACAACTGTGGACCGATAAAGAACGTCGTCATAATTTGTGATCGTCAGGACGTTGTTGAGATCTTCGCTAATGCCAGGCACACAAGGAATTTGCTCGGCTGTATACCAGACCCACGTCATCATCATCGGTATACATGGGCGCTCGAAGAGACCTATCATTTCGTCTCCAAATTGGAAAAAGCGGGAGTGAAGATTGTACTCGCGTGGATCCAGGCACACAGGTAGGGCAGAATCCGGATAGGTAACAACCGGGCAGGCCTGGCGTATCGGACTCCATCGAGATGGAACGATCGTGATATGCTATGAGCGAAGACTCGAGCAACGAGTTGCCGGGTTGGATACATGGGCTGCAGGTTGGTATGAAGGAGCAAGCGCTCTGGCGTCTGAGCGGGCGCTGGTTCACTTGGGGCAGAGGGGAATGCTGGACCTGCCCGATCTTACAGGAGCCTTATATTACTGAAGAAGAGGAGGAAGAAGATCCTACGATAGTCCAGGAAGACTGGCACATGAGCCTGAAAGAGGCACAACAAGCCGCCAGGAAGGAGTTGAGAGAGTATATGGGAAGCTTGAAAGCAAAACAACTAGGGGCTGAGGTGATTGGGTAGAAGCAGGTTGTAAAAAAGGCTGGACCGTTGGTGCACCTTTGGGGCATAACGAAGAAGTTGGAAAAGCAGGGAGGCTTCGGTGTGGCGTATAGTAAAGCTTTGAGTACAGGGACTTGAGTAGTTGAATGTGATTTGTAGTATTGCGAGACAGCAACGAGTCTCATCGCAGTGTAAACGGCAGTACGAGATCTTCCGGATCGATAAAAAAGTTCATCCGCCCAACCAGATTCGCATGGCCTCGCACTCTCGGTATACACGCCGGTGCGCCACCCTCGATGGGACTCTTCTCTTCTGATACGATGTCACCCTCGAACGTCGACCCTACAATTGAACCATGTATCAGCTTCGATCGTCCAGCACCCAGTCTGCCTTCCGCGAACAGCACCGCCAGCCTTGCACACGTTCCAGAACCGCAAGGAGAGCGGTCGATCTGCCCATCAGCGAAGACGGTGACATTGACTTGTCGTACTGGGTCCGCGCTCTCATCATCTTCGTGGAAGAAGATCACACCATAGCAATCATACGTCCCATAATGCGCTCTCGTTCCTAGACTCTTTTTGATTTCCCTCCCCAACTCAATGAACTGATTTGCGTTCTTCGGCTCAACTCTCAGACCAAACTGCGCTGCATCAACTGTCGCGTACACCGCACCACCAAACGTCAGATCCGCAGTGATGCTGACACCCCTTGACGGTATCTCAACGGACAGCCCTTTTGCTAGTTGAAAACTCAACACGTTGACAAAGTCCGCTTGCACTGGCTTGCCCTGCTTAATGGCAACAGTGGCTATAACACGACCAGATGGGACATCAACAACAACATCCACCACCCCATCCCCCTCCGGTGCCTTTACCAATCCTTTTGTGACGGCCCAGTACCCCAAAGCTATAGTCCCGTGACCGCACGCCGTAGAGAAGCCCTCAGCGTGCCAGAACAAGACGCCAAAGTGCGCACCGGAGTCGTTGGGCGGTGTGATAAAGCCTCCGTACATATCAGAGTGGCCTCGTGGTTCATGACAAAGCTGCTGGCGCAGAGTGTCGAGGGGGTGATTGGGGGTCTTGAGAATGGCGAAGCGGCGCTCTGCTACGGTGGACGCATTTGGGAGGGATCCAGATGGAAGCTGGTCGACGATTCGAAACGGCTCACCCGCCGTGTGCCAGTCTTCGGTTTGGATCCAGTATGATTGAGCCATGATGCTGACTGATGGTAGGTGGGTTTGTGGATGTGAGTGGACCAGTGGAAAGTACTTGCAGCGATGGTCAAGAGCTGAAGTTTTGACCGTTCATTTACTCTGGCTTGGCTTGATGTTAATGTTGATATAAGATGTTCGTTTAGCATCGGCAAAGACATCTAGGGCGTGGGGTCGGAGCAGCAATCCGGTGTCCGACTTCGGCCTACACGATAGCACCCGATTCAAAGTAGACCCGTCCCGGATGCTGCTGCTACTTGCAGCTACAGTTTTATATTCTCTAAGTATATGCTTCTCGAACAGCGTTAGGAGTTGATCATGAAGTTCGTTCGATGTTAATGATTGTTTTCGACGTGACGTCATGAGCTAGCAATTCTGGGGTTCTACACCTCGCGACATCGACAAATTCCGTGCAACAACTCTTCTTCACACACACACATACTGGTACCCGCAATGGCGCCCCAATCGTCTGATCAGCACGATGTTGCAATAGACGCGCACTCACGCTCTGCCCTTGCTACAACGAAGCAAAATCTCCGCTACCTCTACGACCCGAAAACAGCAGGTGCTGGCGCCGTCTCATCTCGCCGCACCCGCGCTGCCTTACGCGTCCTACGCTCCAGCTTAATTTTCATCTTCTGGCGCGTTGTGCGCTACGCAAAATATGTCGCTATTGGCTCATTGGTTGCTACAATAGGCGCAGGCGCAATTGGCACATTTGTCAGCGGTGCAGGTTTCGTGCTTGCGCCTACAGGCATCGCAGGAACCATCATTGCAAGCTCGGTGTGGGGCATTGGACGTTTTGCTGTTCGCAGAGTGAAGAGGAGATGGGAGACGGGCCACGGGTATGGGGATGCGGAGGAGAGGGCGGAAGCGAGAAGGAGCAGGGCTGCGCAGATGGAGCGTGGGCCCGAGGCGCTGCCTTGGTGAGCGTAGCAAGCGAAGGGCCCCCATTCGAGTTTTGATGCCAACCTCAAATCATCCGCAGCGGTGACACCTTGCTCGAAAACATCGCATGAGTCATGTTATGGGTCGTGAGAAACAAGACAATCACACCATCGAGATGCATACTAGTGCCCTTAAAGCGTACAAGCGACTCCGGGCGATCCACCATCTCTGCATATTGAGTTAAAGGGAAGGCTTTTCACCTCTCAGGCACTGGATGGCTTCTGAGCCCACAAAGTGAAGAGCTTGAACCCTCCGCCAATCTCTCGCAGCTCCTCCACTAGCTTCGACGGTATCGAATCCAACTCCTCGCCAGCAATTTCGATGGGCGGCAGCTTCTTCAGTGTATCCGTCGCAAATGAAGCTGTCGCAAACATGCTTTGCAGGCTCGTCTCCTGTACCTCCTCTTTCGCTTTTGTACCCAACGGTACATCGATAATCCTGTACCCTACGTCGACTAGGCCTGCCTTATTGAACATCACGATCAAGCGTTCTCGCATGTCCACTCCTTGTCCGTTCGTCACCATACTCACAAGTTGCTTCATAGCGTCATGAAACAGCTGTAAAGCCGGCCCGGCCTCCCAACCTTCCCACTCCATCTCAACTAGCTGGATCCAACCACCAGGCTTCGCCAAGCCGATCAGACTCTTGACCACCTCTTCGAGGGGGTTGAGACCAACACCCGGTAGCGCCATGCGGGAGTGCACCAAGTCAAATGTGCCTTGCCAATCTACTGGCCACGGCTCGGTCATCGATTGGTGGTGATACGAAGTGTCCGAGGGTGGATCTCGGGGAAAGTAGCTGTCTTCGATGTCGGTGCCTACCCACGTGTTCGAGGCACTACCGGCTGCCTGGCGTACGTCGCGGATCCATATTCCTGCTTCGTCAATATTGGTATGGTTGTTATGTACAAAGTACGTACCGCTTCCGGTAGCCTGATCCAAGATACGGTAGCCTCCTTGGCTGAGATCGATGGGCGCAAGGACTAGCTGTGGCATTGCGGCATACACGACCTTGTGTTGCTTGTCTAGACGTTTGACCTCGCTTTCGTTGGCAGCGAAGATGACATTGTCGTTGTTCAAGCCTGTCTTAGAGACTGAGGTTGAGGATGTCATTTTGCGAGAACAACAGCGAAGAGTGGCCTTGAGGGGCTTGAGGAGACCTTGGCTGGGCCATCTCACTTGCGTAAGCCAATATATATGTCAATCGCAGCAGCACATGTCCGACCGGTCAGGTCCGAACGGATCTTGCCTATTTTCCAACTTCGGCGACCATCTCACATGGATCTGACTGTATTCCTTCTTCTACTCTGGTCGTTTGTTAAGCAGCACGAAAGTCTCCGAGAGTGCTTCTGTATCTCTCCGTGAAGATCAGAATGTCTCCGGGGCTTGAACATACTCTTAACACTAACGAATATTTTCATAGAAGTTGATAATGATAGAACCATACATCATAGCTGTCCGTAAACACCAGGACCTGTGGGGCTAGGCATCCCGGAGCAACCAGCTTCCTTCAGCAGTCGCCGTCCTTTACCGGTTTCAATTCGCTATCGGCACCCAGGACCACATTTGCGACTGCCACATTTGCGTTCTCGCCATCGAAGAGGATGGCGATTTCTTCGAGTGTCTATGTTGCAGTCAGTACACATTCTAAGTAACAGCCCCAGGCGGACACATACTGGGCCCCTAGTCTCCACGTAGAGGAAGTAGATCGCCAGACACTCCAGCACCAGAACCACAACGTATACGATGTAGAATTTCCAACCCAGTGCTTCAATACCAATGGGGTTCACATACTGGTTGAACACACCAGACAGCGACGTAAACACAAAGCAAAGCGTAAGACCCTTAGCGCGGATGTTGAAGGGCAGGATCTCAACGGTATACGAGACAGTTAGACCAGGCCAGGCAATACCAGCAGCGCCGTAGAAGATGAAGATCATAGCTAAGACGGCTGAACCGGCGCTCGAGTTGCCAGTCTGGGCGTATACGGCGCTGCAGGCGGTCCAGATGCTGAATGCGATGAGCATGCCCACGCCAGCGCTTAGGAAGAGTGTGCGACGGCCGATGCGGTCGACGAGGAAAGCGCAGCCGAGAGAGACTACGAAACACCAGATTGTCAGGCCGCCGTTGATGAGTGCTTGGTCGGATCCGCTGCAAATTGTCAGTACTGTTGCAACTACTCAACAGACGGGACACTTACCTGGTGATGCCGATTGTCTGCAACACAGCAGCCAAGTAGTAGCTGACCAAGCCATTACCGGAGCATTGCGAGAAGATGGCAGTCAGAATGATGAGCAAGCATCTCTTCCTGTTCCCAGGCGTTCTGACAAGCTCGTACCAGCCACTTGAGGCGCTGGCAGCCTTCTCCACCTTCAGTGTCTGGCTGATCTCATTGAACTCCCAGTTGACGAAATCGTTGTCTTCACCATTGCCATGGTACTTGGTCAAGACCTTCTTAGCAGCCTCGTGCCTGTCTTTGCTGATCAGCCAACGTGGGCTTTCGGGCAGAAGGTAGACGAAGAGAAGCTGTATGCCTGGCATGGCACACTGAAGTCCGATAGGCAGACGCCAGGACAGGTCTGAGACAATATGTGTGAGGGTGCCGTACGTGGTCCAAGCAGCGAGTATAGAGCCCATGTACCAGAGCGTGTTATAGATGGTTGTCACCCTGCCTCTGTGTCTCGGATGAGCGACCTCTGTAATCAGAAGTGGGCAGGTAGCGTTCGAGATGTTGCTGCCCATTCCCATGATGAACCTGCCAGCCAAGAACATTGCATCCGGATTGCTGGCTTGTGGTAGTGCTTGGATGATGGAGCCGACGACGACGAGGATGCAGCCGATTGCTGTACCCATGCGACGGCCCAGAATGTCAGCGATGTATGGAGTGAATAGCAGGACGGCGAAGCCTCCAAAGCCTGGGAAGGCTCCAAGCAGACCAAGTCGTGAGCCAGTGGGATGGTGGAAGTCTACAGCAGGTGTTAATTGTCTGCAACCGTTGATAGAAGGGAAAGCAACATATGAACGTACATGCTTGCCATGCTGGCATGGTCTGGAGGCCGTTGAGAAGACTTCCATCGTAACCCAACGTCGTCGACCCGAGGAACAAGAACGGCATCATGAGGTACAGCTTCCGGAGTTCAGGTTGCTTATACCATGGTCGTTGGTCCTCGCTTGGCTGGGAGGGGACTGCGACGTCTTCAAGATAGACGACTTCGATGTTTTGCTTGCTGTCCATGGTGTGAAAGGTTCAAAATGGAGAGTACAGATGAGTCAAGACGAAATAGGAGTGCCTGGATGCTGATTCGAAAACGATTCCATCGCAAGACATATATACACTTCATCGTACGGACTATGATGGCTATACATCGGCCGACTACGATACCTTGCAACACGCCACCAGTGCCATGGGGTGGGAATCTGGGGTTTTCGGCAGTCACCTGTTGTGGGGAGACAAGGGGCGCAAAGTCTCCAGAGCGATCCGTTTCACGCACTAAACTTTCGGTGGCTAGCGCTGATGCACGAATTTTCCGAGATATATTAAGAAGGCTAGACTACCGCTTGCTGTCGCGTCCATGATCCCACGAACAACCTCTAGAACAATATCGGATGAGCATGACTCGGCAACGCAATTCAGCTGCGTGCGATGCGTGTCGGGCGAGAAAAGTAAAAGTGAGTTTACATATGTCATCATTTTCATATTCATCCCTCCTTCCAGATCAGATGGGTATCACAGTACTTCTGCAATTTCAGGAAGGAGGCCTGGACGTCAATTGGAGTATACAATATTTTACAACGGGTCGCTGCGCACCCGATTGACTAGCCTAGAGGCCTTCAACTCTGGCCGGGCGAGCACACAAATCTGTTGTCTTGCCTGCGGAGGTAGACAAGTTGTTGCACTACCTATGAAATCAAAGCAACTCCAGAAGGCTACCATACGGTACCGAAGCTGACATTAATTAGTGTATGGTGTCAGATGGACAATCCAAGTGCTCCACATGCACTGAGCTGGACATTCACTGCGCAAGTGTTCAGCCGAGGAAGAAGCGGGGCCCGAAAAACCGATACGTTCAGACATTGCGAAATGAGCTTGATGGCCGAAGCGGGGAAAGATCATTGAGCCTGGAGGCGCTCGCACCATTCGAGCTCATACAGCAGCTCGTCGCCGACTGGTTTGGATGGATCCATCCGGTGGCACCTATTCTCCAGCAAGATCAGTTCATGCAACGACTGACAGATAGTCAGGCATCGCCTGATAATGTCTCAACTTCATTCTTGCTCTTGGTCGCATCCATTGGCGCGGCAACAGTGGCTAGCTTACGCCGAAGACGGCATCTCTACACCAATGTGACGGTGGAGTCTTGTCTAGACTTTGCGGATCGCTTAGGGGTGTGGAGCCCCAATGCCGCAATCACTGTGGAACGGAGCATTGCTATGTACAACTTCGGCAGTGCGCTGCACCATGAGCACGGTATAGATTCACCGCTGTCGCATCGGCTGATCACCGAGGCAGCAATGAGCGTCAAATACTTGATCCATCAGTCGATCGACACGTTGTCTTTCATGGATGCTCAAATCTTGAAGCGCCTTTACTGGCTGATCTATGCTGGGAATTGCACAAGCGACATGTATGGGAGGCAGTTGCTTCTTCTGCGTCAAGCGCACGACCAGACAAATACCTTCATGCCTTTGGAGATCTCCGATGCACAATTGCTGGACCATGGCGACCCGTCTTCCTCCAACCGCATTAGCAGTGAACACTCGTATGTGCCAGGTCTGAACGCGCTGTCTCGCCTGTTCATGGTCTGGCAATCTAGCCAAGCCACCGCGACGCAGTGGATGGAAAACCTGCAAGCGCACATCGAACGCACCCACCGTTTAGTGGACAATTTGCCACCGGAACTAAGCTGGAAAGGAAGTCACATCAACGGCGGTTTCGGCTTCAATGTGCAAACAGTCAATCTGAAGATCACACAACTGCATATTCGATCAAACCTGCTTGAGCAGATGAACAGCATCGCTAAAGTGGAGGGCCTCTTGATTACACCTCACGCCATCATTGAAGAAAGACACCGTGTGGTCGATGAGCTGCTCGATATCCTGTATCATATGCCAACAGAAGTTTTCGATGCAAATGGTTACAGCATCATACCCAAAATCCGCGACATCGGAAGCGCACTACTGGACGAGTTACGGACGGGCTCACACGGACGCACTCTACAAGCCAGCGTAAATCTGGACAGGTTGCTGGCGAGGTTGGAAAATCTTGATTTGCGACCTGCAACTGCAACACCCTATTTCTAATAACAATCCTAATAATCATCTTCAGTTTCCTCCAGACTGTAAGCCCAGCACTCGGCGATGCATGTTCGAGCGGGGATGGTTACAGCGATCGGGAAACCACCATAGTCTGGATCCTCGTTCGGCATGATCAGGAACTCGCCACTTCTTGTCTCATCACCACCCAGGACCTTCAACGTGCTCAGCTCACCGGTCTCCGCATTGACCTCTTTCTCTTCAGCGTGCAGTATGCCGGTGAATGTCGACTTGGGGTTTGTGCTCTTGAAAGAAAGGTTAAAACCCCAACCAGCACACAGGAACTTGCCATCACCCTGGTGAATCACGATACCAGCACCTGGGCCAGCCTTGCCGAAAACGAAAGCGCGCTCAACAATGACCTCATACCCAGCTATTATCTTTGTCCAAGGCTTCTCCGCAATCTTCTGGCCCTCCACAAAGTCATCGAAGAAGAAGCCAAACATGTCTTCCGGTCGCTCTGCCTGTGCTTCGAGGATCTGGTTCCTGAGCGAGTGAATGAGGCGGTAGTGCTTCGTCGCAGGCGACTCTGCTGCAGAGAGGGAATCTATGCCGAACGGAGAGCAGCCCAGTGCAAGGTATGTTCCATATGCGAGCCATACCCGCCTGATACCGTACTCGTCTCGTCTCTGCTCCGGAATGAACAGAGGCTGGTTCCCATGTCTGTAGTTGATGCAGGTCTGCTCGTAGTCATGAAAGTATAAATCGGGTGAAATGAAGTCGAGACTGGGTGCGTTGAATTTGTATACATCCGTTGTGTGAGGGCAAGGACCACCGGAGGGGTAGATACCAGCTTTGGCACCTCCACCAACTACAACATCGACTTCGGCAAGATCGAGGTCTCCAGGAATGTCAAAGTTCAGCCAGACATTGACGTAAAGCGGGATTGAGTATTCGGCCTTGCCCGCCGACGCAACATGGTGGATATACTTCGAGAAGGCGTCGGCCATGAATATCTCCTCGGCATTGACTTCGTCCTTTGAGCCGAAGACATCCTTCCAGGACGAGCCAACGGTTGCGGTTTTAATCTCTGGAAAGCGCTTGGTAAATTCAGGATGCAGGTCTGCATAATTGGTTTGCAAATGCTCGAGCAGGTCCTTCGGTACCGCCTCGCTGTACTTCTTCTCCGCGACCTTGGATCGGTCTCTGAAGTCGCCGAGCAGTCCAGTCTCGTTCTCGACTTGCACCATCAGCACAGTGCTGTGTTGACCATCGAACTCCTTCAGATGCCCCATCAGCTTTGCGAAAGCCTTAGCGTCTGCCGTCCAGCTGTTCTCTGAGAAGGGGCTGAGGAGCTCCAATGTTCGCTTCCTGTTCCCCGCCTCGATTGTGTGCGCTCTTGGGAAGCGTTTGACGTCCTTCTTCACCCAGGCTGGCACATATGTCGAAAGTGCGTTCTTGAAGCTGCCAAACCATAGCAAGACAAGCTTCATGTTGTGCTCGCGAGCTGCCAGGATGACGGCATCGAGGTTTGAAAAATCGAAGTTCCCCTCCTCAGGCTCGACTTGCTCCCAGGATATCGAACCTAGCAGTGTATTGATATGCATGTCCCTCATGTTCTGCCATATCTTATCGTCCGCCATGTACTTGGCGGAGCTGAGTGTGGAGTTGTGCAGCTCGGCGCTGAGCATGAGAAAGGGCTTGCCATTGACGATGAGTTGACTCGACGTCTTGGTCTTGCGAAGGTGTGGAATTTCGACTGCCTTCATTCTGATTACGGTGGATGGAAAAAACGCTAATGAAGTGGAAACTTCGCAACTCGAATTGATGAAGGGGAAGTTGAAGTGTGAGGAAAGTAAGGCTGCGTGAAGAGTGTCAAAGTGGAAGAGACATCACCACCAAAACTATTAAATAAATCACCGTAGTCTGACATGGTGGAGCTCCAAGGTGGAGCTCAGGCCCGTATACCTACCGCTTAAACTACCCTGCAATTATCCGATATAAGCTGGCCAGAACCCACTGCGGGATTGAAGCACCCCGATAGGCTACCCCGCTTGAGGAGTGTGGGGAATTAACACGCCATCGTGCGTTTCGCGTCCCCTCTTCTTACTACCGCGTATTGCACCACATATACCTCGCTTTAATGTGTCAATCGTTGCTTGTGGATTGTCTGACCGGCAGCTTGCTGTCATTGCACCTGCCGAGGTCATGAGAACAATCCTCATCACTGCTCCTGCTAAGTTCAACTCTTCTTCACTAATTTTTGAGACGCGATCTGCAAAATAACACGTCGAAACCATGGGCTGAAGTGTGGTACAGCCGGTACGAAAACCCGTCGAAGACGCTTTGTGCTCACCACCGCGGGAATCGACACAGAGTCATCCAGCGACTGCTCAAACCTCATTACATTTACAAGATGAACCGTTTAATCTTTGTTGCTACCATGGATTTCCATGTTATGCGCTCACTCCTGACAAGCCGACGTTTGCTAGCATTGCTCGTACGGACTTCCTTACAAGCAATTGTTGTCACCGGTTAACAGTTCTCTGACTTTTTGAACGACCGACGGTACTGTAGTCCGAAGAGCACAAGATTGCACAAGGAGTGCCACGGCTTTATGCGAAGCGAAGAAAGCGTACTTCCACTGCGCCAGAAGGAAACATAGTGTGGCTTGTTTGCGCAATGGTTTGGAAGGGATCGAGAAATGGTGGAACGAGCTGGAAACCTTCTAGACCATCCACCCGCGATGCAAGGGCCAACATTCACATACAAGAATAGCACAAGCTGTGTAACGAGTTACACAGGGCTTACAAGAATATTCATTGCATTTCAGGGCGTGGTTAACTCCAAGCCTACAGTTACTGATCTCGAATAAACCTCAACAAGCCTCGCTGCGACTCAACCACTAGCTCCCGCATGGTGCGTATCTTAATGACCGCACAAAGGAACATGACGCGTCGACCCTACCAACACCCATCGCGAGTTCTAATCACGAAGACTAGTTTCGAGACTGACATTCTTCAGCCTCTCATCGCATACGTTCCTGCGGCTCCTGCACCCCAAATAGCTAGCTTGGTATTTATCTGTGTAACACAACCATAGTTCCGGGCATTAACTGAGCAATGACAAGGCGTGCCTGGGATGGTGGCATGTTTGGAAAGGCAACATTTGCAGTTGCTCTATCCATGGGGGGCCTAGGGGACGGTCGTGTAATGTTCATAAGATCCGGACACCGAAAGATTGCAACTTTAATGAACATTGAAGTCTACAAGTCTCATATCTTCTCTCAAATCAACTGCGGAGTTCACTTCTTCGATTCGTTCTAATTCCACAGACACCGTAATGTGGCAATTCAAAATCTTCCCCGCAGTCCTTGCCTTCATCACAACAACCCAAGCCGCGATCAAAACTTCAATTTGGATCGACCAAATCCCCGGCTACTCCGCACTCGCGCCATGTGCAGAGAATCGCATCAGCGCAATCGTGCGCGCGCAAGCCTCAGGATGCGGCGATAACCAGCAGCTCACGAGCTTCAGCTGTTTCTGCATTGACCAATCTTCGTATGTAGTATATTCTCGAGGCCTTCGATGTGGGAAACGAATGGGAAGAAGAAAGGCTGACAATGTGACTATGCAGATACATGGCAAGCGTCATATCTACGGCGGTTCACGACTATTGTGCTGCGAGCGCAACAGCCGTATCAGCGAGTCTGGCAACACCACTCCCAGAGGTCACGGACGCAATTGATGTCTTCAACAGCTACTGTGCGCGGAGCACTGAATTGGTCTGGTGTACGTCTCTCCCTCTTCGGTTTTTAAAGCTACCTTCTGACCGAACGTTCACAGACCAACAAACCAGCACAGCGCCAGCAATCGTCGTAATCACTCCAGCACCATCCTCCACCTTCGCAACCTCGACTTTCATGACTATCTCATCTTCAACGTCTCAAGCCAGCACATCGAGTAAATACGTGCCAGTAGCAGCCATCGCAGCACCAGTCGTGATCGGCGTGCTCGCCATCGCCAGCATCGTGGGTCTGTTGTTTTTCCTGCGCCGCAGAAAAGCTGTAACCGCAAAGGAAAACCCATATGCGCCGCCTAACGACACATCACAAGGCAGACTGGTGCACAGGGAGGTGCATGAGGTGCAGAGTCCGGCGCAGGAGGTTGTTGGTGATACTGTGAAGTATCAACACGAGCTGGAGACTAGGCCAGCGGAACTGGAGGGCGAAAAGCAAACTAGGAGTAAGCGTTGATACTGCGACTGAGTAGGAGTTGGAGCGATAATGTGATGGCTCTTCAGTGTTTCGATGCTGCCTTTGTGGTATCGGCGGCTGGCGAAATGTGCGGACCACCCCTCCCACGGTAGCCATAGACTGTCACTCACGTTTGACAGGCAAGATGGGTACTCTGAGTAGTCAGAGGTACCCGTGTAATTTGTGGGGGAGACCCGACCCCTATATAAATGCTCTCTGACATGCCTAGAACCCTGATCCATACCTTCACAGACCCTGAACCGGACCTGGGCAGCCTCTCACGGATCCCACGGATGAACGGTAACGTCATCTCTCTCGTCATAGTGCCAAACTCACACACATATCATAGGTAGACCATCCGCACCTCTGTTCCTTCACGGAATCCAGGTAACTTCGACAGTGGATCTCTCTGTGGCTTTAAGGGCTAGTGTACCAAGAAGGGGGTGGTCCGTACATTTTGCATGTCATTATGAATGATGCCCAAAATCTGCTCTCAATGCGTGCCGCCTGTAGCATGATCGTCCCGCCCAATTGCTTCTTCACTCATCAGCACATGCAGTGGGTTTGGCCTGAACATCTCCAAGCACGCCCGCACAATCTTGATTCTTGCGCTTGCTCTGCAGCTCGTCATGCCTGTCCATGTTGCTGGAACGCTCTTCTTCAAGGGCTTCAGCAGTCTCGTCCAACAACCCGAACAAACGCGTCCAAGGTGAAAGCAGAGACAGACAAACGAAGCCAGACACAGACGCAGACGCACACATGGATATTACCACTCCACCGCGTGGGCCCGATGACACTTCCTCCGCAATCATCTCCGTCCCCGTTTCCTTGCTTGAATGACACTTATAGAGCCTCGCTAGGCAGGTGGGCATCTCGACTCTACGCCGCCTCATTCTAAGACAATTACTACCACGCCGAGCAGAAACACAGCGCGTAACAATGCGGCGCGCGAGCACATCGAAAACTCTACCCATCCAAAACCAGCACCAAAGACAAGTCAGAAAAGTCCCACAACGAGAACGCTGCATACGATGCCGAAGTCGCTAAGGAGTCTCGTTGTGACGCTCTTCGTCTGCGTCGCCAGAAAGAACGAGTTACCCGACGATACAAAGTGGGTCGACGTGATGAGCGCAACGCACACCTCCCTCGCCCGCAGTTTTCAGCCTACGCATAGCGGAAGCGCTTAGCTAAGCCTAATCCCATGGATGCTATGAAAATGTATGGTTGCGACCGAGACTTCCATCGCGTCGAGCACTACCAGTTTGGGCGATTGACTCCTGACGCTATGCGACAAATCCATTTTTGACTCTCTGCGACCGGCAGTCTGATCGGGCGTTGGCCCCCTGGGGTCAAGGAATTGTTCTTTGACGTGGCATGCACAGTAAGCGTACGGCTCGTTTGGCAGTCTCATCATGTGCGCAAAAAAAGCAAATAGAATATATCCGCGAGAAGCATTGGATAACGAGGGAAAAACTTCTCATTGCCTTGGAAGAACCAGTCTCTTCATCCACACTACAGCGAAGTCTGTCAATCGATCGAAACTCCACACTAAAAGGACAAACGAGTCAAGAACCCGAAGTATGACAGGTTGAAAAAAAAAATCAAGGTGACGCCTGATAATCCGCAGAGAAACGCCGCAAAAATACGCTAGAGTCGGCGAAGAAACAGTCTTCTCGCCAAAAAACAAACGTCAACACATTAGTCATCCTCATGAAAGTAAAACAGGGACGAAGCGTCCCAAAGTCGCAAGGCACATAAGCCAGCACCTGATGCTGGCGTTCTGTCCTTGAGCACAGGTCTCTCATCGTAGCGAACCTCACGTCTTCGCACGCCGATTGCTTCTTCGTCCTGTGCTACATCAACAACTCTTGAATCTCAGCGAAGGTGGGCACGATGGGTGGTCGCAACAGATCCAGTGAATTGGCGGCCACGAACTTGCATGCCTATCAGGATTGCTTTGGGAGGCGGGGACATGATTGGGGATGACAGATGATCACATGTCGTCCAGGTCTCGACTGTGATCGCGTGGGGTTTGTGTGGTCGAAGCGTATCCTGCATGCCAATCCAAGATAGGGCACATCGAATAGATGGATCGGTATCGAAGACCCTAGTCCATTATGGCAGGGCACTGCTTCGGTTCGCTGCACCCAGGACGATTACGTCTTCTCTGAGTGCCGGTACTCGAATCGTTCAGCGGCGCTTCTTTTGCAGTCCAAACGCTCCACGGAAACCTCGCTGATGCTCTTGCGACCTGCGCTTCCTGTCCCTACTCGAGGACGAACTCTTCTTCTCCAGCAATGCTCTCGCTCTTGGGTCCACTCTGAACAAGCGACAGCGACACGATTCATCTGGGTCCAGCCCACAGTTGAACAGCATCCTCAGGATCGCCAGGGCATCGTCCCGTGGATTTCCAGTCGGCAAGTCGAATCGGTCGTAGGTATAGAACCCCGGACTCGTAGTATCCAGCAACGAGCGAACATGACCGAAGCGCTCCTTTGGCACCACGTTCTTCGCATTTGGATCCGCCTTTTGCTCCAGCAGACGCCGCACGCCGTCAACGTAACGGTTGCGGCAAGCAAGTTGCAAGGGTGTCTCGCCGTTACGTCCAACAGGAGCATCGATCGTCCACAGCTGGCTCATAAGAACGTCGATGATAGCAGAGTTCTTAGCCGCATACGCATACTCAAAAGGCCCATACCCGACACCGCGCAAAGCAACGACAAGCGCACCAGCTCCAACAAGGAGCTCAACCATGGCCAAGTTGCGACGCTGCACGGCATAGCATAGTGGCGTCGAGCTGCCGCTGTTGGGAACATTGCGGCCCCAGTAACGCCCAACACGTGGGATGTTGGCGCGTTCCAGAAAATGCGGCGAAGTTTCCAGATTCGCGCCGAGATGGATGAGCTGCTGCGCGAAGTCGGTGTGGTTGTTGGCGGCGGCCCAGAGCAGCGCTGTGCTGCCGTGGTGAGCGATGTTGTTCTGGAGTAGCGGCTCCCACAGCACGTTGCTAAGGTAGCGGTTCGTGCACACCAGCCTGCTGATGTCGGTCTGGTCGAGGAACGACTCGGCGAGCAGCAGCAGCAGCTCTGTGGGCAGCGTGAGCAGCCCGACTGTAGGCACCATGTTGTTGCTGTGGTTGTTTGTTGTTGTCATGATGCTGATCACGCGAGGTGGCAAGCTGCCGTCTAGAGCGCGAGGCGGGGTGGATGGCAGTCATCGTCTCTTGATCTCGGCAACGTGGAATGTGGGCCACGAACTGGCCTCGGAAGAGCAGTCAGCGCTCTGCCTGAAAGAGTAACACCTGCCCTATTTCGTGATTTTGTTTATCGAAACCCACTTTGACATGTGCACCGGTGGGCTTGTGAGGCTTAAACAGCGTGTCTCGGAAGCAGCCGACAGGTATATTGACGGAACCGTCAGTTGGCACAACAACTAGACACGACTTGGCGGTGCTTGACAACTACACACAACCGTGCTTGCCGTGATTTGGAGACTACAAACAAGTTTCTCCGTGAATATGGAGTGGTTTATTCCGGGTCCAACTCGTCAGAGGTCCACTTCCTGTCATGCTGCACAGCCGGGTCTAGGTCCAAGTACCTGCATGCATGACTTCGGCACGGACGCCGTGACTCCAGACATGCTCTAGGATACTATCCCGTGACTCCCAAATGCAAGCTATAGTAGGGTATCGTGAGTGCCTCCAGGACCCCGTACACACCAGACAGAAGGGGTGTAACAATGTTGGTAGATTCAAGGTTGTGCCGTTGTGGCTCAAGACAATCTAAAGAACGTCAGGCATGGAGGAGAGGTCTACTTTGGTAGTCGTAGTAGTTTGACTACCTCCAGGCTTCCCTTTCAATCTGAGATATCAAATTTGAATTGAGCACAATATTCTGCATAGAACGTCATGCCTTCAAGGAGCCATGAACAATACAAGTCTCTTTCTCTCAGTGATGCTCATCTCATCACAACATATGGGTATATCATCTTCATTCCTCCCTCCCTTCACCACCCTACCGCATGACTGGCGGCCGACTCTCCTTGTTTCCCATCATTCTCGTCACCAGCCACTCGACTGCCTCCTGCACGCCCGTCCCTGTCAACGCGCTACACGGCAACACCCTACTATCCCTCACATTCCCGCCCTTCTCGCCCTCAAACACCCTCCTCACAAACCCCTCCTTAATCCTCACAACCTCGACGCAGTCTTCCCGGTCCTGCTTATTCGCCAACACTAGAATAGGAACCCCGCTCGTCTCCTTGTTGCCTAATATACTCTCCAGCACGAGCCTGCATTCGTCGAGACGGCCCACCTCGCCCTCGTTTACCCCGCCGCCTTCCCCGATCTCTGCCAACGTCGCATTCCCCACATCGCTCGAGTCGATGACAAACACAATCGCGTGCGCAGAGCTGTAGTAACTCTGCCACAGCCCTCTCAAGCTATGCTGCCCTCCCACATCCCACAGCTTGAGGTAGATCGGCGGGTTCGGGGGCGGGAGGGCGAGTGTAACGGTGTTCTGGCCGACTGTCGGGACGGTTTTGAGGTTTGGGTGTGAAGGCGTGTAAGACGCTTTTATTTGCTCGAGGAGCGTGGTTTTGCCGGCGTTGTCGAGGCCGAGGACGAGGACAGAATACTCTGGATGGGGTTAGCGGGTCGCGGGAGGGGGAAGGCGTGGGGGCGGGGGGGGGGGGAAGGGTCAGGACCTTCTTTGCTGGTTGCGTGCAGGTAGATTGATTTGAAGAGGTGGTACATTGTGGTGTGAGTGAGTGATGCGCGCGAGCTTCACATGCGCAAAAGGTGGCAGCTTTATCGATAAGCAGCAGTACTATATCGGCTGTGTGCTGCCGATCGTATTGCACAGTCTCGCCAGTCTAGAGTTGTACAGTAGACAGACAATTAAAATGCATTACGTGACTAGGTATCATATGGCCCAAGCCAAACATTGGACAAGTCCACCTCCGTCTCCATCACCAGTCATCGATCATAAAGTTCGCCTCTTCGCTCTCAATATCCATAACCTTCCGTGCCGCCTCACTCCCGCTCACAGGCAGCATCTCTAGCCCAGCTTTTTTGAACTGCTCAGGCACCTCCTCTGAATCCAAAAGCCCCACCTGGAACAAGACACTGGCTTGATCCCAATACACCCGCTCAGACCAGACCTTGCCTGCGCGCATCCCGACAATGCTGACTACAATGATCTCCACCTTCTGGTTTGTAGGCTTGACGTCTGGCAGTATCCACGGCATGACGCATGTGTGCTTGAACTGTACGTATAATTCGTCGACGATGCGATCTACACCGACTGTGCGCGAGACAAGGCGTAGGTGGAGCGATGGCGGAGCGCTCTTGAGGAAGTAATCGGCGTAGAAGCGCTTGAGTTCTGCTCTGCCGAAGCCGCCGGTCATGGTTGGTGTAAAGTTGACGCAAGGCGTGGGGTGGCTGACGTAGGTCTCCATAAGCTTTTGGACGTTGTGCTCGCGGTATTTCTCTGCTGCTGTCAGCAGTGCAGACAAACGTACGGGGAAACAAGGTTATCTTACGTTCTACGTTGTCCTCCCATGGACGTTCCAGATGCACTTCTGCGCCGAAGCCTCTGCGCACTACGCTCAGACTTCGACTCCACGCAATGGCATCTGCAACCGCGTCGTACTGTTCCAGATCATGCTCTGCGAAGCCCGGATCAACGCCTTCATAGGTGTACGCTGGGTACTCCATCTTGGAGAGCAGACCGCCGGCACCTATCCCCGGCGTTATGCGCTTTGTCACCGTCTTTCTCCTCGCCTGTATGCCCAACACCTCTGGTCGGCGCACAATGCCCACCGTCTCCTCATTATCACCACTACCCTGCGCGAGATGCACTATAACACGGAAGCTGGCAGTGAAGCGGCGTCGCGGATCGGGTATGCTCGTCGGATAGTACGCAACCAGGGAGCACAATTTACTCGTCGCTGTCTTGGGCTCGCTGTAGACATCTAGACAGACAGCTGCTGCTTCACCAAACGCTGACCCTCTATTAGCACTCATCCTTGACTAGTGCACCTAACCAGCTGGTGGTACACAAGAAGGGAGTGCTGACCTACGATCGCATACCGCTCGCCAATGCTCATGCCGTCGCCCAGGTGGTGCAGCGTCTTCACATACTGCTTGCCGTCCTGGCCCATGGGGATGTACTTGACGATGAAGCCCTCGTCGCGCCAGGCGCGCATTGTCTCGACGTCAAACTCCTCATCTTCGGCCGTGATGTAGAGAATCGGCGTGCTGTGGTTAAACGACAGCCAGCCGTTGCTGTCGGCGAGGAACTGCTGGGCCATGGTTAGCAGTGGTGGGGTCGTGATCACGCGAGGCCGTGTCGCGCGCAGCGTTGCGCCGAGTCTGTAGAGTGTTTATCTAGGCCTGCTACAGCTTCAGACGGTACCGCAGGTGTTCAGCTTCGGTGCAGGCAGGTCAGAAATCAAGCATGCCACCACGGCAGGGCGCGGACGCACTGTGGGCGTGACATAGTTGGCTGCATGGCACGGTGTGGGTTCACCAGAGCTGAATCCTGCAAAGAGCGGACAGGTGGGTTCATCTTGCTCCAATTGCATGACGTCGCAACCTCGACCGGGCTGGCCCGGCAACACCTTCCCCACATGAATGGAATCATATGCTACGCCTCGCGCTGGGAATGGTGGGGGTAGCCAGCTAACCGTCTATTGCGGCTGAAGCACTATGTACAAGAACGATGAAAATCAATAGACATTGTTGATGATAGCCGTCTGACGAGAGCTCAAAAAACCCGTTGTATGTTGCCAGGCAGTAGCTCACGAAGTTCGTGTGCTCGGACGCAGGAATGTGTGGGGATTGGAGGTATACGCCGTTCACGACGACCATGTATCAAAGATTAACTCTCTTGAAACAGCATGTACAATCGCAAGCTTAGACTCACCGTGAGTCGAATAATGAGAAGGCGGCTCGTGGTTTGCGATGGTCGAACCATACTGACCAACCAACCATCGCCACACTGTACAGTGGAGACATTATCCAATGAAGAAACCGTGTTGTTTTGAGACACTTCCTTTTCATCGATGCGTGACAGGCCGTTAAGCGAGTTGCTGACCGGGAGTGGCATGCACTTCCACAGCGGCGTTGTGGCGTAGGGCTGAAGTTCAGCTGCCCAGAACTGAGGAGCAGCAAAACTGTGCTCAGGAATATTGCGGTGCCCTTGAGCTTGGCGATGCCGTTTGATCCTGAATTTCTCCTTGAAATTAGCAAATCAAAGAAATAGATGATGGCACGGTCGACTTGTAAGCGCCGCATGCAAAGCAGAACGGCAGTCACTGTACTGTTGCTCAACTGTTGTCATTTGGTATTATATGCGTATACGTCGTAAACAGATCCTCACTTCTGAAGAAGCTTCTCAAGCTCGGCGGCAATCGCATCACCAACCTGTGATGTTGTTGACGAACCACCGATGTCCTTTGTCCGGATGCCGCTGTCGATAGCGATCTTTGTCGCCTCATCGATCTTCGCGGCGTACTCGGGCAAGCAGAGAGAGTACTTGAACATCATGCTCATTGACAGAATGGTAGCGACGGGGTTGACGATGCCCTGGCCGGCGATATCGGGCGCGGAACCTGTTCTATGGTCAGCAATTGCAGTACTGTCAGTAGAGGGTGGCAGCTTACCGTGAATGGGCTCGTAGATACCGTTCAGCTTGGTCTTGCCGTCCGGAATGCCTCCCAGACTGGCACTGGGCAGCAGACCCAAGCTACCAGGGATAACACTGGCCTCGTCGGAGATGATGTCACCGAACAAGTTGCTAGTGACAACGACACCGTTCAGCGCCCTTGGATTCTTGATCATAAGCATGGCCGCCGAGTCGATGAGGTGGGTGCCGGACTTGAGGTGGGGGTACTCGTCCTTCATGATGCGCTCGAATGTCTTCCTCCATAATCTCGATGTCGCGAGAACGTTGGCCTTGTCCAAACTCCAGACGGGAACCGAGGGCTCCTCGACGGAGGCGAGGTTTCCGGCTAACCGTACGACGCGCTCAATCTCCTCGACGCTGTAAGGTTCGGTGTCCATGGCCTTGCCATCGCCCTCGTCCTCTTTCCTGTCTCCGAAGTAGATGCCTCCGGTCAATTCCCGAATGATGTTGAAGTTGACGCCGCGGACGTTGTCGGCCTTGAGAGGCGATTGCTCGACGAGAGAGTCGGAGGCAAAGAAGCAGGGTCGCAGGTTTCCGAATGTGCCCAGTTCCTTGCGGAGCTTCAGGATACCCTGCTCAGGACGGACCTTGCCGGTTCCCCATTTCTATCTGTGTCAGTATGTGTGAGATGTGGCGTAGTCGTAAGTGCGCATACCGGACCACCGACAGCACCGAGAATGATAGCATCGGCCTTCTTCGCTGCGTCGAGGGTTTCGTCAGTCAGAGGGTTGTTGTGGGCATCTATCGAGCACTGTGTTGGTCAGTCGATGCGTGGCGCGTCATCGTTGTGCCACTTACACCACCGAACAGATGTTCTTGGAAATTGAACGAGACATCTGTGTGCTTCTCAATGACCTTGAGGACCTGATTTGGAGTTAGCACGTGTTTGCTGCATCGATTGTGTGCGACCGTACCTTGATGCCCTCTGCAATGACCTGGTTGTGTTATGTAAGCTTTGTATCAGGAAAGCGCGAATGAAGCTGTTACCTCGGGTCCGACACCATCACCTAGATGCGATTAGCTCAATGCTGTGGGGGAGATTGACAGGTACCACTTACCACCAAGTACTACAATGTTGAAAGAAGGCATTGTGACAATGTTCGTGCGATTGCTGTGGAAGCGTGAGTGAGTTGCGCTCCAAATGTTTTCGAGCTTTAGCTCATCGTGGGGCTGCGTAGATTCCCCGCTCTCCGATATCGGAGCCTTCATGCTCGCCCAACCACCAAGCATCCATCAACATTCGTGAGCATCTCTCCACATCGGCACATGAACTTGCTCATTCACAACGTCCTTGAACATCAACAGATACCGATGTCGTTGGTCGGAATTACTGCTTTCTCTAGCGCCGATGTCGCGTTCTCGACCACCACTTTATCCTACTTAGACGTGTGCGATGTGCTTGTACCACGGCTTGGGACAGAGTCATAGTCGCTTGCAATCCTCACATAACAGATGACGAGTCAGCTTGCTCAGCAGACGACAGCCTCGTCCCTTGGCGCGTTCTATGCGTTTAAAATCAGCATTGTGAGCATTACAATATGTATACACCCGTGTCTGCGGCTGTATAAGGCAGACCTGATGCAATACTACGCAGTGGTGGTAGTTTCATGGTAGTTGCACCGAATTCGCGATATGCACATCTTTCAGCGGTGCAAGTACATATGAGTAGCTGTTGTTCGCATCTACAAGTTGTTTGCTCCCATTCATTCGTCTACACCTACGATTCAACACATTCATCACCATGAAGGCTTTCGTCGTCCTTGCTGTGGCCGTTGTATGCTTGGCAGAAGCAGACCCCTACTGCATGATACATACCGCGTCTATCGGAAAGCCGGCTGTTCAGGCAGGGCTAACCGACGCAGAGGCATGCCAGCAGCTACTTGGTCCCCTGCAGTGAGAATGACTGGCAGCAGTACAAAGAATGGAATAACCCCCTACCCGCCCGTCAAAGCTCAGCTTGGTCCTCTTGGGCAGAGGCACACGGCAGCCAACTTTCTGCCGCCCAACTTGCAATCGAGCATTTTGCAGAAGCGGAGACGACGTACAGCGTACCGGCGAGGATCACTGAGACTCTACCCTAAAATGTAGATTACACCACGTTACCTGAATGGTTTACTGCACTGCCAGAGGCGATACAGAGCATCAAGCTAGAGCAGGGGAACGTGTACAAGTCGATCATAGACGCAAAGTCGGAGGCGTTGGCTCCGAAGGAAACAGACAGAGCTGCTTTGAGCATGCTAGCGGGCGTCGCTTTTGCTGCAGCTGTATTGTAGAAGCCATCTTGTCTTGTTCGGGCCCTTCGACAGTGGCCGTTACGGCATCGCGGGACCATTAGGAGCCGGTCGTAACATTAACCAGAAGAGCCGCCTCTGCATCTCAATGAGAGCCGCTCCACAAGACCTAATCCTATGCTGTTATCGTCTCATATACATCATCCGCACCTCCGCAAAGTGAATGAGATGCCCGTTCCCGTGTTTGCAGTTAAGAACTTCCTATCTCCGAACTAAAAGCTGGTGACAGTCGTCCATACCTCTTACCGCAAGCGTTTCAAGGCCGTCCGCCTTATCGCAGATCGACAGCAACCGCAATCCTGACGATGTTTGTCCGGAATTCAACCTCCAGAGTCTGATGCAGCGACCGTCCGAATAGGTGTTTCTGATGACGAAGGGCTTAGCGGGCTGGAGTCGTCGAAGTGCGGCGCGCGGAGGCGAGAGGGGTGATCGACAGGAATCTGATATCACAGATATGCAAGTCGTTCCAAGGTTCTGCCGAGATGTCAAACCCAAACCACAGCTCAGCCGACTTCGAGTCGACCTTTTGGAGGCTTGCTGCAAGTGGCCGTGGGGAACAATGGCCAAGCGAAAGGTTTGGGGGGAAGGATTGATATAGCGGTGGCGAGTATGCTGAGGCTGTAGCCTGCCTGCGAAAGTACTCGATGCAAGCACTTCGAAGGACAGTCAATTCCGCCACATCTCGGAAAGAGGATGGCAGCGCGCATTCCGACACTTCGTCTCCGGAGATCGACAGGTCTCAACTTGCCTCTTGCGTGACTGATTGATTGATTGATTGTGATCAGTCGCCGTGCACCTGAACTGTGATCGAGGTCTGTGGTGTTGGATCGATTGATAGCAACGCACCTCGATACAATCGAGTAAATCGTCGGGATACCTCCCGCAAGACGAGGCTGCATGACGGAGCTTTCCGAAGGCTCGCCTGGACATGCCTAGATATAACATCGAGCCAGCCACACTCAGCCACTTTGGGCCACCCTGCGAAGAATTGCCGCCGGCGCGGCTAAGATCTGAAGGACGTGCTTCTGTCTCGCAAGCGGCGCAGGACGCTCAAGCCTCGTCATGAGCTGACCCAGACCCTGACGGGACTCAAGCGCGCCCCGCCTTGTTGCGGCCTCGAGGTGTGATGCACGTTCGCGCATGCGCTTCTTTGGGTGTCGATGTTCGCGGCAAGAAGACTGTCAAAGAATGAACACGGTTGCGCATTATTATCATCGATTGAGTTGCCGCTTGACGCAGCATCGCCGATGGAGCGCCCAAGGAGAATTGAATGCGCGGCCAAGCAATGTGTACGCTGCGATTGGCCAGCGATAAGAGGTGCCGCTAGTGAAACGGGCTGCTGTCGCCGTTGGCCGTTGCGGACGACCATGTTGCGCTGTGCGCCCTGGAGCAAAGCAAAAACTGAGCTGGAGGATCGGACGGAGACAAGCATGCAAAACAACAGCATGCATTTGCGCATCTTGATTGACACTTTCAGAGCCGTTGTTGCTGCGACGGAGAGCGGCGAGGTCGACTGCTTACAACCAGAAATGAATAACTGGCCGAGCTGGCCGATGATAACCCCAGCGGGCGACCGCGCGAGCGATGCGACAGGGATGTTCCCTCTCCAATTCCACTCCCACCCTGGGCAGGCGATTATGACCAGCGGCCACTTAATTCACTGCTGTCCCCAGAGCCTCACGCCCCAGATATCGACTGCTCTCCACACCCTCACGCGACATTCTTCCCAAAGCACACGCACAACAATCTCTCTATCCAACACCCAGACGATGCGCCGCTAAGCCAGACCGGAGAACCGAGTTCTTAGTAGCCCCAGCGTCTGCTGTGTCTGCTGTACCACCGCTTACCGTCCGTCTTATCGCGAGCCCCTACGTCAACCACCAATTGACGGCCACCGTCTGCACGCTCCAACACCAAACAAGAATCCCTTCCCCAGGGTCGACAGTCGTACCGCACTGCTATCGGCAGTGATTGCTGTCTGTCGCTGCGACCGCTCGCTTTGTAGCCTCCTTCTGCACGCGAGCACATCCAGGGTCTTCACCGCCACAGTCGGCCCTTATCAGTTACATTCCTTCGAGGAACCCTTCAGGCCCTCCGACCACCGTATAACGGCACTCGAGTGCTGCATCCTCACCGTCGAACACGAACACCTACCAAACAACCACAACTATGGCAACCCAGTTCTCGACCGCGACTGCCATCCCCTCCCACCCTGCGCCGTACCAGCACCATGCGTATAGGAAGTCGGCACAGTACTCGCCCACAGGCACGCCCATGAACATCTCGCCCACCTCGCCGCGCGAGACAAACAATATGTTGAAATACCACCAGTCCATCCGCCCGGCCAAGCAGGCCTTGGGCGTTCCCGCGGCGCTCAGACGGACAGAGCGTCCCATCAAACAGTCTCCACCCAAGCACGATTCGGCATGCGCTTCGCCCAACGGTGGATGGGCTGTCAACGGCGGCTTCCCGAGCATGAACGACGGCGCTGCGACTCCGGTCTCGCAGGTCAATCACGAGGACATGCACAGCATCTACAATGAGATGCCTATGTCGCCCATTGCTGGCCCCATTACGCGCAACCACTGGCAGGTACGTTATTACTTTTTTCTATCTGTTGCCCATGCCGGCGTTAGCTTCCGCTCTGTCGCGTGCCGAGTCCGTTGGGGGCGGCCAGCTCTTACGTACAGCGCTCGGGGTGGATCCCTTTAGCGCTGTATTGGATTTGGCCAGTTCCGCTGTCTGCGCCGACCACCCGAGCGCGTCGTCAGACCTTGCGCCTCAACAACATGTGGCTGCACGATGCGTGCCGCCGCTGTGGATGGTGGCGATGGTGTCGCCGACTGTAGCTGCGAAGCGGCGAACATCGTCGAATCTGCATCAGCAAGATATCTTTGAACATCTTGTTCCGGTGTTCGCTCGGTCGCTCATATTACTCCACGCTAGAGGCTGCAACCGCCACAGGGCCTCGTTCACCTCGCTGCAGCCTCGGCTTCAAATAAGTGGAGCCATGGGTCCCTCTGTCAATGCTGCAAACCGTTCCAGACCAATCGTACTGACGAACCTTTTTAGGCGGATAGCTCCACTCCAACATGCTCAGCGCCCTCGTGCCAGGCACCGTTTGGCCTCTTCAACCGCCGCCATCACTGCAGAAAGTGCGGTGGCATCTTCTGCGCACAGGACTCGTCCAAGCACGTTCGTCTCGACGAGCTCGCCCGCTTCCACCCTGAGGGCGAGTGGCACCGCGCCTGCGATCGCTGCCACAGCTCTTTTCGCGAGTGGGAGCACCTCCGCCTGAGCCGCAGCAACAGCGAGAGCTCCAGCAGCAGTGGCGCCGGCGCACTGCCAGTTCAAGCACCCGTAGCAGCGAAGCGTCCAGAGGCCCGTGTCGGTAGTCTGGCGCAGAGCTTCCAGGGCGCGTGGAACTGGAGCACCTTTTAGATTTCCTACCGAAGTTTCAGACTTCAGCACTGGGTGGGCGGTTTTCTGATTCCATCTCTTTCCGATCTATGATATCCGGACGACTCATACACAGTACATAGAGTACTTGACGGTCCACCCTTCACCTGCATAACAGCATTACATCGGCGTCCTGCATTTACCACGATATTCCTCGACTGGTGGCCTTTTGCATTGCACTGCGCTTTAGCGTTTCCTATTCGTGGCACCCACCGAGGGCCGTAGACGGTCGAGAGTGATTGATGGAGACGACTGATGTGGAGGATGGCCGAACGATTTAGCGTTTGTTGATTTTATGTGCGGTGGTTGTGTTTTTCAAAGAGCGTATCTAGCTCTGGCGTTGTGAGTCGTTTTGGGGTTATGGCTCCCTCGGCGTATAGACGGTGCGACCGTCATGGTCGATGATGGCGTAATGGTTTATGAATGAGAACAGTATATGAAAGTTCCTCGATATTTGTTGCGTGGTGGTAGTGTGGTGGCAGTGGTGAGCTGATGTGGTGATGGCGGTGCCCAAGGAGGCGGTATCCGTTGAAGCAGGCAGGCGGTGGTCAGCACACTGGGCAGGAAGCGCGCACGAGCAGTTTATGAGAACAAAGGCGTACACATTTGTAATAATCTGAGTCGATGACGAGCGTGGAGACAATGCTATGACGATGCCATATGGTGCAACACTGAGCTGTAGTCTGCGGCGCTGGCGGAGCTTGATTGGTCAAGCACTCTGGTCCCAGATGTCGCGATGCCGAAATTTTGTTGCGACTTTGGCCAACTCTGCTGCACGCTTCAGCCCCACGGACACAAGCATTTAGTACCAGATCCCCGGGTTTGCGGCTACCCTGTTCTCAAAGGCACCCACCATACGCTCTTTGCTGCCCGAAGTCTTCGGGGGCACGCTGGCTGCAGCCCCCGCGAGAGTCTTCAGAACATCGAGACGCCTGCTTGCGACTATGGCTTCTGGGACAGTTTCGAGCGCGCAGGCGCAAAGTAATGGCGCATTGCCTGCGAATGGCAAGAAGGCGAAGCTGCATGGGCGTGCGTTCTACGAGAGTATTGGCAGCCCAAAGTTCATTCTTGCGCCCATGGTAGAGCAGTCAGAGTTCGTATGTTTCATCGAGTCACTCCTCTCGCCGTGAACTTGCTGACTATATCTTTGTATAGGCATGGCGACTGCTGTCTCGGTCGTTCCTCCCACCCTCGCAGCAGACGAAACTGCTGGCCTACTCGCCCATGTTCCATTCGAGGATGTTCGGCGAGAAGGCGAACTATCGCGATTCACACTTCCAGCCCCTCAAATCGACCCTACCCTCGCCGCCCGACTCCTACCACGTCTCGCAACTGCCGGACTCGGACCGACATCTGGACGGAAACCCCGCGTTCGATCGGCCGCTCACGGTCCAGTTTTGCTCAAACGACCCCGACGACCTTCTCACAGCTGCGAAACACGTTGCCCCGTTCTGCGATGCGGTAGACCTGAATTTGGGCTGTCCACAGGGCATCGCGAAGAGAGGCAAATATGGTGCTTTCTTGCAGGAAGACTGGGATTTGATCGCAAGGATGATCAAGAAGGTGCACGAAGAGCTGGACGTGCCCATCACAGCGAAGATGCGCGTCCTTGAAACCAAGGATAAAACGCTGGAGTACGCAAAGACTATCTTGAGTGCTGGCGCGAGTATCATCACTGTACACGGCAGGCGGAGAGAACAAAAGGGACACAACACAGGTCTAGCGGACTGGACGTTCATTCGCTACCTACGGGAGAACCTGCCGAAAGAGACGGTCATCTTCGCGAACGGCAACATCCTGCAATATGAGGACATTCAGGCGTGTTTGGATGCGACAGGTGCAGACGGTGTCATGAGCGCCGAAGGCAACCTCTACGATCCCACAATCTTTGCGGAGCCGCCTCCGGTAGGCCAAGAAGGCCGCGAGTACTGGCGCGGCAAGGATGGCAAGGGTGGATACAGGATGGACGCAGTCATGAGGCGGTACATGGACATCATTCACAAGTATGCGCTCGGCCAAGAGCCACCAACAAGGAGACCGTTATGGATGCCAGGCGATCCAGAGGAACCGACGCCAGAAGTGCAAGAGGAGGAAGAAGAAGAAGGCCCGCCAAAGAAGAAGCAGAAGCAGGCACCAAAGCCAGCGGAAAAGAAGGGCACTAAGACGACGAACCCTAACTTGACAGCTATGCAAGCACATCTGTTCCACCTTCTGCGGCCGCTAGTATCACAGCACCACAACGTGCGCGACGCGCTTGCGCGGTCAAGAACCGGCGACATCGACGCTTTCGAGAACGTGCTAAAGCTCACCGAAGCTGCCGTCAAGGAGGGCATCACCGCCTGCGAAGCAGAGCAAGCCAACGGCACCGCGAGTTCTGAACCTACACCCGCCGAACAGCTCATCGAAAATCTTGACCCGTACGAATCCTCGCTAGCCACAGTCGCGCGCTGCAAGCGCCCCTACTGGATCTGCCAGCCTTACGTACGACCGCTGCCCAAGGAAGCTATTGAGAAGGGCAGCATGAGTCTGAGCAAGAAGGAGAAGCGCAGGTTGGAAATTGAGGCTGAGGAGGCGAAACAGGCTGGGCTGGAACCGGAGGGGAGGGTGCACAAGGAGGATATGACGAACGGCCAGGTCAAGAGTAGAGAGAGTCTAGAGGAGAACGAGAGGAAAGCTGAGAAGAGCGAGGGGGTTGTCGAGGAGCCTAAGGAGGGGGTTGTGTGTGGGTGATGTGATGGTGTGAGGGAAGAAGAGGTATACCCAATCAAGATCTCAAGAAGTGAATGTCAAAAGTATGAGCAATGTGCAAGCAAGAGTCAGTACACTGCGCACACTCGCACCTGCCCTCGACGACCTCCAACTACGCCTCGAGACTTCCATCTGGACTTTGCCAAGCGTTGGTTACGTAGCAGAGATGCTTTCACTTCAGCGCAACACATCCATAACCACACAACAAGCAAATTCTAACATGTGCGCCTTTCATCTACCGCCTCGACCGGTCCAGCAGCACCATGACCATCACAAAGAAGACAACTGCGAAGGCCCACGATGGCCTTGCAAGCCGGCTGCAGAAACTCCAGAAGGCGCATGAGCGGCGAGATCGAGATCGAGATGCCTTACCGCTCTCCGCACCAAGGCCAGCGCCTACACTCGGGCAGAAGGCATCTCGAGTTGACAGAACACGGAGACTACAGCGCTTGCACGATTCCATCCTCGGACCACACCCTACCTTTCCTGGCAACGTCATTATCCCCGAGAAGATCGAAGCGCGACTCGAGGACGCGACGCGCGTACAAGACATAAAGCACCTCTTACAAAGTGGTGCGGCACAGGTGTACTGGGTTGATGGCTCCGAAAGAAATGGTTTCCTTGGCGCCGGCGTCGTATGGTGTAAGGATGACAGACTCGTCTCAGGGAGCTACCAGCTTGGTCCCAGTACTGGAGGGAACAATTGTGACGCCGAACTATTTGCGATCGCGGCCGCTTTGGGACGAGCGAGGAAGCATGTTCAGAAAGGCAACGAGCCTGCGCTTGTCAGGATCTTCTCGGACGCCCGTGAGATCTTGATCCGCATCAAGAATGGCAACTGCCACACCTTTGGCCCGCTACTGGCAGAGAAGACTGCATTGGAAGGTCTATACGCGCGTGCCCAGTGGCTCAAAGCTCACAATGTATGCATCGAGCTGATGTGGGTCAAGGGACACTCGAACAGCGAGGGCAACCATCTGGCAGATCAGGCCGCACATCATGCAGTTCTCGAACAAGCAGTCGTTCCTCCTGCACCCGTTCCCTTCTTCTCTACTGTCAAGACTGAACTCGACGTCCCAATCATGTGGCGGAACCTTGGTCAGGACTGGGTCGACGAGTGGCTATGTCGTGCGAACCATGCTCACGCGGTAATGCTACGCAAGCAGGCTAAGCTTATGAGACGGCAGACATATGGATGGCAAGTGTCACAGAAGCGAGATGCTTGGCAGCAGACGCTCGTTTTCTTGCGTCAAAGAGACGCATCTCCCGCGCTCGAAGGAGCGCCGGACGGTGATGTTGCTAGTCACCACAACAGCACTACCGAAGAAGCAAAACCGAATGCAAACGAAGTCCCCGATCTCACAACATCTCTTGCAACAGCAGATGTACGCGCTCATGAACTATTTCGATTGCGACACGAACTGCAGACATTGATGGTAGCCCTCAACGAGCGCGAGACGAATATCCCCCAGCCCCTCCGTACCACTACCACTCTCTACGGATACGCACTGCCTCCAAAGCCCAGTAATACCGCAGAACTCATTCGGAAAGCGGTGAAAGTGGACGAACGGATTCGAATATACCAGCTACAGCTCGCTAGTGAACGGGACTTGAAACGTAAAGAAAAGTTGGAACAGAAGCGGTTGAAGGTAGCTATAGACCGACCCTGTATCTTCCAAGACCTAGAGTCCTCATCGATCAAGCCTCTGGGTATCGAAGCCGGGTTTGAACAGCTTTGTGTGCAGGATCCGCGCACAGCAAGTGCAGACGAGGCTGATGGGAGCCATGACTTTCTGACAGAAGCTTGGGTTGGGGATGCATTGTTTCACATTCTGGAGAGCGATCTCGAATACGAGACTAGCTTGCGAGACTAGCTTGCGAGAGACTAGTGGATCCGGTTCGCCATCCAGTCACGCAACATCGAAACCGCATCCTGTCCGCACTTTCCTATGGTCTGCAATTGGGAACGCAAATTCCTCTGGAAGACGCATGCGTGCTTTCACCAAGGAGGTGTTTTGAGAAGCCTGAGGTCCAAGTTGTACGCACTGCGTTCTGCGGATGTGTGCTAACGTACTTCTATGATCACGAATCAAGCCGACTATACAACATGTGGTCATGCGTACTCGCTGTAGCGTGTACACAGTCCCCGCGTCGTTTGTCGTACGAAAGCTCTTGCGTGGACAGGAAGCGAGTTTGCGTCAGATGTTGAGGCACGGAAGAGCTCCGTGACAGTTTTTGGCCAAGTCTTTTGGAGGTCGATGAATTTTTTTCCTCTTTGGATTAAGTAGGCCTTTACCGGCATAGAACGCCTGCCTTACGTAGTGTATATGTAGTAGGGAACTAGCGGCAACCGATGCCTTCACTTCACCATCGCGCTTGCTCACATGACGAGCGAAACTTCAGACCCACATATAGCGCAGTTCTCTTACCCCTTCCCGAGTGCTCACACTGCCTCATCACTTGATCCATTGACTATGTGATTGCAACTGATTCCCATCGTTGCCACTATCGCTACCTTTATTGTTGGCCGCGCGCTCAACGTTGGCAAAGCAACTTCAAGTGTCTCACAGATGGGTCGCCGTCACCAAGAGTTGTTCGGGAAGCCTGGACCGCCAGCATACGAGGACCAAATCAAGCAGAGTGGACGAAAGATCAGGTTCAGGCGCGACAGTGTAGTCCATGACTTCTTCGACGGTGACCATGCTAGCGAGGTAGACTGGAAGAAGTTCGCTGAAAAGGGCAGCGCGTTGGTACGTGTAATACCGACCATTGAGTACATGGCTAACCACCTACTCAATACCAGATGTGCGGTCTCAACGGCGACGACGAAGAAGCCGGCATCCAGATGGGCGACAAGCGTACTCCACCTTCAGCCGCAAGCCCGTGGACAGGTGATCTCACACGAGAGCTCGTGGTCTGGAAGTGGTCCATAGTCAACCCCTCCACCTACTCTTGCAAGATGAACGATCACTGGAAGATACCCGAGGCCATGAAAGCTCTTAGGCTCAATGGCAAGCCGCAGTCAGAAGGCGGAGACAACGCGTGCTATCGAGTCGAGCACTGGAACCCGAAGCCCACAGAGAATGGACGACAGATTCCCGCGATTAATCAGTGGTATACTGTCGATGGTATGGAGTACCAGGTAAGTGAGGTGGTACCTTCAACTTCGCGATTACTTTGCTGACGCACTTGGAGGCCACACAAGCACACTATGAACTCGGCATCAACCCCACCGGCGGCGCCATATTCGGTTTCTTCCTCGACTCGCCTATTTACGCAGCATCAAACACCTGGTACGGCGGCCGCAAGCCCGTCGACCCCACCAAACTCCCCAGGCTCCGCGCCTTCTCGGACATTCTCTGGGGATACTGGAACCGCAACAACCCCGACATCAAAAACATCCGCTACTTCTTCATGCTGGGTATCAGCAACGACCAGACGAACCAGCTCATTGATACGTGTCTGCAGAAGGCGGGGAAGCAGTTGAGCGAGTGGCCTGGCATGGAGTTTGATACGAAGACTGACGAGGGACATGCGTTGCTGGGGAGTCCGAATGGTGCTGGCTTTGCGTATTTTTTGATGCAACATAAACGGGAGCTAGGGCTTAAGACGATTACGAAGGTCACGGTGTTTAGGGCGGAGACGGATGATGATCTGGCGTTTGTAGATTCGCATTTGTTGTTCCATGTCGGTGATGTGGAGGGCGATGAGGATCAAGACGAGACTGAACAGGATGAAGAGACGCTAAATGAGCCAGCGAAAGCTGGGCGATATGCGCGAGCTTTCAAGCTCTGACACTTTGGGGCAATCTCGAGGTGCTCCGGGTATCACAGTGCGGGATTTGGGCCAAAGTATGCGGAGGCTGGTAAAGTAGCCAGGTATTGGGTAATGCTGTACGGCATGTATGGGATGATGCTTCCAACTGTCTTAAGGTCATTCGCTCGTAAATTTGAGCAGGGCGAGACGGTACGTAGACGAGGTGAAGAAGGAAGTAACGAAATGATCCCACGAAAAGACATTTTATCTGTAGGACATGACGCACAGTCTTCTCAACGAAGGAGGCAGAATGGACCCCTCGACGATGGGGTCGAAAGTGTTGTCGAGCACGTGTTGAGGTGGTTGAGACGTCCGCGGTAGTGGAGAAGCGGCTAAGGCAATCGTCTTGGCCAATCAGGAGGGAAATATTGGTCGCGCCAAGTCTGCTGTTCACGCCACCTGCCACCTCGCACCTGGACCTAACGTCACGTCCAAACACCTCAGTTGTACATCTCTTGCCACGGAGAATTTCTCCCTTTTGAACCACGTATTACTACTTTTGCATTTTCGCCCTGCATCTGTAGCCAACTCGCAGCCTTGCTGCTTCCCCACATTCGGTTCCCCGCGTTTCGGCAGATCAGGGCCACTTTTCCACGTCACGGCTCCTAGCCCGGACCATCGCGCAACATGTCCAACGACATCGACCCTGAAGCAACCACCGAAAGCGCGGATGCCGCGCGTGACCGTCTCGACAGGCTACCTGATGAGCTTCTGCTCCAGCTTTTCGAGATACTGGGTCGCACGTCGAAACGCGATTTGTGCAACGTGTCGCGATTGAACAAGCGCTATCACCGTCTTAGTGACGCCGTACTGTACAAAAGCATCCTTTTCGAAACACCAGAACTACATCTTACTTTCAGTGAATCGCTGGGACGTCGACCGCGACGGGGCTCGGCCATCTATGAAGTGAAGTTGGCGTACCCCTCACACGAGCTGTCACAGCTGGCTCTGGATGCCCCACTGCGCCATCACTATGACCCGTCGCATTCGTTGTCGAGAATGTCCAACTTGGAAAAGCTTGACATCTCGTTACCAGACAAGCTATTGCATGGTATTGGGTGCCTCTTCAATGGACCCTTCGACCTTGCCTGTCTCAAGACATGTACTCTCTTTTATCAATGCGCCGACGATGGATACTGGGATCTCCGCGAGAACATCCACATCTTTGCCCACCCCGAGCTGGAGAATCTGACCATCCGGAGAGCGAAGTTGGATGATCGAGGATTCGACTCTCTCGAGCGCCCACACGAAACGGCGCTAAAGAAGCTGCACCTGATCGAATGCGACATCAGCGACGACACACTGTCAGATGTGCTCGAGTTCCCTATAGGTCTGGAAGAGTTCGTAATGACACAGCTTGAGGAACCGGAGCCCGAGTTGGAAGAAAGCTCTGACAGCTTCAGCGACTACATCATCGCGCTCAGCTCACAAGCACATTCGCTCAAAAGCATCACAATCGACTTCCCAACATTAGGCTGTCGCAAGACATTACGTCTCAGAGAGTTTCAGACACTCAAGGAACTTCGGATGAACTGGGACTACCAGTTGTTTGGCAAGTCCTCTAAGAAACCTCGCCTACATTCGGTTGGTCTTCCCCCAGAGCTTGAAGTACTCGAGTTCTTCAATGAGTTGGGTAAGGATGAAGAGGTTACAGATCTTCTGCTAGCAATGCTTGAGAACAAGAGCATCGTTGCGCGAACATTGCAGAAGATGATCGTTGTGGAAGGCAATAACAAGGTATTGAGCGAAGTAAAGAGGGTCTGCAAAGAGCAGAATTTGCAACTAGACATAATTGGAGAGCTAGACCAAGACGAAGATGAAGACAAAGATGAAGACGAAGATGAAGACGAAGATGAAGATGAAGATGAAGACGAAGACATAGACGGAGATAGTGACAGAGATTCAGATTAGACAGCATAGAATCCATGCAAGCACATAGAACAGCTTGGCTGCCGTTGCTTTAAGCTCAGACTCGACCAGCCAAGATGATTGTAGGGCATCTCTCATGTACGCACACCTCCGGCAGGTTGGGAAACGCAAACTGCGGGGCGCGAATGAAATCCCACAAATCAAACGTAATATCTTTTTTTTTTGACACGGACGAGCAGCATCGAACGAAAGCAGGACACATCTCACGATCTTCGAAGATTCTACAGCGGCGGGCCGCTGAAGCTTCTGACATGTCCCCGGTTCACCGAGACGTTATGTCTATGTTGAGGCACACATAAAGCTTGAGGCTTGCTTCTTGGTCGGCGTTCACAAGCTCAGTCAGACGAAATCTGCTTTTCTATAACTTGAGGTCAGTCCTGCTATTCCTATCGAAGATGCGCTCCGCAATCCTCAGCTTTCTGGCGGCCGGTGCAGCAGCGTTGAACAATGGGATGGTAAAGTTACCCAAAATGGGTTATAACAATAAGTTTGAAGAGTCACCCTGTTCAAAACAATGTGCTGATTGCATTCAGCCTTCAACGCTTTCGGTTGCAACTACAGTGAGTGGACAGAAGTCTGTTCGCGCTAAAAGCTTGGGCCGCAATCTTGACTTCTGAGTGAATGTTCACACCTCAATATCTCAACAACCACACGGTGAAAATTGAATCTGGTTGCAGCAATTGAATGCTCAGAGTCTCAATATTTAGTCTGGTAACCCTGGGCTCGCTCACAGGCTCTGAGGCGCCTTGGCATTGAGTAGATGAGCTGCCTGATCAGTCTATCGGGAAGTGCTGCCCATGCCTCTTTAATACCCTCACAAAAGCAATCCCACTCCTCCTGAGTATCTCCAAGAGTGTCAAACTCAGGGTGGAGATGATGTAGCTTACGTTTGAGAGCCCACCACATGTGTTCTATGGGGTTGAGATCAGGTGAGTATGGTGGTGCTTCAATCGTCCATACCCCATGGGTCTCTAACCATCTCTGAGTGTACTTTGAAGCATGTACACGGGCGTTATCTTGCATAAACCTCTCTCCAGGTTTGTAGTGAGGGCAGAGTCCATCTTTGAGTGCGTTACAGTACAAAACTGACGAGTAGCCGTGATGTTGGGCAGTGTAGTCCCTCTCCATGATCACCAATTCACTCCGTCCAACTCGGCCACCCCTTGTCACCCATATAGAGGCCCACACCATCTGCTGTTTGGCTCTGCCAGTACTCATCTCATGTACTTTGTTGTGGTCAAATTTCTCATAGGGATACTGAAAACTCCACTCCTGATCCTCCCCAGTACCACGGGCAATGCTACACTCATCACTAAACTTGATAACCCTTCTCTTGTAGTCAAACACATGCCACTCCTGAGCATACCTAAGCCTTAAAAGTGCTGTGCCTCTATTGATTTTAGGGCAGCGCTTTGCTCTGAAGTTGCGTAATCCTTCCCCAAGTAAGGCTTGGTATACAGTCTTCTTTGTGACCAATGGGTATGCCTCATCGTGTGCCCAGAGTCCTGCCTCCTCTAGCAGATCTTGGTATTGTATTTTAGGGTACTTTCGAGCTACTCGGAGTAGCAGACGGCGTTGGCAATGGCTGAGTAGAGGTGGTCGGCCTGTACAAGGCCTGCTGGTGTTGTTGTGGGTGCTGTTCCAACGGGCAATAGTTTTCTGTACACAGTGTTGCGAGCAACCCAGCTTGTTGGCAACTTCACGTGTCTGCATCCCAGCCTCTATAGCAGCCATTACAAAATCGCATTTGCGAATAGATAGCTCAGCATTAGGCCTTCGATTGGCTGAAATAACTGCGCTGAAATCTGTCATATTGATAGAGTTATGGTTGATGGAAGTGGTGGGGTCTCTGATGCAATTGTGTTGATGAGGCTGCACGGTCCACTTACCGTGCACGGTCACCCAACGCCCGGATTCAACCAACGCCTGGTGCACCACACATAGACGTTATTTCAACGCGTAATAACTCAACAACCATGCCAGGAATTAAAAATGCACTTGAGCAGATTCGTAAATTGAAGCCAGATGTAAAACTTGTCTATACTACAATTGCAAAAAATCATGGTGTTTCTCGCACAACGTTGTCGTGCGCGCATAGGCGTGTGCAGGTCCCCCGACACGTTGCCAACCACAACCAACGCAAACTCAGCGACCAACAAGAAGCAGACCTTGTGAGGTATATAGAGGAGCTCACAGCACGTCGCTTACCACCTACAAGAGACATGGTGCAAAATTTTGCGTCTGCAGTTGTGTCAGATCGCTGCTCCAATAGCTGGGTTACACGCTTCCTCAACCGTCACAGCAACCAGCTCACGGCTCAATGGACAACGGGTATGGACTCTAATCGTCACAATGCTGAGTCAGAGTATAAGTACAAGCTGTACTTTGACTTGTTGCAACAGAAAATAGCCGAGTATGACCTTGAGCCTGAGCACACGTACAATATGGATGAGAAGGGCTTTGCTATTGGAGTGCTGGGCAGGTTGAAGCGCGTCTTCAGCAGGCGTCAATATGAGAAGAAGGAGGTTAGGCAGGCTTGTCAAGATGGCTCACATGAGTGGGTGAGCCTGTTGGCTGCAATTTGCGCGGATGGTACTGCTCTCCCTCCTGGTATCATCTTTGAGTCAAAAAACTCAACCATCCAGAGACATTGGGTTGCCGATATCGAGGCAGGAACACACCTAATTCACGTGGCTTCTTTGCCTAAAGGCTGGACAAACAACAACATTGGATTGGCCTGGCTTGAACAGGTGTTTGACCGCTATACCAAGCCAAAGGCGCGGTTGAAGTACCGCCTCTTGATTGTAGATGGCCATGGTAGTCACCTGACACAGGCTTTCATCGAATACTGTCACCAGGAACGGATCATACTTGCAGTGTTACCCCCTCACAGTACCCAGACTCTGCAGCCGTTGGACGTAGTCTGCTTCAAGCCTCTCTCTTCTCACTACGCCAGCAAACTTGATAACCACCTCCAGCAATCCCAAGGCCTATCCCCGCTGTCGAAGGCTGACTTCTTCAGCCTATTCTGGCCTGCCTGGGTATCTACGTTCAATGCGGAGCTTGTACAGAAGGCCTTCACAGCCACCGGTATATACCCAGTAAACCCCAACATTATACTCAATAGGTTCCGCCACATAACCCCTGAGGACTCAGAATCAGTCTCCTCTGCTTCTACGGCTTATTCTGCAGACAAGTGGCTCAGGGCTTGCTCAACCCTACGTGCAGAGGTGAAGGATCCGCGCAGTGTAGGTGCACGGAAGCTGGGTCAAACTATCCATCACCTCTCAACACAGGTAGAGCTCCTTCACGACGAGATTGAAGGCCTGCGCAAGAAGCTATACCAAAATCAGAAGTGTCAGAAGCAATCCAACAAGCAATTGGACTTGCAACAACACCAGGAGTATCACGGCGGAGCAATGATGTGGTCTCCTCGAGCCTTCCGCGAGGCGCGCGCTCGCATGGCTGTTGCAGAACAAGAGAAGCAAGCTGATCAGCTAAAAAAGGCTGAAATGAAGAAGTTAAAAGCCGCTAATAAGCTCTACAAGGCCAAGATAGCAGATGAAAAGCGTGTGGCTCGGGTGAGGGAGAAGGAAGAGCGAGACCAGCTGAAAGCTGTGAAGGCCCAAGAAGCAGCTGAATGCAAGGCAGAGCAAGAGCATCAAAAGCAAGTTCACGACACTGAAAAAGCTATACAACTGTCCCAAAGAGGTAATCGCATAACCTCAAAAGCTTCTGCAGCCAAAAAGAAGCCTGCACGTTGTGCTGTAGGTGCTCGTAGTTGTCCAAAGCCTGCAACGCCTCCTCTGCCAGCTCGCACTCACACAACCCGCAGCGGCCGTACCGCCACCCTATATAATTGATTTGTATGGAGGAACTTTGTCGCATAGGTCTATAGAACAAACCACCAAGTTTTCTTATAATAATAACCATTGTATGTGGCTCTACAACCTCATTTTTGTGGTAGGCGTGAAGGCTTGGAGCGGGCGTTGGTTGAATCCGGGCGTTGGGTGACCGTGCACGGTACGCGAACAGACTTAAGTCTTAGTACTGTAGAACGAAGAGATGCTCCTAGCTATGGCTCACTCCATGGTCGACGAGAGTCTTGTCAAAGCAGGGTAAAACTCAATCATCTTTGATGATTGCTTCTCAAGAAAAGAGCGAGGTAATAGCGGAGAGTTGATGAAGGGTAAGCCATTATCGTTCCCACATCGCTCTCCTCCCTGACCGGTGACATAGATCCCGAGAAGTTCCCTCCAGGTATGCGAAGCTTGACCAATAAGCTCAAAAGCCTAGGTATCTGTTGAAGTGAGTGGATTGTGTTGATTGATCTTTTTGAGCTATTGGCTAGAATCGATCGAGACTATATAGTAGAAGGGGATAGCAGTGAAGGGTTGGGGAAGCAAACCGAGCTAACCGAATGAGCTGGACAATCAGTGCAGCGGACCGTTAGCAAACACTGCAACGGACCGCTAGCAAACAGATGGAGATCCGTGGATATCTTCACTCCCTCCGACAGTATCTCGACGTCGGCATACCCAGATGCTGGGTACAAGACATGTGCTGGATTCTGAGGATCATATGGACATGAAGTGGAGGACATCCACACCTTCAGCGATTGGCCGCTTTCAACGCATGGCCGATGCTATCACTGCTCGAGCAGTCGATAAGGACGAAAAGCCTTTCTGGTTCTCGATCGACGAATAGGGATGGCAGTAACCTTGAACCTGGGGAAAGCGGCTTGGTCACAGCTGGCGCATCAACGACAACATCAAGCCACGGTGGAACTCACTAGCTGCTATCATGGACAATGCGAGCTTCCAGTACTGGGTAACTGACTACGATATGGATATGCTGGAGGTGGGAAACATAAGTCAAGGTAATCCCATCGGCAACCTCATGTATGATGAGGCATAACCATTTTACAGCATGGGCACTGCTCAAGAGTTCGCTCTTTATCTCTACGAACTTGCCCAAGGCAAGTGAAGAGGCCCGTGAAATCTTGAAGAACCACGTCATCATCAAGATCAACCAAGATCCCAATTTCGGCGAATCTATCGTACCCTTCTGCAGGGGCAACGGCCAACCCGACTACGTGTCCAACGCTACGCACCCCACACAGTACTGGTCCGACAACAGCAGCTACGGCGTTGTGTTTATGCTCCTCAATACCCTCGATATACCGCAAAAACTTTTCTTCAATCTCACCGGGAGCTGGTCTATCCGCGCAGGTCGTCTCTACAATGTCTCAACTTGTGGATGCACACCAACAATGGAACAGCTTTGCGCAATCCGACCGTTTCAATGCCGCCACATGGTGTTGCAGCACTGTTGCTAAACGATGCAGGGCCGGAGCCGAGTGCGTTGGGACTGCCGTGTTGTGGAATCTATTGGCAGTACACATGGCCGGATGGGGCGTACTACAGCAGTTGACTCCCAGAAGACGAGAGAGAAAGGGATCTGGCTGCCCAAGATCTGTTCGACAACTTCAAGTTTGTTCAAAATAATAGTGAGATTCTTCTTGTAAGGATGTGAGATTCTACTGGATTGACGAATGTCACAGGTGCAGCGGATCCACACTAATGAGAGCATGTGTGGTAGTTCGCCACCAAAGGGTACGACTAGTCACTGAACTCTCATAATCAAGACTCAAGCAAACCTATAACTCGAGATCGGTGACTCAGAGTCAATATTTCGACGCTTTGTTGTGGTTTGCCAGCGAGACCTGACTAGCCAGCGAGTGCCTGCTTCAAGCAACGACCGCATGCTGCACGTACGGCGAACAAGCTCACACAAGCAACCTTGGCAGGCTTGAAGCGCGGCATATAACAACATTTAATCTCGCCTTGCGCCAGATACGAGCAAAGATGCACGTTATCTGAATTGGAACTGGCGCAATACATCGTGAACTGCCTAATTGGTACTAGTATAGCCACATTGACCCTTGCCAAGTGCCGGCTGCACTGATAAGCAACCACAAGCTTCTCCTGCAATTAATCTATTTGCACCTCTCTCGAGCGCCATCGACTACTCACCATCAACGCCTACTATTACGTCCCCAGTCCAAGTTTTTAACGCAGCCTAACAAGGAAACTCAAGGACAAGTCTAAACCAAGCACCGCTGGAGCAACAAATACTATCTCCAGAAGGGAGCAAGCAAGGATTCACCGCTTCTTGAAAGTTTAATTCCGAGATCTGCGAAAGAAGTGCTGTCGAAGTGCCACCATAGCGTCTTTGCAAATCCGGAAGCCTTGCGCATTCGAGCTTCGGCTAGCTTCCTGAAAAGGAAGGCACAACTCCCTACACACAGAAAGACCCGCTGAGACCCAGAGATACTTCATTACGGTCGGCGAATCTCGCAGCCTCCAGGCAACAAATGACCACCACCCATGTGACCATCGAACACATTGCTGCATCGCCGTTTGACCATACGCAAGGTTCGGAATGCACGAGCATAATTCGCAAGCACAACTAGAGCCAATGACCACCTCAGCCCTTGACGCTTTGCCCAATCAATCTTGTCGACCGATCCTTAGTCTTCACCGAGCATCAATACCAGCATGATGGGAACGCATCTAATCAGTAGATATTAGGAAGGTATCATTGAAAGTCACCTTCGAGAGCTATCGCACCATCGTACGGAGCATCCGCATGGAGGTGAGCAACGTCGCAGCAAGCTCCAAAGTCGAATATATAAAGGTCAGCGATATCCGTTATTGCAGGTTCTGCACTACAGCAACGCAGTCGCTCAACAGCTCTACTTGGATCCCTTCGCTTCTCGCTCGAGACCAACAAGCTTCTTTAATCGTTCAACATGAAGTTCTCCATCGCATTCATCTCCGCCGCTATTGCTGGCTCAGCCTTGGCTCGCCCCTCTACTCTTGCTGAACGTGTTCAGTCTCGTGCTGATGGCACTCGCCGCCACAGGACTCAGCCTCTGGTCAAGGTTGGCAGCGACTTCAAGGAGAACGCCAAGTTCATCGAGGGATCCGACAACACCACTGCTCACGTCGAGTACTCATCCAACTGGTCTGGTGTCGTTCTCGAGCAACCCTCATCCGGCTATTTCAAGTCCGCCACTGGTCGCTTCACCGTCCCCACTCCCAAGCACGTTGGCTCTGCCGGTACCGAGTCGTCCTCAGCCTGGGTCGGCATCGACGGCGACTCCTGCGCCAGCGGTCTTCTCCAGGCTGGTATCGACTTCACTGTGACCAGCTCAGGTGCTGTCTCCTACGACGCCTGGTACGAGTGGTACCCCGATTACGCCTACGACTTCAGCAACTTCGCCGTCAGCGCTGGCAACGTCATCCAAGTCGACATCGTTGCTACCTCCACTACCAAGGGCACGGTCAAGCTCACCAACGTCAGCACCGGCAAGAGTGTCAGCCAGACTCTCAGCGCTCCCAGCGGCTCTGTCTTGTGTCGTCAGAATGCTGAGTGGATCGTCGAGGACTTCGAGCAGAATGGCAGCCTTGTTGCTCTGAGCAACTTCGGCACTGTTGTCTTCACTCAGGCAAGCGCTGCTCTCAGCACCGGCGGAACTGAAGGTCTGAGCAGCGCTACTGTCATCGACCTTAAGCAGGGTAGCACTGTCTATACTGATGTCACCATTAACAGTGGCTCTCAGGTCACTGTCAAATATGTTTAGATGGCAGTCAGCATACCGGATATCGATCAAATCAAGTCAAATCCATGCGGGGGATTGATTGTATTTGCTAGTTGGTGACGTTTGACTGGATTTAGAGGGTTTGATCGTGTTGTGGACTCGATTTGGTTGATCGATTTGGAAATATACTCGTTGTATGCCAAAATCCCGTTGTTGCACTAGAATTATTGTGAATACTCTTCCCACTGGCATACGCCATACAAACTGTCAATAGAAGTGTCAGTCAACGTACTTTCATCAACCTCGTCATCAAACACCCATCAAACCTGCTCTCATCCACCTCCGCACACACGCAGAGCAGCTAATAATTGTGATTCAATTTGACGATGCTTAGGTTGTAATAGATCGCCAGGCTCGCTAAAAGGTCGCTCGCACTTGCAGCTGGAAGCAGATACAGTCGTTATATCAAGCACCAGCTGTGCTAGCAATGGATACCTGCCGCGCAAGATGAGCCAGTAACGCACAGGATTACCCTGGGTATTAAAATCTTCAGGACTCCAACGCGGCTCGTTAGCACGCCAGTGCTCATACTCATCAGTATAATCCTCCTCGTTGTTGCTCTCCGCCTCGGTTATAGCGTTGATGGCGTCGTCTATTGCGTTGGTAGGTGAGGTTGTGTGAGAGTTCAAGCTTGTGTGTCACGGTGCTGAGCCGGCACCGTACCGGTACCGTGTCCGTGCTCGCAATGCGCATGCGCCGCAACGCGCACCATCAACACTTACACCACCCATAAAAAAATGAGGCTCTACAGCCACACACAAAGGCTATCGCAACTAGATTTTTTGGTGGAGTGATCTATAGACCTATACGACAAAATCTGCTACCAAAACTTGTGTGGCTGAAGTATTTTGCAGCTGCGGCTGTTGAGTGTTGGTGCAGGTGCTGAGGGCTGCTCATGAGCAAAACTACCACTCCGCACAGCTGCAGAGCCACAATTTTGCTTCTTTCTTGGTGCTACTTTCTGTGATGCCTTGCGCTTACCTTTTTGAGTAGTCTGTGATGCTTTTTGAGAGTTGCGCTTGTGTTTCTTGCGCTCTCTTTCTGCCTTGCGTTGATCGATCTCCTTGCGCTCTTGGATGCACTTCTTCTCCTGCTCCTCCTTCTCCCTTGCACGCTGCACACAAGCCTGCTCATTGCGTTTATCCTTGAGTAGCTTCTGAGTCTTCTTCAGCTCACGTTCAGTAGCCTTTGCTGCTTCTTGTTCAGCTGCATAGGCCTTGTATGCTGCCTCACATGCATCAGCCTCTGCCTTTGATGTAGGAGATCACCATCTGGCTCTGCCATGCCACTCAAGAGTGTGCACGTACAAAGGCAAGACCTTCTGTTTATCCTTCATCTTTGCCTTCTCTGTGAGAGCTTCTCTAGCGCCTTGCAGCTGGTGTTCAAGCAGCTGATTCTGCACTGAAAGATGGTGGATGTACTGCATAAGCTCACGGCCAGCAACCTTGTCATTCTCTACTATTGCTGCACAAAGTAGAGTCTTAGCTTTGAGCCACGGTGGCTCTCCATTTACTGCAGTTGGTGCAGTTTGCTGAGGAGGTGTTGCAGCTCTCTTAGGTGTTGTTGTTGTGAACTTATCAAGGATAACGTTGGCGTTAGGTGGGAAGATTCCTGTGGCAGAGAAGGCCTTCTTCACCAACTTTTCAGTGAATGTAGATGTCCAGGCCTTCCAAAAAAGAGGGAAGAAGTCTCCTTTCTTGACAAGCAGCCATCCCTGAGTCTTCTGTATACAAATATCGAGCTCCTTGGTGTAGTTACTAGCCAGAGGCTTGAAGCAGACTACATCTAATGGCTGTAATGTATGGGTGGTGTGTGGTGGGAATATAAGCAAAAGTATCTTATGGTCATCACAGTATGTGATAAAATCCCATGTTCAATGGCTGCCATGGCCATCTATTATCAGCAGCCACCACTTTCTCTGCACTTTGCCCTTGGTGTAGCAATCAAATACCTGTTCAAGCCAGGTTAAACCAAGATTGTTGTTTGTCCAACCATTTGGGGAGGTGGTGAAGTGTACCTGGTTGTGAGAGGGACCCAGCTGGGGATACCAACTGCTCTCTGAGATGGATGGATTGGTAGAAGGAGGGTTCAGGCTTGTTGAAGATAAGGGTGTAGAAGAGACTAAGTGTGGGGATACCACAAGTAGTGGGAAGTATAAATGATGAAGAAGGGATCAAGTGTGGGAATACCACAAAGGATCAGAGAGAAGTATAAAGGAGTGAAGAGTGAATGTGAAGTGATGAGGGAGTTGGATGATTGAAGGATTGAATTGCAAGCATGAGTAAGAGCTATCTAGAGGTGGGAAGAAGGGGGTATATATATCAAGATGGGTGGCTAGCTAAAGTGGGGGTGCAATAGGGGTTGACTAATAGGGGTTGACGGATAGGGGCTGTCAATAGGGGTTGACTAATAGGGGTTGACAAAATAGGGATAATAGGGGTTGACGGATAGGGGCTGTCAATAGGGGTTGACTAATAGGGGTTGACAAAATAGGGATAATAGGGGTTGACAGATAGGGGTAATAGGGGTTGACAGATAGGGGTAATAGGGGTTGACAGATAGGGGTAATAGGGGTTGACAGATGTATAAGGACTGGTTGGCTGCAAGCCGTGTCAGTATGACACTGGTGCACTTTCTTGTCAATTGAAGCTACCCAAGAGGCTTGAACTGCCCGGCCAGTGGCTGCGTAGGTGATGCCTGGGGGAAGAGTAGATCCATTGGCGCATATGCACGCCAGGAGCGTCACCCACTCCCTGTTGCCATTGTGCAGAGACTGCTTGAGGTGCTTCTTGCTGTAGAGTACCTTGTCAAAGATCCTCTTGCTCCTGCCAGTGACACCAATAGCAAAGCCTTTCTCATCCATATTGTATGTGTGAGCAGGCTCCAGATTGTACTGGGCTAGCTTATGGTGCAGAAGCTCAAAGTATAAGCGGTACTTTTCACCACAGTTGGCCTTGTGACAATCCTTCTCCATTGGGGTGGTCCATGCGGTAATAAGGGTATCTTTGTTGTGGTTGAGGAAGTCAGTAACCCAGGATTCGCTAGGCTCTCTTCCAATAACTGGAGTTGCAAAATTCTTCAGCATTTGCCTTGTAGGCATAAGGTGTTGCTCTGTGAGTCCTCTGATGTACTGCACTAGCTCTGCCTCATTGTGTGGGTGCATCAATCATTGGCTAAGTGCCTGGTCCTCTTTTGATGCGCATTCCTTGTTCAATTGTCACGTCAGAGTTGAGCGTGTTACACCATGTTTATTGGCAAGTTTGGTATATGAGAAATCATTGCAATGACAAGTTGCACATCCCTCTGCAACAGCTTCCTTCACAGACATTGTGGCGTTGAGATAGGAGAGGTAGAAAGTATACTGTTATTATGCCAAGATGCGCATTGTGGTGCATGCGCATTGCGATCACGGACACGGTACCGTGCCGGACGGCAAAGCGATCAGGACAGCAAAACAATCGCTCCACCCCACAAACCACCACCACAAAGATGAGGCTGTAGAGCCGCACCAAATGGCTGTTATTGCAAGATGTTTTAGTAGAGTAGTCTAGACGTTATATAATATATTGCTATTTACTTATATATTGCTGGCAATTTTATGTTACAGCTGCATTGCAATCAAATTGGTGGTAGGCTTGTTGAGCAAGTAGATGGCTGCGCACCACCACCACAATCACCAGCAGTAGATGTTTTTGGTATAGGCTTTGTACAAGCTTTAGAGCTCTTCTTCTTACCTTTTTGGGAGGTTCTGATAGCTTGTTGAAGTTGTTTTGCTGCTTTGCGGGCTGCTTGACGAGCTGCTCGCTCAGCAACTTCATCAGCCCCTCTGCTTTTCCCTCAGTAGCCTTGCCTCCGCTTGCGCCTGACGCCTTGCATTAATCTTGCGTGCTTTTATCAGCTTTGACTCCTCCTGAGCTTGGATTGCAGCAGCTTTTGTTGTTGTAATAGCTCTTGATCGCGCTTCTTCTGCTCATAGAGGCTGCAAGCTTCTCGCACCTTCCGCGGCAACCAGAAATCAGCTCCACCATGGTAGTCTTCAGGTTGCTCAAGTGATCCAGGCTGGGATCGCTGCTTCCGCTGCCGCTCATTGATTAGAGCTTCTTGTAACCTCTCATTCTCGTGCTGAATAAGCTTTGATTGGGTAGATAGCTTGAGGATAGTTCAATTAAGCTGCAAGATCTTCCTACTCTCTTTGTGGTTGATGGTGCAATCTACCAGCTGCCTAATCTTTCTCCAATCAGATGTGCTGATATTAGAGGACTCGCTATTGCTCTCAGCAGCTATAGTCCTATACTTTTGGAGTATTACTTCTGGATTGAATGGCGATAGGCCTGTAGCTTCAAAGGCCCAGAGGATTGAAGATTCCTTGAAGGAGGCCTCCCAGGCCCTCCAAAACAGCGGGAAGAAGTGGCTTTTGGTGATAGGTAGCAGCCCGTGGCACTGATCTATAAAGCTTGATAGCTCATTTGAGTACGCAGTTGATAGAGGCTTAAACAGGGCAACATCAAGAGGCTGCAAAGTATGGGTTGCGTGAGGCAAAAATATTGCTAGTAGAATCTTATTTTGATTGCAATAGTCGATAAAATCCATTATGAGGTGAGATTGATGGCCATCCATGAACAATAATCGGTAAGACAATTCAGCTTTTGCTTTGGTGGCAGGATCAAACACCTGTTTGAGCTACTGAAGCCCAATATCATTGTTTGACCAGCCAGAGGATGATGAGATTATTTGGGCGCGGTGGATATCTGGATCAAAGCCTTGTAACCACGAGTTCTGGATTAATCCAGATTGACCTTGGTAGATAAGGCTTGGGTCAAGATGAAATCCATCAGCGCAAATACAAGCAATCAGAGTTATCCACTCTTGGTTGCCATCTTGGATCAAAGACCTTATGATTTTTGGATTCTAGAGAGGCTCTAGAGAAGATTCTCTTTGATTGCAATTGGACTCCAATCATGAAGCCCTTCTCATCCATATTGTAGATATGGCATGGCTCAACTTGATATTGATCAAGTTTATTGTGCAGAAGCTCAAAGTATAGCTTGTATTTCAGTTCTGAATCTGCTCTGTGGCAATTGCAATCCATCATGGTGACCAATTTTGATTTGAGAAGATCTGGATAGCGCTGAACAAAGCAATTAACCCAGTGGTAACCAAGCTCTTTCTGGGCAAGCTGTGAAGCAAGTCTTTGTACCAAATTTCTATCAGGCGGCAGGCCTTGCTTGCTGACTTGATCAATATATTCTATAAGCTCAATTTCCTGTTGTGGGTGGAGAGCTTGCTGGTTCTGATAGCGGATAGTGCACAAGGTGGTAAGACCTTGATGCCGCCGTGCAAGCGTTACGCGGTTGACACCAAACCTTTTAGCAATCTGCGTGTATACGAGTTTTTCTCCAGATTCTAGAGATTCTATAGCTGCAAGCGCAGCGTCAATAGACTCCATTTTGGGTGACTGCGGCATGTTAAAGTTGGTGGTGGTGGTGGTGGTGGTTGGTGGGGCAGAGCAATTGTTTCGCTGTCCTGATCGCTTTGCCGTCTGGCACGGTACCGTGTCTGTGCACCCAACGATGGTGTTACCAAAATGAGGCTGTAGAGCCACCCACAACAGTCATGATTGCAAGAATTTGTGCTGGAGTAGTAATTGGAAGCTTGCAATTAATTTGCGATATTTATATTTGCTGGGAAGGTGGACATTGCGGCCGCGGCGGGTGGTATTGGGTGGAGGGCTTAGGGTGGGCGGCGCGGCCACAAAACTACCCACAGCTCCACCCGCACGCTTCTGCATCTTGCGAGGCTTTGTAGGCGCCATTTGTGAGGCCTTGCGCTTGCCCAATTGGGTCAATTGTATAGATTTGGCAGCGTCGCAAGCCTCCTTTTTGCGTTGCTTCTCTGCCTGTGCTTCAGCCTTCTTCTGTGTGGTCTCTTCCTTCTTCCTTTCACGCTCCACACGCCTCTCATGTTCTAGCTTTTCTCAGAGTAGCTTTTTGTTGTGTTGTATCTGCTTCTTGTCTGCTTTCCTTGCTGCCTCTTCCAGCTCTTGTTGTTCTGCAGCTTGCTGCTGCTTGCAGGCTTCTTGTACTTTGCGGGGAGAGAAGAAGAGAAGCTTGTGCTTGTCCTGTTGTTTGCAGTGAAAGTCTAGCGCCTTGCCCTTGCCCTTACGCCTATTCCTAGTAGTAATTGCAGCTTGGTGATGCTGGTTCTCAAGGTTGAGCAGCTTGTTTTGAGCAGAGAGCCCGTGAAGTGAGCATTGCAACAAGCGAGCATCTCTTGTGGTGTTGCCAGCAACTGCGGAGCTGAAAACTCAGTCAAGCTCGTCGGTGGAGTCCTCTGTACTGTTGTAGGCTTTAATATTGAGCTGCTGGAAGCGGTGAAGGACCTTGTTGGGGTCAAACAGCAACACGCCTGTGGCTTTGAAGGCGCTCAGTACAAGCTTGTGGTTAAAGGTAGCTACCTAGCACTCTAGAAAAGCCTAAAAGTCAGGCTTCTTGATATTGCAGAGCGCGTGGCTGTTGTGAAGGTGTTGTTACAATCCATGAACAACTCGCAAAACAACACTGAACAAACAGGACTACGCAACAAGACAAGAGCAGCCCAGGAACTGCAGTATCAATTGACTGAGCTGTGAAGCCGCGTCAGTGATACCCAGTATAATCAACACTCGCAATATCTGTTATACAAACCGAGATTGTACGAAAAGGACTGCAGTGGATACAATGTGGATCTTGTACACGAACGATTGTCACAGACCCATATACCAACCCACTATCAACCCTCCTGTCAAGTATATAAGCAAGTAGACACGCTGCCCTTATGGCATCGTGTTCAACCTTGTCAATCAACTTTGTTATTGGAATCTCACTGTTACGATCCATGAACAACTCGCAATATCTGTTATATGAACCAAGATTGTACGAAAAGGACTGCAGTGGATACAACGTGGATCTCGTACACAAACGATTGTCACAGACCCATATACCAACCCACTTGCAGAGGACCCATGTCAACAACAATCAATAGGACACCAAGGACCGAGTATCAAGGTCACATCGACAATGTTTGATTGGACCGAGTATCAAGTTACTGACGATACTCGATATGAGCAGTACAATCAATCCTCCTGTCAAGTATATAAGCAAGTAGACACGCTGCCCTTATGGCATCGTGTTCAACCTTGTCAATCAACTTTGTTATTGGAATCTCACCTGCTCTCGAGCCAGACAGTATACTCTGTACTACTCATTGCAACCAGTCGCCATGGTCTTTGACTAGACGACTACCCCCTGATTATCATGGCGATTTATCACGGCGATTATCACGGCAATTTATCACGGTGATTTATCACGGTCAAACCTCTGCCGCTCCGAGCTCGCTCAGTGATAACCAACCCCCAACGGCTTTCTGTACCTCTGCTCATCCCCGAGAACCAATCGAATAGTGTCTACAAGCTTTGCTTAAGACACAACTTCAACAGGTGTTTGGTGACTACTTTGGAGTAGTTGTATAAGGGTATCTGTGACAGCGAGCTTAGTAACAATGGGGGGTGGTCGCATAAGATTAATTGCTACCGTTTTCCTGGCCATTGTGTGCCCAATTATCTATGCGCTCTCATCCGTACCACGCTAGCGTCCCGATGGGTTAGCGCCATTGTCCCGACACGTGACAGCCTACTTCCCTGCAGCACCATGACCCCGTTACAAGTTGTTTGCCAGCGGGCTGAAGCAGGCTACATCAAGCGGCTGCAATGTTTGGGTACTGTGTGGAGGCAGGATACAGAGCAGAATCTTGTGCCAATCGCAGTAGTCAATGAAGGCCATTGTTACATGTGAGCTGTGACCATCAATGATGAGCAATTGCCATGAATTTTGAGCTTTTGCCTTGGTGTAGCAATTAAAGACCTGCTCAAGTCTCATCCTGACATGGCTTGCAGCCAACAACAACCCCTCCAGTCCTTTTAATAAGGCTCCCATCACCCTGCCATTTGTCAGCTTGCATCATTGATTGCATCATTGCTTGCATCATCACTTGCATCATCTATCCTCTCTATCACTTGTGGTGTTCCCACACTTGGTCTCTTCTACACCCTTATCTCCAGCAAGCCTGAACCTTCCTTCCCCCCATTCATCCATCTTAGAGAGTAGTTGGTATCCCCAGCTGGCCCCCTCTCACACATAAGGGTTGTGTTCCTACTTGCTTATATACACTCCACTAGATCCTGCTTGTTGACAAGCAAATTCTGTCCTGGCCTATCTGGATGGATTGTGCCTTGTTGACGAGCATTGTACTATGCTCATTGACAAGCACCACGTCATGCTCGTTGACGAGCGCTCATGTCACGGGTATATACTGTTCGGTTCCCAGTACCCATATCTATTGGGTTACTGTACCTTTTTGGTTGTGCCTTGAAGGTTGCGGGAGAAGCGGATGCTTTGGTGCAACATACGGGGTTTTTCCAATCTACAAGTTTCTCCTCAGCGAGTATCGGCAGGTTGATATATCGATTGATTTCACATGAGACTGCAGGGACATATTTGTGCTGTGAGGGGAATTTCTTCCACCTCTGTTTCTAGGAAGGACGGCGGATTTGATGCTTAACGTAAGGCAGAAAACCGTAAGGTCGACAAGACTGTAACGACAGCGATCGTAAGCAAAGATAAGGAGAGTCTTGAGCTAGCAAGCATGCCTCTTGAATCCACGCAACGCATCCTGCCAATGTTGTGGTCATCCATTTCAATGAAAGACACCCACGTAGAATCTACCATGTTTGAATGATTGTCTGTCACGTCTCAGTTTCCCAATGCAAAGGTTTTACTGCCAAAAAACATTGTGTGACCAGCATGTCTTCAGCTGCAGATGGGTGCGTATTGAGGCCTGTCATCATGCACACCTGTATATCAAAGTCAAGAGTAAGCGAATCAGCGACAGCATAGGGTGCGACGGACCGGAGCTATGGCCCATTGGTTCCCAACGGTTGTGCCGCAACACGATAAGCCTTTGATTGGCCACCAATGAAGCGAAGTCGCTTCCACCCCCAGGCGTTTGTTGTTCAATCTTACTACATTGGGAAGGCGGTGTGTGTTCGCCATGTTGGTGCGACACTGCTCGGCTGGTGCCAAGTATCGGACAGACAATCCCGCCTGTTGTGGCCCAGTGATTAGGCAATAATGTGGACATGCATCGCACTGCTTTTTCGCCCACAATCAGTTCTCTTCCAGTACCGGTATTGTCACTCAACCTTGCGTTCATAGTTCTTAAGTTTGTCTTTCGAAGAGCCTCCCCATTCACCAGTGTCGTATCGATCTGTACCTGCTACGTTGTAGCCTTGTCTATTCAACCCAACCTCAAAAGGCAGATCCAACATGTACTATGATACTGAGTGCGAGACATGCGATCGTAAGTTTGGTAGCCAGCAAGCTGCTCTACAACACATGAACGCACTAGACCACTGGGGCCCACGTTACGAATGCGACACATGCGATCGAGAGTTCTTCACTCAGCGATCAGTGGACCAGCACATGGACGATACAGGACACCGAGAGCCTCAATTCGAGTGCGAAACCTGTAGCAAAAGATTCTATACCCAAGAGTCCGCCAATCAGCATATGGACGCTCGTAACCACCACAAGCGACACTACTGCCACGACTGTAGCAGAACCTTCCAAAGTGAGAATGCCATGAAGATGGTATGTTATTCGTGCACACCTTGACCTGTACCTTCGTTCCTGAGCCTGGAGTATTGCTAACCGTCGTAAGCACCTCAATTCGAGCACTCACCGCGGCAAGAACGTCGCGTGCCCCTTCTGCAAAGCAGCTTTGACCTCGGCCAGCGGCCTTTCACACCACCTTGAGACTGGATCATGCGCACAAGCTAAAAACGTCAACTACCGCACGATTTTTCAGGCTATTAGTCAGCGCGATCCCAATTGCTTATTGACGAATAAGCTGCTTACCTACCCGGACTCCGACATACAGAATATCGCAACAAGTGCAACCTGGAATGGCTCCAGCTTCGAATGCTACCTCTGTCATCGAGAGTATGCTACCCTCCAAGCACTGAACCAACATCTAAAGTCGCCGGCCCATAGCGAGAAGCTTTATCATTGCCCAAATCGCAGCTGTCACGGCCAGTTTCCACGTTTGGCTTCGCTTTTCAGTCACCTTGAAAGTGAATGCTGCGACTATGTACGATTTGAGAAGGTTCAAAAGCATGTTCAAAATTTCATCATGGGCCGACAGAAGCTGGTCGGCTTTGCGTAGGCGCACAATAGCATCTCCGATATTGGATCTGTACTCTGAAAGCGTTGGTACGCGGGCAGCATCCGGCACTTCCCGAGGACAATCTGAGATTATACATAGATGGGGAATTCCTGGGGATCCAATCAATCTCACAATGGTCAGTGCCATAGCGCGAGTGCCGCTCTTTGATTTTGACTTGGAGGGTACGTTCATGCGCGAGACAAGAATAAACTGACCCTTTTCAACACGCAATTAGAGCATCAACGCCCATTCCAGAGGCCATTCGCGCCACTGGGGCCTTCCACGGCTCTGGCGATCTATCAGTGCGCAAAACGTTAGTCGCAGACTCTGCTACATCACTGTTTAGTACACCCTTACGCTTACGCCTACGCTTCTTCTTGCTTGCAACATCCGCTTCTTTCGCAGCGCGCTTTACCTGTGACTCCTCAAGCTCTTTCTAGCTCTTGGCCATGCCCAATACCCACAACTTGGTTGACCGCCGTGCTTTCACTTCGCTATTGATCTTAGACAGGAATTGGTTGTGGTCTTGACAAGATTGTCCAGCCATGGCTCCTCCAGCCGCACTTGCCACCTTCTGCACGTGTCTGAGTAGGTCCTGTTTTCTTGACTTGTCAAGCGCCTGGGCATCCTGCTTGATCGGGTTGTGTAAAGATGTCAAAGCCTCTGTAGTCACTGGCATTACAGGTGTTACAGATGTCCGCACCGTTTCAACTTGTGCACTAGCTCCTACTGCCTCCGCAATTTATGGAACAGCCAATTGCGCCAGGGGCTTTGTTGTACCTTGGAGTACTCGATCGGGGTTGAATGGAACCAGTCCATTTGCAGCCCACGCAGATGTAATATTCTTCTTGGTGAAGGCTCATGCTTTTGCGGGGCTATAAAAGGAAATGAGTCTCCTTGCCAATTGTGTCTACGCCTCCTCGGCTTAGTCAATCAACATGATCGCAATAGGCTGCCTGCAGGGAGGCAAACACAGCAACGTCACAAGACTGAAGTTTGTGTGAAGTGTGAGAAGGAAGACGACACAGGACGATGTTGCTCTCAAAGCAGAACTCCAGGACCTCAAGCGTTTCGTGAGTCCCGAAGCCAATGCAAATTACCGTGTTTGCACACGTGCCGCCTAGCATTGCGCAACGCCCGCCCAACTACCTTACGCAGTTTACAAAAATGAAGCTGTAGAGCCACATACAAAGGCAATGTTGAATTCGTACTTTAAGCAAAGCTCGTAGCACGGTTTGATTGGTTCTCAGGGATGCGTACAGGTTTTGGAACCAGTTCTTGTCTCGCTCCATCGCCCATCCTCCATAGACGGAAGCAAAAACACACACATTTTTTCACTAGCCTCCGGTACCTGCGAAATGTACTCTCCCGCCCGACTAGCTCGAATGGGGCCTTGTAACGTCGGTCAGCGCACTAGTTGCGAAGCCAGCATTGAATTGAGACGCCTGTGTGCCTGACAGTATCTTCGCACCGGTCAAACACTCGACCCAGAGCAGCGATCATGAGCACCAGCTTCTGCTCGTCTTGCTTGCAGCTTCATAGACTGTCGCTGCTACAGACGCCTAGAAAGAGATCCCGTGTGACACTTATGAGGTGTTTGCGCAAGTTCCACAAGAAGCTACTGGTCTGCACTACGAATGTTTTGGCCCAGCTAGTTCGCCGCAACCTATAAGCCCAGGACACTACATATGTCACATGGTTACCCACTGACCAATCGGCCCACTACTTCATGTATTTAAGCTTATGTCATGGACATCTCAGTCCAACACAACAGAAAATACACTCGTGCCGACGTCATCTTCAACTGTTTACACACCCAATTTGTGTTTAGAGTCATGTCAGTAGTGCCAATTTCTGTGGCAGTAGCTTTGTGCCGACTCGTCAAACCCTCTTGCTCATTGCGATGCAACTCCTCAAGACGAAGCAGTCGTGGCATGGAATCTTGACGCAAGCTGTCGTCCAAGGGTTTGGTGGTCGAGCTATCTGGTCCCACGACCCAGTACCAGGCAGCACTGTGCAAACCCAGCTTTGCAGCAACAAGCCGCTGAGCACATGATCATGAAACCATGTCGATGACTTCCGCTTCACCACGTGGTCCTTGGACACATGGCGACTCAGTACTTCATGGCTGGCAGTGTTCAGGTTGCAGTGCTTGCAAGCAGTACACGCAAGAGGAAATTGGCAGAAAATACAAGCGATAGTAGGTCCTGGCTCGTTCAAGTAGAGGCAATGTCTCCTGATGTGTTCCCTGACATCTTGAGGATGATGGTCCAGGTCAGGCATTGCTCCAGAAAGGGCTCGAGTGTCAACAGCGACGCGAGCAAGGGTATGAACAAGACAAACAGTCCCCCGTTACTACGACCGTTCGATTTTCGATAGCTGGGTTGAAAGATAGGGTGTGGGCAGTAAGTGGGAGGGTGCGATGGTTCTCTGGGGGGTGGCTCAAGCGCAGACCGCAATTTTTTAAAAGGGGTTTAGTTTTGGAATATGGGGTGTTCCGTGTCGGAATACGTGAGTAGGATTGTTCTCTAGGCTAGACATAACTGTTGACTTTACCGGAACAATACCCAAATTAGCCTAGCTTCCTTCTCAATAGGCTCTCTTTCCACTTTCTGAGCCAAAGTCTCAGCCTTCTTTGGTGGCTTTGCCGCATTTGTTTCCTTCAACGATGCCAGTGATCGCAGTAGCAATGTTGTTGATCGAGTTGTTGATGTGGACGTTACAGACTCAACGTCCTTGTCCGCTCCTGAGTCCATGCTTGGCTGATGTGAGCTTGTCATGGTTGATGTTGTGCGCAATTGAGCCCATCGGTGCGATGGAGTCTGAGGACCAATTTTTGAAGATGTTGATAACGTGACCAACGAGGACCATGAGTCGTGAACTTATCGATTAGATTCACGGTAAACGGTGAATAATGAGATAGAGGTGTAGCAGTCAATGTTCTGCTGATTGTAGAGAGAACATGTTACGATGGATACACTTGGCTTCATACCTACAAACCCGTCATTTCTGCCTATCTACTCACTGCTGTGGACTATGCGCCGAAGACGTTGAATTGATGCGTGGACTGCTCATATGTCGGAGTCGCGGGTGTTTAACCCACCGAGCCTCAGTGAGAATGTGATCAGTACAGTGTCTGTGCGCGTGATGCTCACCTTTGCGTGATGCGCACCCCACCCACTTTCTCATACAAACTGCATCAGCTCTATCTCAATACCACAATGTCTGTTAAAAGTGCGCTTGATGAGATCAATAAATTGCCATCTGGCGCTTCATTTTCATACCGCGCACTTGCAAAAAAACACAGTTGTTGGCGCTCAACTTTGACACGTCAACACAAGCGTCAAGTTGTGTTGCATGAACAGAAGTCAGTCAACCAGCAACTCCTCCACCCACGCGATGAAGAAGAACTCGTACTATACATTTGCAGCCTTACTGAACAATTCCTTATGCCTACAAGGCAAATGATACAAAATTTTGCGACTCCTCTTGCTGGAAGAGAGCCCTCAGATGCATGGGTTGGGCGCCTCCTCACTTGTCACCCCGACCAATTGATCAATCGATGGACCTTGCCAATGGAAACTGGATGCCACAAAGCTGATTCATACTACAAATATCGCTTCTATTTTGAACTTGTGCACAGAAAGATTGCTGAATATGAGCTGGAGCCTGAGCAGTGCTACAATATGGATGAGAAGGGCTTTGCAATTGGCGTCACACATAAGAGCAAGAGGGTGTTTGATAAGCGTCTCCATGGCTTGAAGCAGTACAGGCAGTCACTCCACGATGGCAACAGAGAGTGGGTAACTCTTCTGGCTTGTTGTTGTGCTGATGGGAGCGTCTTACCTCCAGGCATCATCTACGCGGCCGCTGGCTGAGCTATACAGAGCTCCTGGGTAAGCTCAATTGAGCCAAGAAAGCACTCAGTACACTTCACTACATCACCAAATGGCTGGACAAACAACAACCTTGGTTTAACATGGCTTCACCAAGTCTTTGATCACTACACAAAGCCCAAAAACCGCAGAAAGTGGCGGTTATTGATCATTGATGGGCACGGTAGCCACGTTACAAAGGATTTCATCAACTATTGCGATAAAAACAAGATACTTTTGCTCATCTTCCCGCCACACAGTACCCATCGATTGCAGCCGCTCAACGTAGTGTGCTTTGCTCCATTGAGCCACAACTACACCAAAGCCATTGATAAACGTACCCAGAAGGTGCAGGGATGGCTGCCATTGAAGAAGAGCGACTTCTTCCCCTTATTCTGGGAGGCTTGGGTGCAAACTTTTACCAAAACATTGGTGGAGAAGAGCTTCGAAGCAACAGGTCTCTTCCCACAAAACTCTGACAAAGTACTCTCAAAATTCAAGCCAGCAACACCTGCTCCTCCATCAACACCTCCACTGCAAACTACGCTATCAATTCACTCCAGAGAGCCACCGTGGCTCAAAGCAAAGTCGCTGCTTCGCATTGCAGTTAAGCAGAATGACATTGTTGCTGTAGAGGAGCTGAAGCAATACATCCACCACCTTTCTGTTCAGAATTCGCTGCTCCAACATCAGCTAGAGGGTGCAAAAACAGCGCTACAAGAGAAGGAGAAGGTCAAGGATAAGCAGAAAGCGCTGCCGCTGATGTTTTGCAACCCTAATCGGCCTGGCGGAGCAAAGTGGTGGTCACCTTCATGAAAGCGTGAAGCCGATGCTCGTGAGAAAGCTTTTGAGAAGTATCAACAACAACAGGACGCAGAAAAAGTAGCTAAAAAGCAGCGTGAAGAGCACCTCCGTATACTGAAACAGCAGGAAGATGATGCAAAGCGGGCACGTTGTGCAGTGGAGAAGGAAGAGCGTGACCGACAACACGCTGAGGAGCGTGCGGCAATCAATGCCCGCAAAGAGCAAAGATGCAAGGATAAAGAAGCTTGCAACGCTCAAAAAGCCCCCCAGTTGCCTAATAGAGGCAAGCGCAAAGCTTCAAAAGCTCCTTCAGTAACTGCAGCAAAGAAGCGTCGTGTTGCAGGTGCGCAAAGTGCAGGTGGTGCACCGCTGCCTGCACCAATACCTCGCATCCACACCACCTGCAGCGGCCGCACCGCAACTCTATATAATTAATCCTTCACAGGATACTTTTGTATACATTAATACATTACTCTACCAACTTTTCTCACAATAATCGCCTTTATGGGTGGCTGTACAGCCTCATTTTGCTATACTCAGAAAAGTGCTTGGGGTGCGCATCATGCGAAGGTGCGCATCACGCGCACAGACACTGTAGAGTGGAGTTCCTGCACTTGCCATTACAAAAAGACCTTAAGCGAGCAAATGGCTACCGTGTCCGTGCGCGTAATGCACGGATTCGCGTAATGCGCCAAACCACCAAAATAGGTCCACCAAAAATGAGGCTGTAGAGCCACACACAATGGTTATTATCATGAGATTTTCTGGTGGAGTAGTCTATAGACCTATATGAACAAGTTCCTCACTCAAACTTTTGTGGCACTCTGATTGGGCGGCCGCGGCTGTTGTATTTTGCTGGAGGGGATGGGGAGCGAGGCGCAGCAGCAGCACGACTACGGGCAGCTGCACTACCACAATTCTGCTTCTTCCTGGGTGCTGCAACCTCTGAGGCCTTGCGCTTGCCTCTTTGGGACAATTGTATAGGTTTTTTGGTGTTGCGCTCCCTCTGTTGACGCTCTTTTTCGGCCTTGCGTTTGGTAACCTCCTGAGCCTTCTCAGCCTTCCGCTGCTCACGCTCTTCCTTCTCCCTCAACTTCTGCTCACGCCTCTCCTGTGCAATCTTCTCTTTGTACAGCTTATTGGCATGCCTCAGTTCAGCCATCTCTGCTTTTTTGAGCACCTCTGCCTTCTGCTCTTGTTGTTTTGCCTTCTCACGTGCGCGTGCTTTCTCTACTCTACTAGGAGAGTAAAACTCGGCTCCACTGTGGTAGTCCTTGTGATGCTGAAGCTCAAGAGGCTTGCTCTTCTTCTTGTGCTTCTTCTGAGTCTTGAGAACCTCCTTAAGGCCTGTAATCTCGTGGTGGAGGACTGAGTTTTGAACTGAGATGTGGTGGAGTGAGCGCCTGATCTTTTTCAGGTCTTCACTGCCTTTGTCCTTGGCGACTTTGCGCAACAAAGTCTCTGATTTGAGCCAATCCTTGCCGCTGTAGACTGAAGAAGAGCTTCTGTTGCTATCGGAGCCCTCAGGGGTGGGCTTAGCAAATCGCTGGAGGATTACATCGGGTCAGAGGGGTGCTATACCTGTAGCCTCAAAGGACCTGAGTATCAACCCCTGAGTGAACGTACTCATCCACGCCTTCCAGAACAGGTGGAAGAAGTTGCCCTTCTTGATAACCGACAGTCCCTGGCCATGGTGAAGGTGTGTTGTGAGCTCCTTCGAGTACGCTGTTGAGAGAAGCTTGAACATCACCACATCAAGTGGCTGGAGTGTGTGGGTTGAATGAGGAGGAAGTATAGCCAAGAGTATCCTGTTCTGATCGCAGTAGTTGATGATGTCACGAAGATGCTACGAGTAGGCCCTTTAGGACTCGCTAGGAGTCTAAATCAATTACTACGTACGGTCTCTAAGTAGGTACAAGACATTGTGTACCAAACAGAACTCTACCAGCAATAGTCTATATACTTACGTGTGGGTTTGTTTGGTTACCGGTTAATAATTGGAACTGAGTTGGATAGGTATCGGGGTTGCAAGTCCTAGAGCGGGGCTTGCAGAATTCTAATATTCCCGCTTCGGAGGTTACAGGCCCGCTCCGGAGGTGACCGGAGGTTGTACGTCCGCTTTGGAGGTGTGTAAGGACGCTGGGGATTTGGTGCGTATGGTCAGGGACAGTACAGAGCGGATCCGGATATTCTCAGGGGATCTGGAGAGGATACCGTGACAGATGAAATCCATTGTAACGTGAGATCCATGGCCATCTAGAATCAATAGGCGGTACTTTCTTTGTGCTTTCTTCTTGGTATAGCGATCAAACACCTGTTTGAGCCAAGCAAGAGCTACCTTGTTGTTTGTCCAGCCTGAAGGTGACAAGGAAACAAAAACAGAGTGTACCCCTGGCTTGATTTCCTCCACCCAGCTTGACTGTATAGTGTTGTTGGTAGACTTGTATAGGAGGCCTGGTGGCAGTGCCAATCCATCCCCACACACACACGCTATAAGCGTCACCCAGGCACAATTACCATCTTGAGTAGTTGCTGTAACCTCCTTCTTCTCCCACATACGTCTACTGAAGACGTGCTTGGTCCTGGTGGTGACTCCGATCATAAAGCCCTTCTCATCCATATTGTATGTGTGCTCAGCGTCAACGTCATATTGGGCGATTTTGGACTGCAACAGGTCGAAATAGAGCTTGTACTTGGTATACAAATCGGCGTTGTGGCGATTGCTGTCCATACCTGTTGAGTATTGAGAGATGAGATGGATTGAGTGGTTGTTGATGAAGCGGGTAACCCAGCTCTCGCTGACTGGCTCTGTGGCTATTGATGATGCAAAATTTGCTATCATTTCCCTTGTAGGAGGTAGACGGCAAGCTGTAAGCTCCTCTATATACTTGACAAGCTTGTCCTCCTGTTGTGGAGTGAGCTTTTGTTGTGCAATTGCCTTCTCTTCACACAATCGTGTCTCGTGTCAATATTTTTGAGACAGGGTTGAGCGCACAACCTTATGTTTTTTAGCCAGCGCTGTCCACGGGATTTTATCACATGGTATCATAGAGTCTATCTCTTCAAAGGCAGATTTCATAGTCATTGTGGCGTTGAGTAATTGTACAGTGAAGTATGGGTACAAAAAGGTGGTTCGGCGCATTACGCGAATCCGCGCATTACGCGCACGGACACGGTACCCGTGATTCTGCCGCCGCTATCTCGTGCCGCCGGACTTCAGATGATGTGCTCAGGCTTTCAAGAAAGCTATCATATCCCGCCGCCCATCCACGCGCTGATGCACAACGGATGAGAGAACGGGTTTCGGACTTTCCCTCCTTGACTCCCACGTCTTTGCATTTCTTTCGACGGATTCGACCTACCATGCAGAGCACTAGGGTCGGCAAAACGTCTGCACCGTACGGACACGCATGCGTACACTGCGTCAAATCGAAGTCTCGATGCATGTTTCGCGACGGAGGACCTTGCGAAAGGTGAGTGAAGTTTCGTATGCTGAGAACCGGACCAGTATCCGGGTTCCTATAACGTCTTGTGTACCGTAACATCTCTGTCTGAAGGCTTCCGCAAAGGTCTGCAGCCTCAGTGCTGTGGAATTATGATTGACGCCACCGTAGATGCCATAGACTCAGTAAAGAATGCAGTCCTTCAACAACCGTGCGCAAGAAAGCCGCGAAGCGAACTACAGTCTCCAAACGTGCACAGCTGGAGGACAAAATGGATGTCCTTGTAACTCTCCTGCGGACACAACAAGTAGTCAACCCACAAGATCGATCGACGGACCAACAATTCATCACGCCTGGCTCGCTTGACCTCTCAACCAGGCAAAACATGACCGAGATACTGTGCGACAGTGACCTTACGGATCAAGACCTTGCCGACTTTCAACAGCTTCACTTGCCACATTTTCCTTTCGTCTATCTACCATCACACATATCTGCGAAGCAGCTACGCCAGGAGAAGCCAATATTGTCTTTGGCTATAAAGACTGTCGCAAACAAGGCATGTATTCGACAGGCTGAGCTGAGCGGAAAACTACGCACGGAAGTAGCTCTGAAGTTGACTGTAAATGGAGAGAGGACTCTTGACATACTACTCAGCATGCTCACGTGCATAGCATGGTAATTTCGTATTCTGATCTAAAAACTCGTCACTGAAGTTTTACAGGTCCGTCTACTTTACGTCGGGAAAGAAGTTTTTGGTTATGTTTTCCGGCCTTGCGCGATCATTAGCAAGTGATCTCAGGGTAGATAGGCCAAGGTATCAGTCTCGGTGTCCTTCTCTAGCGCCAGCTTGCGAAGAAGGAATCGTGCAATCCATCGAAAGCAGGCGCACATTGCTTGCGTGTTATGCACTTACTGCCATGTAAGTCTGACAGTACCCTGGCGACCTCCCTGCTTACCTATGCTGCAGTATCTCAATGACGTTCAAAATCGAAATGATGACATGGTCGTCTCAGCTTGAAGAGAGTTGCTCGAAGCTAGCACTTGAAGCAGAGACCCAAGGCGATGCGATCCTCGTTGCGATCGTCCGTATATCGCGGGTTTATCTTCAAGCGACTGAGATTCACCGCTTCTTGTCCGGCAATAATGGCGGGCATGCCACTATGCATATTGAGCCCCTAAAAAACTCATTGGAAGAAGTCAGGCATTCACTTTCCGAGAGACTGAAGCGTCACGGTACGTAAGATCTTTGTACATCTCCAGAAGTTCTTGTTGATGGTAAAATTCAGAAGCCGTCATGACTTATATCTTCGCTGCTGAAGTCGGCATATACGAGCTTTCCATTCTACATCCATCCACTCCGGCCTCTTAATCTAGCGCGATCCTCGACCATAAACGTACAGAGCATCTCATGGCTTGCCTACAAACCTGTCACGCTTGTACAGAAGTTTACCTGAGCTCTGACTTGATCAATTCGACTACCCCGTCAGGTACGTTACGCCCAACTTCGGCCTGGTGATGCACACGCTGATTTCGTTCGTCAATCAGGGCTCCTATTCTCGTACTGTCTCAACACGCTTCACAAGCTGTCAACGCTGCAAGATCCGATGTGGGATACTGCCTTAGTCAGGCAGACTGTAGATGTTGTGAGCCTACTAGAGCGTTGTGCTGATGCTGTGGAGAAGAGTAACACGCAAGTGAGAGAGAAAACGGGCGAAGATAGCGCTTTCCTAGTGGCGGCAAAAACACTGCGAGAGCTGGCTCACGATTGGCGCACAAACAGTTCTCAAGAGAACCAGGTTGCAAGCGGTTCTGAGCTAGAGAGCTGGGGTGCTGTTGAACCGATAGATCTGTCCCTGATGGAATTTTCCAGTGACTTCTGGTTGAATGTACCATTTCATCTCTGATACTGGCCGAGCGATGTCTCATCTGTTGATGGAAAATCTATTAAAATTTTTCGATAATATTTGAGCCTGACCTGCCTCACACGCGTATAATTCTATACTTTAATTTGTTCGCTTGGTTGCTCTCTTACGCTCCCACTGCACGTGCGGCATGCGACGCGTCATTTATACATTACGAAATTCTCTAGGATGCGTTATGCTAACCATGAAGAACTTTGGAAGCCGATCGATAGTGTAATTACAAGGAGTAGGGTTCACCTCGCCACTGCTTATGCAGGGTTAGCAATGGACGAAAACCACGCGCGCACGGAGATAGCACCATCGGGATTCACAGTTACAACTAAAGCAAATCCCGCCGCGGGCAACAACCACAACAGTTACATATCTTAAAATACGCTTTCGCCTAGTGATCTTGCGCCATTCACTTCGTAGCTTTGCTTCGAGCCTTCCTTGTACTTTCGTCATCATAAGCTTCAGACCTTGTGATTCTTCGGTTTGATTTCAGTCATGGTCACACCCACCCCATCTCCAACCACCTCTGCGAAACCGATAACGCCAGTCGTACCTACCACCACAAATGCAAGCTGTGGGATGACCACAAAGACTCTTAAAGGTCACAAGCTCGCCATCCTCATTGGTAGCATTACCCTCGTGACCTTCCTCGCACTAATCGACACTTCCATCATTGGCACGGTAGGCGCTTAATCGTACAATCACTGCCTCATCACCATGTGGTCTAACATATTCAGGCTATACCTGCGATAACCACAGACTTCCATTCTTTACCAGACGTAGGATGGTACATCGGTGTATATACGCTCGCATCCGCCACACTGCCACCTCTCTCCGGCAAATTCTATACCCATTTTCCCACTAAAGGTGTTTACTTGTGCTTCGTATTTGTCTTCGAGTTAGGCAGCTTGATATGTGGCATCGCACCTAATAGCACAGCTTTCATCGTCGGTCGTGCAATCGCGGGGCTCGGTGTTGCTGGGTTGATCAATGGGGCATTGAGTATTATAGCCGCCAGTGTGAAGAGGGAGAAGAGTCCTTTGTATACTAGTATCTTGATAGGAGGGTCGCAGGCAGGTGAGCAAAGTCCCAACCTCTCTGCTTTGCGGGTTTTTGTGTTATATTAAGGCCGAGGCTGACTGGATATAGGCATCGTGGTTGGACCATTAATTGGTGGAGCATTGACTGAGCATATGTCATGGAGATGGTGTATGTCAAGTTTCTTATAGAACCCTATACAATGGCGGTCTTTTCAAGAGAACCAGACTAAACATAAACAGGCTTTTATATCAATTTGCCCATCGGTGGCATCGCAGCAGTCATATTTGCTCTAATCAATGTTCCGGACGACCTGAACAAGGAAGCCTTCTCTTTGCAGCTCGTGCGCAGAGTCGTTCCACGACTTGATCTCTGTGGCTTCTTGTTGTTCGTTCCGGCAATCGTGATGATCCTCCTTGCGCTACAGTTCGGCTCCGGAAATACCTTCGCGTGGAAAAGCGCCACACTTATCAGCCTGTTTGTCGGTGGTGCGGGGATGGCAATCATCTTCATACTCTGGGAGCGACACATGGGCGAGCGAGCCATGCTTCCAGGTGGCTTGATCAAGCAGCGCACTATCTGGACAAGCTGCGTATACGGGATGTGCTAATTATGCTGCGTTATAATAGCAAGCAACTTCCTTCCTACGTATTTTCAGGCGGTAAAAGGCGACAGTCCCACGATGAGTGGAGTGCACGTCTTACCAAGCATCTTAAGCCTGTTATTATGTGTCGTAATCTCAGGAGCACTCAGTAAGCTGACCCAGCATTCTTTTGGCGACATTGATTAACAAACGTAGTGACAAAATTCGGATACTACCTACCTTGGGCTTTCGCTAGTGCCATTGTACTGACTGTCGGAAATGGACTTATTTCGACCTTTTCACCAACGACAATAGTCGCGCACTGGGTTGGCTTCCAAATACTTATCGGTGCAGGACGGGGCCTGGGAATGCAAACTGTCAGTTCCGAAAATACTCAAATGTACACATCAGACATGATAGCTGATGACTCATAGCCTCTCATTGCAGTCCAAAATGCAGTCTTACCTCGACAGGTCCCAATTGCCATGGCTTTCTTGGTCTTTCTCCAGAACCTCGGTACGTCGATCGGTATCGTGCTCAGAAATACGATATTTGCGCAGACTCTCACCGATAAGATCCCGAAATATGCGCCTTCGGTATCTACTGAGGCAGCTTTGAATGCAGGCTCGAATCCCGGCGCGATCCGGCATTTGGTTGATGGGCACGAATATGAACTCAACGGCGTCTTGCTAGCGTACTCAGAAGGTTTCAGGAATATCTTCTTCTTCCTGGTGGGCATTTCCAGTATTGCAGTACTTGTTAGCATCGGCATGGGTTGGGTAGACGTAGGAAAGAGGGCAGAGGAGAAGGACATAGTGGCGGAAGTTGGAGGAAACCAGAACGAGAAAGCGGACGGAAAGAAGATGGGTGACACTTAGTGACGAAGTATTAACAGCTATTATCAATACCCTGGAGAAGAACCATGAAGATAGGTCTTGGGGCTAAGGTTAGACCCAACCTTGAGAAATAGAATTTGGTGTTCAAAGTCCCAATCTAAAAAAGAGCACATTACAAGTCAAACACACTTCTCCAAATTGCAATCCAAGTTGTGGTAGTTGAGTTATTTGTGTTGGAAGGTGGTGATGCCGTGTTGCTGAGACCCAATTTGGCAAGGCATGCTTAGCAAGGTGCTACGTAGGCCAAAAAGAGTTACGAGTTGAATGCGCAAACCCAATAGGTTATTGACTGAATGTCTGCCTGTGAGGCACACATCTTAGCCCTACTGCGCTACACAGACCAAGAAGGTACAGTACTGCTGTAGATAGCAGGTACTGGGAGCTGAACAGTATATACCTGTGACACTAATGCATGTGTCAGAAACATGAACTGTGAAGGTGGGATTGTTGGGTTTTGTAGGCTGATACCACACACGGCAGGACGGTCATGAAGGTGGCCAGTGCCCTGCCGTACCACAACAGTACAACTCATGTGGTTGCGCTAGCCGTCGGTAAGGCTGTTACAATCCTACATCCCGCAATAGGATGGCAGAAGCAATGAGTAACCACCAACCAAACATGGGGGACCTGGGGGAAGGCACAGCACAACAAGGCTGCCCGGCTGGCGCCTAATGGGTTCAGGTAGACTCACATGACAAGCTTGTCAACAAACAAGGTCACGTGAGCGCTTGTCAACAAACAAGTTCACATGAGCACTTGTCAATGGACAAGGTCATGTGAGCGCTCGTGTCACGGGTATTTCCCCTTACATGTACCAGCTAGCTCTCGGACAGACTCTGGAGCTGGGCCGGAGGCTCATGGGCCACCTGTATATATTGTTGCGGTATCAGATTGCTGCAATATACGTTGCACATGAGCCTCAATACACACGGTTGTAACGGGTCATGTTTAGCACGTTTCAAGCCATGTATGTATCGCCACCTCCTAGCTAGATATCAACATAGCGCAGTATTCCATCGACCCGATAGTCCTACGTTATCGTTTACCGTAGCTATCAGTATTCTACAGTGGCCGTTGCCGCTACATATATTCCTCACAAACCTTGAGGATCAACCGACAAGGATTTGTCTAATCTCATCCCATTTGGCCCCAGATGGCCCCAATCCATCCTGTGTCCGATTGCCTGCCTACAGTGACCTCACAGAACGAGAAGGATATTCAATAAAACTGGTTATAAAGCTATGACATAGGAGCAAATATGATTCAATAAGGAAAAGAAGAAGTGTAAAAGTATGTAAATTCACAGTTCTAGAGATCCGCAATTGACGGGCATCTGTTCTTTGAACCCTTCTGCCTCTTCTGCCACTTTGCATCAGGGAAAACAACATGGCTGTGGTCGCGCTATGGCGCCAAGCACAAGTGCGTCTGACGGAGATAAGCTCAGAGTACATATTCTCCAAGCACAAACATCCTGGAAACCTAGCACAATGTGCTTCTCAACCAGGTCTTTTGCCGTAACAATCGTGAACTGGGAAGAGCTTGGTTGGAGGTGACAGAGCGGGTGTGAAAGGCAAAATGGTTTCTGGCGCGGCGTGCGAGATGATTGCTGGCACAACCACAATCGTCGTATTTCTCTTGCCACAAAGTGCAGGGCGATAGAGAAGAGCCTAGAGAATAAGAGTGTATTAAATGCAAATACATAGATGGATGTGGGGAAGTTGGGTTGGGATAGAAGGTGGATTCATCTCGCTGAGGGGCTTTACTCGCTTACGGGCGATGCCTATCCTAGCGATCGGGTCATGTATCGTGTCCATGAGACGCAGGATACCTTGACTCTCGCTCAGCTAGAAGAGAATTCTCGCCGTTCTGCAAGCGTTCTAGTCGAACAGCTCGGAATCGGAGTGGGTGATGTGGTCACCATTTTTGCTCTCAACTCGGTCAGTCTTAAAACTGACAATAGGTGAAGCCAGGGACGCTAACGCGAGCCAACTTCTAGATCCAATACCTAGTCGCTTTCTTGCGCTGTCTGGCAGCCGAAGCATTTGCTTCACCTATCGCCCATCAAAAATATCTCGACGTCAAGGCTCTGGTCTCAAGAGTCCAGAGCGTCGATACAAAGTTGTTGATCACGGACCGCACTTTGTACCCTACCATCAAAGAAGTTGCAGCTCTGTGTGAAAACATCAGAGTAGTCAGTATCGACAACAATACCGATGTTCCCTGTATGGAGCAACTCATGGCTCACGGTGACCCTGCTTTCAATGCTTTCCATTTGGACACCGTATATGCCGCGGAATCGCACACAGCCATGATCTTCCGAACGAGTGGTTCAACGGGAGTTATCAAATCTGTGCTCATGCCTCATCTCCATTGGAACGTCAACACGCTCACAACCGCTCTTACCGTTCCGGAGGACACAAACAGTGGAAAAAGATATGTGGATTGCCACACTGCCTTTCGCTTACGTAATCACCGCCAAACTTTACATGGGCCTAAACCCCCTGTTAGAAATACCGGTCATTATACTCTTGCAACCCTTCAATCGGACAGCACTGTCACTCATCGATACGTACAACATTACATTTCTCTTTGTGACACCGCCACTAGCCGTCGAGATCGCCAAGAATGATGTCCATGGAAGCTTTGACAGCATCAAGTGGCTTCTCTCGACAGGCGCTCCAATCCATACCAGCATCAGGGAAGCAATCCAGCACAAATTCCACGAGACGCGGTTAGCGCTAGAATGGGCGTCGACGGAGACGCTCCTCATTGCTTTACAATTCGATGGTGTGCCCTACCCTCCAGGATCGAGCGGCAGCCTTGTCAACGGCATGGAAGCGCGCGTGGGGAGCCTGCAAACTGGCGAAGAACTAGGTCCTAATGAGAAAGGGGAGATTCTTGTGCGAAACAGTTTGTGCAAGTTTGCGGGCTACCTCAACAATGCTGCAGCTATCAATGGCTTTGACGTTGATGGCTGGTACCACAGCGGCGACGTGGGCTATATTGACGAGAACAGCAATGTTTTCATCATTGACCGTGTCAAACAATTTCTGCGCGTCGGTGACGGCTACGGCACGCATCTTGTGCCCGGCGAGCTGGAGGCTGCGCTGTTCGACCATCCCGCAGTTGGCATGGCCGTCGTCGTTGGAATCCGTAACGAGGCCACGCAGCTTGAGCATCCAACTGCGTTTGTTGTTTTGCGTACCAACTACGTCTTGGGCAAATCGCACATCCCGGACCTCGCTGCTGAGTTGCAACGCTTTGTGGAGGTAAAACTTGGCACGTTCAAGAGGCTTTCTGGTGGTGTCTACTTTGTGGAGAAATATCCGCAGACTGGATTCAAGGTTGATAGACGTATGCTAGCGTCGTTAGCAGACCCTAAGACTGCGATGGCGAATCCTGCTGGAGTGATCAAAGTAGCAATGGCGTAGGTACTTTCCATCTATCAAGCACTGTATTGCGTTCAATTCTTGGCCTGTCTGGTAGTGTTGCGATTCGGCGGCTGCAACGTCAGAGGTATCATCGCGAGTGAACATCTCCGCTGTTGGTGTTCACGCTAACAAACCGACATTGCCGCCAGGAATTTCGCACGCTGCAGGCACCAAGGCTTCGAACTTGAATAGACGTTGTTGCAGCTTCATTGAAGATGCGCTATCAAGGTGCTTGGATTTTGCCACGTCGGGTGCCTGTAGCTTGGGGGTACTTTGAGGGCGGTATACAGCTGACAAAATCTCCGGTTGGTGGCATCCACACTTGGGAATAATCAAGTATACTTGCAATTCTCAAACTTCCTTCGGCCAAATCTCTCAAACCCTTCAAATCAAATCTGCCCATATAAACCTGGTTGTAAATCAAGTCTGAGAGGTCGATTTGATTTGTGGATTGATGGATTTGATGGATTGATCGCTGCTGTGGTGTCATGAGCAATCTGAAAGGCTTACGGATCCGACTTTTTTGTCTTTGGCCTCTTATTTGCCCGGTCCGGAGAAGCATCGTGGTAATCAAACCATCGCATGCTACGCCTCTGCAGAGAAATCCATAAGCTGGGATCCAGCAGAAGGCGGGGATTCCTGAGTCGGAGTTTGAGCCTGCAGGGGTGGTATTGCCTCTTACTTGTTGGCCATTTAATAGCAAGTATGAGTGGCAGCTCCCGGCCGCATATCCTAGTCCGACAGCCGTCCACGCGAAGGTGCACGCATCTCACCGCGACCTGTTGCGCCATAATGTGCCGCTGGGCGGGGGATGAGAAGAAAGTGGCGACCGCGTCCGCACGCAACACGCGGCAAGCCCTCGCCTTTTTTCCGCTGCGTGCCGTCCTGGCCGTCCTCTATGTGATACACCCTGTCTTCGCCATCTGGGACAGAGGCCATGTGGTTGTTTGCTACCCGCTTTTCTCCCTTGTCGTGTAATTACTCTCGGGGGCATTGTTGTGCAGCTGCTGCTGATTTGCCTTCAGGGCCGCAGCCCAGTCCAATACGCCCACCCGAGCGAGCAGTACATATTTCTAGCCGCGGAGGAGACTGCGAAATGAGCTGCCGGTCTGTTGGACGGAATTGCATATGTGTGTGAGGAAGCTCGAGGAGAGGGAGGTGTGCAGCACACGGCATGTCACGACGAACTGCTCATGGCAAAAGCCTCAGGCTGACGAGATGGACGGGGGCGATGTTACTGTTGTTGCGCGACTGGGGGTATCGCAGAAAGCGTCCCTGCGCTACCTACCGACCCGCGGGCTCTAGCTCGTGCAAGCGGACACTCCCCTGCAAAAAAACTCCGAGCGCTGGTCTTGAGTCGAAACACCCATGAACGTAGCCAGGGCAGCAAATTAGGCTCTGGGCAACTTGACGGGGACACACGTACATGCAGTAATCCTCGCGAACATGGCGGCTGAGAGAACAGCAGCAGGCGGAGCAAAACTACGTTGTACGTGCTATGCACGGCGCTTGTTCGAGGAACGGCCAGAGATCACGCAACCGTTGAACCGGTCGAGGTGTGCGATGCACGGCCATCTACGTGAGATCATCTGTCATGGTGTCATGAACTTCACGTCACGCACAGTGCTGAGGATGGAGTGTCCCAGTTCTGCGCTCATACAGCAGAGGCCTGCATGGGCTAAGAACAGATCTGCAACATCATCGCCCACGGCAGCAACGGTCAGGCAATTTGAATCTTGATCGGTCTTGGTATTGTAATTGTGATACCCAGTATAATCAACACTTGCAATATCTGTTATACAAACCGAGATTGTACAAAAAGAACTGCAGTGGATACAACGTGGATCTCATACACAAACAATTGTCACGGACCCATATACCAACCCACTATCAACCCTCCTGTCAAGTATATAAGCAAGTAGACACGCTGCCCTTATGGCATCGTGTTCAACCTCATCAATCAACTTTGTTATTGGAATCTCACTGTTGAAGTCATACTTTAAGCAAAGCTTGTAAGCACTATTTGATTGGTTCTTGAGGATGAACTCTGGTTCTGGAACAGTAGGGGTAAGTTGCCTGGGTGAAACACCTAACGACAGCTTGGGGTAACGATGAGTAGTACAGGCAATCTGTCTAGCTTGAAGGTTGGTTGAGATCCAATGACAAACTTAATTGACAAGGTTGAACACAAACCATAAGGGTTGTGTTCCTACACATATATATACAGTCCACCAGATCTGCTTGTTGACAAGCAGAGTCGGTCCTGGCCAATCCGGATGGATTGTGGTTCGTCAACAAGCATCGTACCATGCTCGTTGACAAGCATCATGTCATGCTCGTTGACAAGCACTCACGTGACATTGTTTGTTGACGAGCTCTGTCATGTGTGTCAGCTCAGCTGAGAGCAATCCCCTAGGCGCCGGCCAGGCGGCCTTGCCTTGCTGCACCTTCCCCCAGGCTTCTGTGTTTGGTTGGTGGTTACTTATTGCCTGTTGTCCTATCGTGGGACGTAGGATCGTAACAAAAGCATGCAGAAGTTGGCGACTGCTCATTGTTGATGGCCACAACTCACACGTAACAAGGAAGTTCATCAACTACTGCGACTCTAATTGCATTCTGCTGTTGATCTTCCCTCCACACAGTACCCACACGCTGCAGCCGCTCAATGTGGTGTGCTTCTCACCACTGGCTTCAAATTACAACAAAGAAGTTGTTGAACACCTTCACAACAGCCAGGCCTTAGCAAGCATTAAAAAGAGCAACTTCTTCCGCCTGTTCCACAAGTCCTGGGTTAATACTTTTCTAAGGACGTTATACTCAAGTCCTTCAAAGCTACAGGCATATTCCCACCAAACCAACACGTTATACTCAATCGATTTGAGAAGGATAAAAGCCAGCTGCCCCGCACGCCTTCTCCATCTGAGGGAAGCTTGGTATTGTGAGAAGGTCAACAAGCAAACTAAACTTAAAGAGGAAGCTATCAAAGCTCAACAGAGGCAAGAGCAAGCCCAGAAGAAGCTACAAGATGAGCAAGAGAAGGAGCAGAGGTGTGTAGAGCGGGTGAGGATGAGAGAAGAGGCTGCGCAGAGGAGAGCTGCTCAAGAAGCCAAGAAACAACGCAAGAAACAAGAGCGCAACGCTGCTAAAACTATACAATTGTCCCAAATAAGTAAGCGTAAGGCTTCACAGAAGCCCCCTACAGAGCCTCAGGTTAAAAAATGACGTGCGCGTAGTGCTATAGTTAGTGGTGCTGCTGCAAGCCTACTCCGGGAAGCTCCCACAACTACCTCCCGCGGCCGCACCTCTAAGCTTCCGCAGCAATATGTATGAGAAAGGTTGGTCACATAGGTTTATAGAATGCTCCACCAAAATATCCTGTGATAATAGCTTTTCTGTGTGGCTCTACAGCCTCATTTTTGTGTTGTGCAACGGGTGGTGATGGCGTCGTCTCGCTGCTGTTATCAGACTCATGGTCCTCACGCTTCGTTCTTCTCGTGTTCGTGTTGATGCCGTACTCCGATAGCACATAGCTGTTCACGTGCGATTTGCTCGTAGCATTCTCTGGGAGGATTTTGTTGAGCAGGTTCTCGAAGAGAAGGCGGAGAGGAGGCAGACTGGCCGCCAGTGTGCCGACAAACACTTTTGTTACTGATAATCGAGAGGTTGACGCCTTCGTAGGCGACGTCCTTGGATTCGTTCAGGGCTTTGATCTCGTAGAGCTTGACGGTGGAGATATTAGTTGCGCTGTGACTCGCGTTAAGCCTGATCTCTTGGCTGAAGGGGTGGCCGCTTACATTAGTCCGAGCAAGAACACTACTCGTATGCCCCACATCGCTCGTCTGGGCAACTGCGCTTTTCTGATGTAGATGAGGGGCGCAGGGGTATAAAAGATCTGATACAATGTTCGAACCAGCACCGAGGTATCCTGTCAATAGCATCAGCCCATGAACCATACCAGAGTTTTGCCTGCTTACCCGATGTCATTTGAGGTTTAGCACTCCAGCAGTATCCTGGCAATTTTGGATTCCAGTGCTTTGCAATCGGATCGCATTCCCCAAACAAGATAATGTATGGGAAAATAACATTCAACCCGATATGAACAACGACTGTCAACCAGATGAACATTCGGTATGTCTTCGAGAAGTTGAGCTTCAGCATGAACGCGCAAATGCTGAATTTGAGTGCCGCCATCGCGGTCAGGTTGAAGTATTGGTCAAACCAGAGATACTCCAAGTACTTTGTGAGATCATCTCTGGTGACAGCCGGGTCCCAAGCATGCTTGCCGGCTCCAATCCATGCTGATATATAGCCAAACGTTGTTCCAACGAGAGCGCAGACCTAGTGTTGCTGTCAGATTATATACATCCGCCACAGAGTCCGCATTGTGTAAATCATCTGCGCAAGTGCAAGAAGCCAGTCGCTCACGTTAACATACCCTTGCTTCTTGATCCTAATGTCATTCCAGATACGAAGTACTACGAGAACCGTACTGAAGAATGCCACGAAAGGGTAACTGAGTTTGATTGCATCGGATCTGTCGTCCAACGGAAGGTCGGCTGATGATGTGGCCCTGTTGGCTCTACCAAATCTGGGCAATGCTGGGCTTTGAAAGACGACTCGAGCGAAGGAACCGCTAGTCACATCATCGTTGGGCTGTTGTTCCTGATATACAGAAATTATAAAGCAGAAGGCTCCAGGGTTTCAGTGAACATGTCGGAGAGCGACAGGCGAGGGTTGCTGTGCCACTCTCAGGAAGCGGGACGACAGAGTCGAAAAAGATTGATGTAGCAGCAAGTAGGATGCGGAAGGTTATTAGACCAAGTATCAAAGACCCATTCCATACTGTCGGTACTCAGCGACTGTACTTTGAGAGTAGCCGCCCGTGCATTGTTGTGCAAGATCTTTTTGCCTGTGGACATGTGCGCATAAATTGCTCTCACTGTCAGGATAAGCTCATTTTGCATCAACTCACCTATGCGTGCATGTGCATGCACGTGTTCCGGAGGGTTTGAATCGCGAAGGGATTTTTTAAATACAAGGTGTTCATTCGTGCGTCACTCCGCGGGGTACCCCACCATCAGGGAATCCCATGCAAGATAATTCCACGAGAAAAGTCTCGCTTTTTGAGGAATTCTTCGACCGCAGTCCGTGTTGGTAGTAGTCAACTGCCACCCTTCAAGCCGAACTGTGCCACATTCTTGCAGCTGTATGCTAGGTCTAAAACGGGTTTGAAGAGGTATTAAGACCAAATCGAGTTTGGTCATAGAAGGCGTCCTGTGGAGATTTGACCAAAACTGACAACTGGATAGAGACGATGGATGCGCTTCCAAAATCAGTCTCCATAATTGTTGTGTCTGTGTCGTGACGTTGCGTTTGGCCGCGTCGGCTGCCGAAGTTTGCCAGAACGACGAGAAAGCACACTGTTGCGTTATTGTAGCAATGCGTTTTCACACATCTGCGCAGAGGCGGAGAACCTTGACTTGTCAGCAAGAGGTGTTTGATGGAGACGGAAGGCGCGCTGCTCCGCTGTATATTTCTAAGGTGCATTAGGCCCTTTTGGCGGTGTGCTCTTGAGTCCGACCAATCACACAACCGTGTGACAACAACACCACGCCCGAACCGACTCGAACCGTCAACCTAACTCCTTCATACCCACCTTGCGTGATGGCACACCATGCAGGTACCATGTCAGGTGCTGGTGCCGTGCGGTGTGAAGGAATTGCGGCATCGGTCTTTCGCTCATGCAACCTCTCTGTGGCAATTGCACCGGACCCACGATACGGATGTCGAGACACCCTGTTCCTCCGCCCACTGGTTTTCTAGAATCGCTGCGCTCGCCCAAATCGAGCAGGCCCAGAGTAGGTCCATGCAAAATTGGGGCCAACATCAGTAGTCCCACTTGCCACGTTCTGCGTCCTCGATGTTGTTGCATGACAGAGGTGCTCTATCTTTCCTCTCACGCTTTAGAGTCTTAGTTCTTCAAGACCTCTGACTCGAGAAAAGCTTCTATAAAAGACCCTGTAGAGGCCGCACAGCATATCTTCCATCATCAGCTCAGCTTCTCGGCCGCTACCTCTTCGTTCACGATGTCACCTAGTCTGAAGAGTCTCGTCACTTTCGCGGCGGCTCTGCCCTTTGTTATAGCAGTACCGGCTGTAAAGAGCGATACTGTATCTTCTATCAGAGGAAAGACCTATGATTATGTGATCGTCGGTGGTGGGCTTACCGGTTTGGTAGTTGCTCATCGCCTGAGTGAGAACAAGTCGCGTAAGTTCGACAGATCTAAGCGTCTTTCGCTGATTAGCTGACTTGATCGACAGATTCTGTCCTCGTTCTGGAGACTGGCCCAATCACAGAGGACATCAACACTATCATCCCTACTCTTGGCAACAACATCAACCACGCTTTGCAGTACAGCATTGACTCGGCACCTGATCCTGGCCTTGGGGGTCTCAGTGTTGGGGTTCTGATTGGCAAAGTCGTTGGAGGTGGCTCAGTCATTAATGGCATGGCATTCGATCGTGCCTCTGCTGCTGACTACGACGCTTGGGAGCAGCTCGGTAATCCTGGCTGGGGCTGGAATGGCCTCCTCCCCTACTTCAAGAAGTCTACTACCTTTACCCCTCCTAAGCTCACCCGCAAGGATTTCAACATTACCTACAATGCCTCTTTCTACGGCACCAATGGCCCACTCCAGGCATCGTTTCCTAACTTCGAGTTCCCTGATGTCAAGGTCATGTGGGAGGCTTTCAGGTCTGAAGGTTACCCCACACCCAGGGAGCACGCTTCAGGTGATGCTGTCGGCGCTACCTGGATTCCCACTTCCCTTGATCCCAAGACTCAGACCCGTTCTGATGCCAGGAGGGCATACTATGACTCTGTTAAGAACCGTACCAATCTGAAGCTCGTCAGCGGTGTCGAAGTTAACGAGGTCCTCTTTGACAGCCTTACTGCTAAAGGTGTTCAGTTCACCACCCTCGCTAATAAGACTGTCTCCAAGGTTTACGCAAAGCGCGAAGTCATCCTTGCCGCCGGCTCTGTGTTCACTCCCAAGATTCTTCAGCTCAGTGGTGTCGGCCCTGCAGATGTCCTTAAGGCTGCCGGTGTCAAGGTCAAGAAGGATCTCGCCGCCGTCGGTGCCAACTTGCAGGATCACCCCAACGCCAACATGTTCTGGTCCACCCAGAACCTGAGCATCCCCAACCCCGGCTTCTCTTCCGACCCTGCTCAGAACGCCTCAGCCTGGGCTCAGTACTATGCCCACCGCATTGGTCCTGTTTGCCAGTCCCACGGTAGTAGTCTTGCTTTCCTGTCTCTTCAGAGCATTACCTCCAACTACAAGCAAATCGTCTCTACCATCAAGGCTCAGAAGTCTACTGACTACCTCCCCGCCGTATACAAGAACAACCCCAACCTCCTGCGTGGTTACGAGGCTGCTAAGTCCATCACCGCCGAGCTCCTCTCCGGAACTAAGGCCGCAGCTGTCGAAATTCCAATGAACGCTTTCGGTCTCGCCATCGCCGCCGTCCAGCGCCCTCTCTCCCGTGGATACGTTGCCCTCAACACGACCAACCCCACTGGCAACCCCATTGTCCAGTTCAACACCTTTCAGAATCCTGCCGACAGGACCATGATGATCGAAGCCGTCAAGTGGACCCGCCGCCATTGGCAAAATCCCATCCTCGCTCGCTTCTTGCCTGCCGAGATCACTCCTGGGGTCGCTGCCCAGACTGATGACGAGATCATCCAAGCCCTGCTCAAGCAGAGCGCGCTTACTGCTACCTTCGCCCACCAGTCTGGCACTTGTGCTATGATGCCTGAAAAGTACGGTGGCTGTGTCAGCAGCGACCTCCGCGTCTATGGCACCAAAAAGCTCAGCATTGTTGACGCTTCTATTATCCCCTTAGTCCCTGCTACTCACTTGCAAGCGACTATGTACGCTATTGCTGAGAAGGCTGCGGATATTATCAAGCTGCGCCACGATTTTCCCGGCCGATAGCACTTAACAAGCTTAAACAACCGTAAGTCACGTTATATCAAATAATGTCGAATGTGGACCTTTTGCTTTTCGTTGTCGGCAGGAAATCGGCGCGGGTAGACGACAAATCACTGGAGACAATTGGATGGTCAGGGAGTGGATCGATACAGCTCTGCGAAAAAACGTGTGGCAATTGATTGTTGGCGTCGTGCACGGAATTGTATCAGTTCAAAGGTAGACTTGTAGAGATACAGCGCATCTTATAACGACCTTGTTTGAGTATACTGCTGCATGATCGCCTTGGCCCCCAACGCCTTACTTGATCGCTACGGTCACGACGCGCATCTGAGTTGCTTTAACGTCCGTTCCTACGAGGCGAGAAACCCACCGTGCCGAGAAATTCGACCAATATCAAATTCACTGACTGCTATACCAATAAGCATAGCGTAATGAATTTATCGCTCAAATTAAACTTAATAAGACATTGTTATGATGCAGTCCAAACCGTGTCATAATTCGACTCGGGCCGCCCGGCACCAGGTACCAATGTAAGCTACTCTGCAAGACTACTTTGCTGCCTGATCCGGTCGGCTGACACAACCGAGATGAATGCACAGACACAGTCGAAGAAGACGATGAAGTGCCATGCTCGATGATCAAGCGATAGAAGTGCAAGAAGAGCCACAAGGAGAAAAGGCTACATTGTGCAAACTCTGCGCTTGCTGTTGCGATTGAAGAGGACATTTTGGAGATAACCTCGGCGATCCCTGCGATCTTCTTGGTTGTTCTCGGCATGGTGGGTTCCTCGCTACGTAGGGACGGACGTTACGGGCGATGCAAGGTGGTTGGACGCATTAGTCATGCCTGCAGCGACTTTCTGGCAGCTCTTTATGACTTGAAATATTTTCCGTGGCTGGCAGCTCGCTCGTGGGATACTAAATCTACAAATAAACTCCAAATGTTGGCTCCCAGTACAAAATATTGTCACTTTATCGCCAGTCTGCAGATAACCAAAGAGTCTATAGTCGTCCGGGCTGGTTGGTTTCAAGAGCGTTTGATTGACGTGGATACCATGGGTCGCCTGCGTCGTGATAGCGAGTCTTCCAACTTGACTTCTGGTTTGGTAGCGGCCCCTTGACAAACTTCGATAGCCATGGTGACACTTGCTATTCGCGTTACACGAGAAGACTGTGAATCCTATCTTTGGTACACGTGTGTCCCTAGGGTTCGAATATGTAGCGGTGTGGACTGCTGTAGAATACTGATAGCTACGGTAAACGATAACGTAGGACTATGGAATACTGCGCTGAATTGTTATCTAGCTAGGAGGAGACGATATATACTGTCCCTGGAACGTGCTAGTCCATAACAGTCCAACCAGGGGTAATTGGGTCCTGTACGGACCGATTGATACCATGACACTCCCCCCCAGCTGCCGTGAGCAACAAAGCTGAACTGTACTTGTCAGTGCCATCCTGTGAGTCCTGCTGGATCCGGTATCTCAGCTTCCTGTGTACCTCCTACAACATAACGTTCTACGCTCTCCAGACCAAGTTGTTCCACAAACTTGTGGTGTTTCTGTCTTACTAGCGTCTTTGTGAGTCTGTCTGCTGGCATGTCTGCAGTTGGACACCAGACAACGTGTAGTTGGTCGTGGTGTACCTCTTGTCTAATCCACATCTGATGGGTATCAATGTGGCGTAGCTTTGTGTGTAGTCTGTCCTCCTGCTTTGTGACTATGTGTGACGGTTTGTGGAGTAAAGCGGTCATGTCTGCCCCGTGTGCTGGTGCAGTGCTCTTGCCTGTTCCAATAGCACTTTCTGTCTGAACGACAGATACGTCATGTAAACAGACCCCGCTGGGGGTCGAGTGAGACAGACAGAACACTGAACAACAGAACAACAGAATATACTGATTTTACTGCTTCGCGCGGTTACCCCTGACTTACTTCCCTGCGCGGTTACACCTTCACTTATTGCATTTACTGCAACAAATCCTCTGCTCAAGTATATACCAAGTAGACACGCTGCCCTTACCGCAGCATGTTCCAGCTCGTCAATCAACTTTGTTATTGGAATTTCACTTGCTCTCAAGCCAGACAGTATACTCTGTACTACTCATTGCAACTAATTGCCACAGTCTTTGACTAGACAACTACCTGACTATTACAAAGGTTATTACAACCCACCTGGATAGTCTACCCCTGACCACCCAAGCTTTGCTTAGGTGACTGTCAACCCCTATGGCTTTCTGTACCTCTGCTCATCCCTAAGAACCAATCGACTAGTGTCTACAAGCTTTGCTTAAGGCACAAATTGTAACAGAGCGTTATCCACTTGTGATTGCCATCTTGGAGAGAGCCCTTCATCTTGCCTTGCTCATAGCGTTGCTTGGAGAAGATGCGCTTGCTCTTGCGCATTATCCCAATTAAGAAGCCCTTCTCATCCATGTTGTACATGTGCTCTGGTTCAACATTGTACTGCTGAAACTTCTGCTGCAACAGCTCAAATAAAGCCTGTATTTGTGTCCAGAATTGGCCTTGTGGCAGCTGGCATTCATTGCCAATACCCATTGTGATATGAGTTGACTTGGATGACACTTAAGGAAGCGGTCAACCCAGTTCTTGCCAATGTATTTCCCACTGATCTCAGTGGCAAAATTGCGTATCATCTCTCTTGTACTGTGTCCGTGCATCGAATGCGCGCAATTGCCGGATGCGCGCGAACGCGATATGCAGCTATTCTTCTCATCACCACAGCACAACAGCAATGACAGGTATTAACAAAGCACGTGCAGAAGTTGAAAATATACCTTCTGGAGATGAGGTCCCGTGGCAAATATAGCTGACAAGCATGGTGTTGTTTGCTCAACTTTGACGCGCAATGTCACAGGTGAGACGTGCCCACAGGAAGACTGGACTATTGCACAGCGTAAACTCAACCCTGAACAAGAGGAGGAACTTGTGAAGTACATAAATAAGTCTTACAGAACGTCACCTACCTCCTACAAGGCAAATGATTGCAAACTTTGCCTCTGAGATTGCTCAGAACACCATCTCCAACAGCTGGGTTACACGCTTTCTTGAGCATCAACACAACCGTCTTATCTCCAAATGGACCAACCCTATGACTGCAGAACGTCACGAAGCAGAGTCCTATGCTAAGTACAAGGAGTACTTTGACATCATTACTCAGAACATTGCTCAGTATAGCATAGAGGTGGAGAATATGTACAACATGGATGAAAAGAGCTTTATGATTGGGGTCATTGGAAAGCAAAAGAGAGTGTTTGCAAAGAGCGCTTTTGAGCGGAAACAGAGTAAACAGTCACTCCATGATGGCAATTGAGAGTGGATAACTATGGTGGCTTGTGTGTGTGCCAATGGGACAGTCCTTCCGCCAGACCTCATCTTTGCAGCAGACTCAAAGCACATACAGTCAACATGGGTCGCTGACGTTGATATTAAAAAGCACAGAGTTCACTGCGCAGTGACTGCCTCCGGCTGGTCAACAGATGACAGTGGACTTGGATGGCTTGAACAGGTGTTTCAGCGCTACACCAAGAAGAAAGCTCGAAGAAGGCAGCGTCTCCTCATCATGGATGGCCACGGCTTGCATATAACAATGAGGTTTATTGATTATTGCGATAAACACAAGATCCAGTTGTGCATCTATCCACCGCACATCACTCAGACGCTTCAGCCGCTTGACATAGTCATGTTCAAGCCAATGTCAACAAACTACTCACAAGAGCTTACTCAACACCTTCATAACGCTCAAGGCCTGCTCCCTGTCAAAAAGGGCAACTTCTTTCAGCTCTTCTGGGCTGCCTGGGTGCGCACCTTTGTCGAAAAGACTATACTCAAGTCCTTTGAGGCCACAGGCATTGTGCCACTCAACCCTGACAAAATACTCAATAGATTCATCCCTGATGAGCCACACACACCTTCCGGCAGCTCTATTACTTCATGTTACAGCGGAGATGATTGGCGTCAAACTGACAGGACTCTCTGCCGTTGTGTAAAGGATCTAAACAGCAAGGACACACGCATTCTGAGGCGCACTTTTCACCACCTTTCAGTGGATAATCAGCTACTCAGGATGGAGAACGAGGGGCTCCAGGAGGCTCTGAAGGTCAAGAAGAAGCAGGGCAAGAAGGGCAAAGCTCTGCCTTTGATTCAGCGGAAGGAGACTTGTGCTGGGACTCAGTGGTGGTCTCCAAGTAAGGTGTCAGAGGCTCGCTGGCGGGATAAGGTATTCACAAGAGAGGCAAAGGCAGAGAAACTCAAGAAAGTTAATGCCAAGAAGCTCAGAGAGTCCAACAAACTACTCAAGGATAAGCTTGACCAGGAGAAGCGTGAGAAGCGGGCAAGGGAGAAGGAAGAGCAAGACAAGGGAAGGGCCAAGGAGCGCAAAGAGATAGAGATGCGCAAAGCCGAACGACAGCGCAAAAAGGAGGAGAAAGAACATGAGAAAGCTCTACAATTGCCCCAAAGTAGTAAGCGAAAAGCTCCAAAGCCTCTAGCAGGGCCTAAGAAAAAGCTGCGTTGTGGTGCAGCTGCGCATCGTGGTCCTCCTGCTGCAGAGCCCATTATGGAAGCACCAACTCGCACCACCCGCAGCGGTTGCACCTCCATTCTGCCAGCACGTTTTGAGAATCTCGTGATAATAGCTAATGTTTGTGGCTCCACAGCCTCATTTTTGTATGGTGTTGATATTGGTGATCGTGCGCATCCGGCGATTGCGCGCATCCGATGCACAGACACGGTAGGAGGCGGGCCACACAGGAGCTGGAGCTTGTGCAATACATGAACAAGCTCTGTGAGCGTGGTGTTGAGGTGTTGATTCTGATCATTGGCTGCATGCTGAGATGCGCACACCTCACGGTGTCGTCATCACAATGTTGAGCAATTGCACTCATATTTTTTTTGCAATGGCAGTGTACTGAGGTTTTTCGCCAAGCTTCAGAGCACTTAAAGCTTCAAGCGAGTCTTCTAGAGTCATATTGTGGTGGAGTAATACTATATAGGGTGTTGATGCATGAATGTTTGTTTTGGCAGGAAATCGTGCACTGGGTGGGGACGCGCATCGGGCGGTGAGATACGCTAAGTCACGGGGTGACGACACTCTTTGCAGATAATAATAGCACCGAAACAGCAATATCTCAAGGTTAAACACTTTCTCTATATCTGCCACTTAACTAATTTGATACACTGTATTCTCTGCCTCTTCATCCAAAGTAAACTCCATCATGACTCCTGCGCCTCTTGCTGCGGATTCCCCAAGGCAGTGAAGTATAAGTTGTGAGATGCCTCTGGGTGGCCCTGAGCGCGCCCCAGCACCAGAGCGTAAAACCCAATCCGTGTAGAGGTATCCCGCTCAATTGGCACAACAACAAGAACCAGTCCTCTATATTCAGGTTCCACATTCTGAATGCCGCCGAACACGCCGTTGCTCAACTCTGCAAAGTATACCTGGTGCTGTCAATGCCGCGGTCCAGAGAACATGGCCAAGTGCGGGCTCGTACGCCCGCCGATGTGTATCCTACTTGTGAATAATGTAGGACTATCGTTGTAAAGCCAGACAGCGAACCAGGCCAGGGTGTCACTGATAGAGAGTTCCACCACAGGCGCGCGTCTAGTTACAGCGGCTCAAGTTCCTGATCCCTGATAGAGCAACGTATCGTCGACTTCGGGTGGCAGGCCAGATACATCCAGCACTTCGACGGAAGAGTTCTCGGCACCAGAAAAGCGTATCGGACGGTCGACCTTTGCCCAAGACCACGAGGGCACCGTGCGAGCATTGGCCAGGACTTTCGCTCTGCGCCGACTTCACTGGTGCTTTGATACCAGGATAGGCCGCGAACTAGATTACACTCCCACAGTCCAGCCAGATACCGGATACCGGATATGCCACTGACTGCGAGAGTAAGGCCAGCGATAGCATTGAGTTTGTCGGCATGACCGCTCAGGTCGCGCGTGCTATACTCAATGATCAGCTTGCACCACAGATCCATTTGTGTGCTACGGTTGTTGTGACGGTTTATGGAGTGAAGAGGTCATGTCTGCCACGTGTGCTGGTGCAGTGCTCTTGCCTGTTCCAACAGCACTTTCTGGCTGCACGACAGATACGTAATGTAAACAGACCCCGCTGGGTGTCGAGACAGAACACAGAAAAACACACAACAGAATATACTGATTTTACTGCTTCGCGCGGTTACCCCTGACTTACTGCCCTGCGCGGTTACACATTCACTTATTGCATTTACTGCAACAGTTGTCGTGGTTTGAGTTTGTGTTTAGAGAGAGATTGGTCAGAGCGCAGAACATGGCCTTCTTTTTACTATCATATACGAGATCTGAGGAAGGCTATCTACCATCGGAATGCGCGTAAGTTGTGCAGCAGAATTGGAGTTGACGCAAGCCATGTATGAGCAGCCGAGGGGAGAACCACGTCTCCTGCATCGTCCACGCGCGCTTGCTGATGGGCTCCTCTTTCAAAGTGGTCGCTGTCACCTTTTCCCTGCCTTCCAGCCAGACATGGCCGACCTGGACTCCTCCAATAGCTTTATCTGAGTCTGCATCGGAGGCGGGCAAAAAACGGGGATGATAAAGGACGATTTGGCAATAGCCTCAAACTGAGGTCGCCGCCCCAGAATTCCCTTTTTGCAGCTTCTCGCAACGGCGGCTGAGATGGTCACGTAAGCGTTCTTAAAAATTCCCCCAAGCGGAAGAGCTCCACGCTCTTGTCACCCGCCGAGTTCTGGATGATGTAGAGTGCGTCAACCCATAAGTAGCGTAGCCTAAGCTTCTCGGCACATTCGAGAGCGTTACGCACTGTTCTTGACAGACTCCTGACCATGATACGCTGTAAATGTGCATCAAGGTTACCGGTCAGTGTCATGTACTGCTTGCATACACCCCAAACGTAGCTGAGCGCGGCGTAGCGTTTCTCGCCATGAGCGCTGGCACTTTCTACAAGCCGCACACTGATCCGACCATCTTCTCGACGCGAAATTGTAGCAGCCGCTTTGGTAAGTCTAACACGGTCGCAGGTGGCTCCCTAGGGCATCCTTCGTGCTTGTGGATGCAGTTGTCTATTCACCGCCGCGCCGCTTTAAATCTGTCTTCTGATATAACGTTCGGATTGACTGCTCCATATTTACAAACGGTGTTATGCAATCATCTGCTCGAGCAAGATTTGTCATCACTTCCGACTCCTCGTCTGCAAGGAAGTTCTTAGGAAAGTAAGATACTAACTGTGGGTGGAAAAGCACGTTAGCTGACTTCTCTTACATTGTGGTTGGTACCCAAAATCCACGCCAGGTGCTGCGGAAGGTAAAGGAGCCGATACTGCCTTCGCGAAAGCCGCCCTGGCCGTCTTGATCTCCAGACTACTGAAGCTGTAGAAGCCAGTAGTTTAACCCCCTCATTCTGTCATTTGTCCGGTCAGCTAGGTCAGTCTAGGACGAGGTATGGACGTGGTAAATTTGCCGGGTTCCTAGACTCCCCACTGCTTCGACCGGGCAGGAAGCCTTCCTTATTGATGCGGAAGACACGTCGGCGTGCGAAGTCTCTGACGCGTTGGGAGGACTTGCGCTTCAGCGGCGAGAAGCAGACTACATTGAGCGGCTGGAGGATATGCGATGAGTGAGGTGGCATACAGAGGGTGGGGATATTGTGTTCAAGGCAGTAGTCCCTAAAATCCTGGTTGAGATGGCTCTCATGGCCGTCTAAGATGAGCAGCCTGTACCCCCTACCTGCAACGGCTTTGTATGCGTGTCAAAACGCTCAGTTTATCCGCCATATTTGCCAGCTCGCACAGCCAGGGCGCGAATCCTCGCGAATAGAGGTCGAGGATATATGGGACCATCGTTTCCTCTTCAGTCGCGGAGAGCTTATGGCAGTTTGGTCGTGATTCGAGGCGAAATGGGATTTCCTAGGAACGTTCAGCTAGAGTATCCAAACCACCCATAGGACTGAGACAACGTTCCCCGGGTACTGACAAAAGTCTCCTGATCGATAAGTCTGAAGAGCAAGCTGAGGTCTACCTTCGTATTGAAAGGGTATTGTATTGCGTTGTTGAGACATGTTAGAATTAGAGAGGGAACTATAGTCTTGGTAGGTTTTGTCGGGTTCGGTGGGTTTTTGGGTTCGGTGGTGGGATACACTATATTAGATTTATTGGCTGAAAGTTGTACTAAGAGCTCGGGCAAAGAGCACTTGCAAAGAAGGTTGCCAATCATCACAACTAACATGGATTGCGACCAGAAAATGGACTCAAGCAGAAAACACCTGGCGAAATTGTCACATCTTCACGAACTATCACAGATAAGAGCTATGACAAATGTCAGCATCTACGCCTACTGAGGAGTAGTGTGTTTTATTTTCTGATTATGTAACAGCAGATATGTTTACACTCTGAGACATCTTCTCACAATCGATTGAGTTCTCCCTCGATCTTCTCTCATACATGTTAATAATCGGGGTTAGATCAAGTGGCTGACACTACCACAAGTCATGTAAGTCATAGTGTCGCTTAGAGAGTACAGTTGGCTAAATGAGGCGAGCGGAATGTATTGTCTGTCATTTATATGAGGCAATGTTGAATCGTCCACTTGAATGAACAGGCACAAAAAAAGACATGCTCTGCCTACGTTTGTCCGTTCTTCTAGCAGGTTGTTACTGACATGCCACACTGTCACAGGAGAAGGATCCACAGATAGCGTTCGCTAGCGGACCGTCGCAGTGTTTGCCAGCGGACCGCTGCACTGATTGTCCAGCTCATTCAGTTAGTTCAGTTTGCTTCCCCAACCCTTCACTGCTACTTCCTTCTACTATATAGTCTCGATCGATTCCAGCCAATAGCTCTTTCAGATCAATAAATGTTGCAGTATAGTAAGAGGTCGTGTTACAGTACCGTATGAGGTTGAGTAAAAGGACCAACTGGACGAGACTCCTTCAAACAGTATCAGTAACATAACAGCTTCATGGTCAGTTCTTCTTTCCGTTCATTCACAGTATATAAACACACAGCTTGAGTACAATACAACTTCAGTGAACCTCAATATCCATTGCCCAACACATACAGCGAGCATAATCGCAGAGACATGCATGTTCTCTCTGAAAGATTATTTATGGCTGTGAAAGTAGGAGGTATCGAATTTGAAAGCTAGACAAGTACAAGCCGTGGTATAATCAATCAAAATAGCGACCAGATCCAAGTAGGGGAGGACCAGACAGAGTTTGATACACATTCTGCCCATTCCGCGCCAATTTGGGGTGTAGATTGACCCTCTGGAACCTAGCCGTTACGATCAAAGAACAACTCGCAAACAACACTGAACAAACAGGACTACGCGACGATACGAGAGGATTGAGGGACTGTAGTACCGAGCAGCTAGGTCACGTCGGCAGTGCTCAGTGTCAGCCAGGCACCCGCACTGCCTCCTGCCTCTCATGGGCTCCGCGCCTTCCCTTTTCCACTAGCGCCCGCAGCTCATCTCCAGGTAGATAACACCACATAGATAGCTGTCGAAAAAAGTTACAATTCCGCTCACATTCTCCACCATTGACACTCAGTATGATCAGTATACTCAGTACCGAGCGACCCGATCAGCTAGGTCGCGTCAGCAATACTCCGTATGATCAGTATGCTCAGTACCAAGCAACCCGAGCAACCCCTCTCCAGTCCAAGTATATAGCAAGTAGATACGCTGCCCTTATGGCATCTTGTTCAACCTCATCAATCAACTTTGTTCTTGGAATCTCACCAGCTCTCGAGCTAGACAGTATACTCTGTACTACTCATTGCTACCAGTTGCCACGGTCTTTGACTAGACGACTACCCCCTGACTATTACAAGGGCTATTATAACCCCGACCGATAGTCAAGCCAACCCCTGACGGCTTTCTGTACCTCTGCTCTTCCCGGAAAACGAACCGAATAGTGCCTACGAGCTTTGCTTAAGACATGACTTCAACACTAGCGCCCACTCTTCTCAATTCGGCAAATGGTAGTGTAGTGAGAGCCAAAGGTTATGTGCTTGTTTGCCAGGGATTACAGCGCTAGTACTCTGTAAGCCAAAAAGCCGTAGCCTCTACCTACCCTACGTATGTTTTGCACCACCTTAGCGCGAATGTTAGCGAGTCATGTTCTCATCGGAGGAGGCTAGCGTCCATATTCGTGGTGCGCGCTTAGCGATAATGATTGTACCGTACCACTATAGATCGAGCCTAGATGGTCCTGAGATCGTCGGATGAAACGAGTTATAATGCTACTCGTGGTGTACATCGCGCAAATCTCAACATGTATCTAGACATTGATTCCAGTTCCAGACCTCTTCCTACGGAGAAACGCGCATACATATCCTCATCTCTCCAGTGCGGTGTGCATAAGAGTTCATTCATGATGCTATGGTTTCCCGGATTGCTTGGTGATTCAATGTTCCAATTACCATATGCTCGACTACTCCTCCTCAGCGTAGCGATGCAAAAGGACGGCTAGTGGATCGATGCCGGCCGCTTGATACTGACTTTGGCGGATCCTGGAGCCGGGTTTTCGAACCGAATGGATATGCGCTCCGAAGTTACCACTAACCCAGCTTAATAGATGTTAGCGGTACATCCCGATAACGGCTCGCTAGACTTGAATGGGTGTACGGTTGTAGCCTCAGGAGCCCACTAGATGGGTTGCTTCCAAGTCTTAAGATATACATCGACCTGTGCTGGCGTCAGCTGAAATTTGGTGGAGTTATACTGGCGTCAGCCTGTTCCATTCGACAGGGCTTGCCCACATTGAACCGTATCTATCACTATTTATTCACGGACCATATTGTACATTAAACTTACTAAGTACATTTACAGCAGAATGGCGTACTGGATTAGTCAGACTCAATACAGGCGTATCCTATGTATCCTTTTTGCACGTAAGTGAGTAGTTGTTGTTTGAGTGCCTGGTCTTCTTTTGACACCCTTTTGCCCTTAAGTTGACGCATCAATGTTAAGCGCACTAAGCCATGTTTTTTAAGCTAACGTTGTATACAAAATATCTTTGTCTTGGTATGCTGCCTCTGCTTCTGCAACGGCGTCCTTCACAGGCATTGTGGCGTTGAGCCATAGGTAACGTAGATCAACTAGTAGGTTTTGGCCAACCACAACACCAGGAATCCGGCGATACCACCCACTTCAGCTAAGCGATCAAATCCTTCCAAATCCACAAATCAAATCAACCCCTCAAACTTGATTTACTTGATTTGGCAATTTGCTCCAAGAAATTTGGAGATTTGCAAATATATTTGATTGTTGACAAGTGTGTTACCTATGATCAACCCATCGATTACCGATTGTACGTTGGCTCTGAGTATTAGGGGGCAACCACTTTCAATGTAAGCATTACTAACTTTCAGTAAGCGTTACTACTGAACCGTATTGGGATCGAATCCACTCGTCCGTAAGGATAGAGCCCCTTCGTACCTCAGTGCGACTTCTTGACTAGTGACACGCTAGCTCTAAATAGGAGAGAGCAAACTTAACTTAGAGTATTGCTGATGAAACGAGTACACCGAGGTAAGATTTCGGTATTGGACTCTGCAGCAATCTTGTCTCGCCTACATTATCCAAATTATGGGCTAGGCCGTGCGTTGCGTCAGCAGAACAATTGTCACCGCAATTGGCTTCGGTAATCCTTCGAACCATGGAAATTCACGCTGTTAGAGAAACGACCATAATTAATGCTATGCACATGTCGGGGTTAGTGGGAGTCGCTAGCGTGCTTCCTGGACATCCTTTCGTATTTGTATCCTTGAAATAGTGTTAGTGACATGCGCTCCATGGGAACACCATCCTGCGGACGGCTCCTTGAAAGACTACCTTTCGGTGCAGACCGCCATTTCGCTGACTAATATTGTGCTTGCAATACGGACACCCGTGCCTCAAAGTCAGTAGGGAGGCAGTCTACCCACTACCCTACCGCATACAGTATTTGAATGGAGCCAGCTAGGATCAGCATTCTGCCGGTCGTGGACTCGTGGCCGCAGAACCAAGTCGGTGGAATTTTTGTGACACTAGCTCTACGCTGAGCTAGTGATGCTACGATCACTAGGAACTGCGAGCAGCGATGAGTCTATGGTAGGAAGACATGCCGCCTATATCGAAACTCCTTTAGACTCCATAACTAGGCACCTCAAGAACATATGTTACAATTAGTTTTGAGACTGTTCAATATAACTCGATTGAGACTACAGTTGTGTGGTTGGGCTGGTGGCTGCGTCTAAGCTTCGGACCATTATCCTTAGGAGTCAGAGTGGGTAGTACAGCAGTAGAATAATCTGTATAAGCACTAACCCGAGCTGGGATCTATTACGTTAAGGGTCCAGGGCCGTCCAGTCTGTACGTTCGAATTAGGCGTCGGTTGCGCATACCGGTAATCGGTCACCAAGATCCACGCTTGGAGAGCAACTGTATATTCTTGTATATAAGCAGGGCGCTCTGTAAAACTTTCTCGACCAACCCCATCCTTACTCTTGAGTCATATTGCCATTCTTCTAGGACCTCTCAAAATCTCGAGAATATTATATACAATGCTTCGTCTATGTTGCACGCTAGTGTTCCTTCTGGGCCTAGGCCACGCCTCTCAAATCTTCAGCAACAAAGGCACCACTCAGGGTTGGAGCCACATCAATCAAGAGAACAAAGGGACCGTTCAGCAAGTTAGCAACGTCTTTATTGAAAGTCCCTCTGCCATCAAGTGTACCCAGGTTTATGACCCCAGTTACGCTGGAAGATATCATTCCGACCTTCGCAAGGACAACATTTACCGTAACGGCGACACCGGCTTTTACGGCTTTGCATTTCGGCTCCAAGAGGACTGGGATTTTAGTGGCGATCAGAGCTACAACATAGCGCAGTTTATAGCTGATTTTACCGACTCGGGCTGCGACGACTGGATGCCTACGACAATGATCTGGTTACAAGGCAATCAACTGTACACTCGCGTTAAACATGGCACTGTGTGCCCAAAAGCAGCTCAGCTGCTTACCGTTTTCCCAAAGGTGGCCACAGTAAGCGCTGGTCAATGGCACAAGATCGTCGTCCATTCAAGCTGGAAGTCGGACAACACCGGGTTCTTCAAATTATGGTTTGACGGCGTCAAAGTCCTCGAGCAATTTAATATTCCGACGACCATCGACAACAATCGAGCTTTCGGCTTTAGTATAGGGCTTTATGCGAATGCATGGGGTGATGAAGGCCGCATGGAAGGGTCTCAGGGTACAAGACAAGTATGGTTCGATGAAATCGGCGTTGGTAGCGCTTTCGCAGATGCAGATCTGGACCAATGGTGAGCTGTCGATTGCAGTTTATGCAAGACTTGGAGGCGCAATCCTAGGGGTATGCACTGTACCTGATACACTCATTTCAATAGTATTAACGTTGGTTTTCTTAAAAAGTTCGTATTGATGCGGCTATTGTCCCCAAAGTCAAATGTCGTGAAGTGACTGCCTGAAGCGCTTCTGGCCATACAATGCTCTTGCAAAGATTGAATGTGTGCTTAGGTTCCAGCTTGTATTGTTGAATTTTGCCATGCAGAAGCTTAAAGTATAGGCTGTACTTGTATCCAGAATTAGCCTTGTGGCGTCCAGTCTCCATGGGCGTCGTCCACAATGAGATGAGTCGGCCTTTGTTGCGATCAAGGAAGTGTGTAACCCATGAATCGCAGGGCTCTTTCCCAACTCTGCCTCATCGTATGGGTGCATCATCCGTTGTTTGAGTGCCTGGTCTTCACGCAACGTGCATTCTCCGTTGAGCTGTCGCGTCAACGTTGAGTGCCACACTTCCTGCTTTTCAGCTACTTTTTGATACGAGAAACTTTCATCAGAGTCACAGTAGCGCGAAGCGGTTCACGATGAGTGCTGTAAATCTTAACTAGCAGTCGATTACCCTAATCGTATCATACAAGAGGTAGCCAGCCGCGCATTCACTGACCGAATTGGGCAGTGCCTAGGTTCGCGTTGATGTGCATCTTCAACAGCTCGCCTTGTACAATATCCTCCTTCTTTGCAACGAGGTCGTCCACGTCCCAATTGGCGCTTATAAATCTTCCACTCAAAAACCCAATGTCTTCTCCTTCCCATCCCGCAAGCCAGACTCCCACCCCGCCTACCAGCTCTGGCGTGTCTAGCGCAAAGCGCTTGAAGGAGTCGGTCGTCATCTCCGTGTTCACTATACCGGGGTGTAGGGCAACGGCCACGATGTTGGGGTTTTCCGCTGCAATGTAGGTCATGAGTTCGAAGGCAGCGAGCTTAGATATGCCGTATGCGCTGAGGGCAGGGAAGACCTCGTAAGCTGCGCCGGTGGTAAGTGTCACAATTCTCGCTGACACACGTCAGGGCAACGGCTCTCCACACAGTCAGTTGACAGTACAACGGCTCTCTCACTCGCTCGGTTGACAGGCCCACGGCTCTCTTGCGTCTCACACGTCAGGGCAACGGCTCTCCACACGGTCAACCTGCAGCTCTCTCCACACGGTCAATCGACACGACAACGGTGCTCTCCTCACGCTCTCACTCACATGAGTAACAGCACTCTCCTCAGCCTTAACTGACAGGGCAGCGCCTCCTGTTACGATCCATGAACAACTCGCAAAACAACACTGAACAAACAGGACTACGCAACGAGA